CTAGACGTTGCCCATATTGCATTTATTTGTTGTGTACTTTCCAGAATGATCTAGACGGCGCCCATATTGATCTAGGACCCGACGGTTTTGTTATACCACGCCAGAGGGAGCACCTGCAACAAGTTCTCAAGTTCCAGGAACACCAGCAACTTGTGCCCAAACAATCACGTGATGTGCTGGTCTCGTCCGTACACCGGCCGAGGGGGCCGGAGGTGGCGAGAGCCGAGTCAAGACAGGTTAGGGTTAGGGTTTGTTTCTAGTGTGGGAGATATGGGTTTGGTGAGTGCTGGGGTGGGGTTAGTTGTATGTGTGAATATGTTGGGGTTAGTTGTATGTGTGAATATGTTGGGGTTAGTGGTATTTGTGATTATGTTGGGGTTAGGTTGATATCACTAGAATCTGATAGGGTTAGGTTGATATCACGGGAATCTGATAGGGTTAGGTCAGGGGTCGGCAACCTTTTGAGGCGGAAGAGCCAAAAATTAAAATTTACATGATTTCCCAGTTTTCAAAGAGCCACTAACAAATTTTTTCTATCATTATGGTATAAGATTAAGATTAGGTAGATAGATTTAAAATAAATGGGTTTAAGTCTGAAACACTATTCATATAAAACATACACATGTTTTCGCACAAAACATAGTATTTTAGCTAGTTCTGCTAGGATAATAAAATAAAATTACATAACTATAGCACGATCCCTACCCAATTTAGTAGCTAATAACTAAGAAACTATGTCACTAAAGTCAAATTAATGCACACTGACACATAAAAAGTGACTTCTGAATGAAAAAACAATTACTATTGAAAATATAAAAAAAAAACAATTGCACTACGGTATTGGAAAGCACGGGACTACTTCCACGGGGCTGGCCACATCACAGTTGTGGGGCTGGGCCTTGTGCCTAAGTAGCTGCCAGCTGTCTGTATACGCTCTACTCCACCTATTCTCATTGTTTTTATCTTCTTTAAAGTTGTTTTTACAGTATATTATTTTTATTAGTTATGAAATAAAATAATATAATTATTATGGAAATGGCGAGCCGCATCCTGACATCAAAAGAGCCGCATGCGGCTCGCGAGCCGCAGGTTGCCGACCCCTGTGTTAGGTTGATATCACGAGAATCTGATGGGTTTAGGTTGATATCCCGTGTATCTGATGGGGTTATGTTGATATATGAATTATATGCTTTGGTTGATATCATGTGAATAAGTTGGGTGGGGGGGGGGGGGGGGGGGGGGTCCGGATACTTAGGTTGATTTCATATTTTGGTTTAACTTAGGTGGGAACCTTTAAAAACTGTAGACTTACATTGAATTGTGTGATGACGATGGGGTACGACTCCTATAAGCTAGTTAGGCTCAGTTTGAATGGGATATTATATATTGAAACAGGTAATGGATGCCATGATATTATATATTGAAACAGGTAATACACGTGGACGCCAACAGCCGGCCGTCAGAACCCCACCCAGAGGATGATGGGGAGGAGGGGGACATACCCTGGGAGCAGTTTGACGAGCTGGCCTACATCGACAAAACCCGTCTGGCCCCGGGCAGCGACCCCTACGACAGGAACAAGTTCAACCTGGAGGCCAGCGATAACATCAAGTCCAATAGGGATGTCCAGGATACTAGGCACATGAAGTGAGTTGTGTGGGGTGTGGGGTAGGGGGTCCAATAGGGATGTCCAGGATACTAGGCACATGAAGTGAGTTGTGTGGGGTGTGGGGTAGGGGGTCCAATAGGGATGTCCAGGATACTAGGCACATGAAGTGAGTTGTGTGGGGTGTGGGGTAGGGGGTCCAATAGGGATGTCCAGGATACTAGGCACATGAAGTGAGTTGTGTGGGGTGTGGGGTAGGGGGTCCAATAGGGACGTCCAGGATACTAGGCACATGAAGTGAGTTGTGTGGGGTAGGGGGTCCAATAGGGATGTCCAGGATACTAGGCACATGAAGTGAGTTGTGTGGGGTAGGGGGTCCAATAGGGACGTCCAGGATACTAGGCACATGAAGTGAGTTGTGTGGGGTAGGGGGTCCAATAGGGATGTCCAGGATACTAGGCACATGAAGTGAGTTGTGTGGGGTGTGGGGTAGGGGGTCCAATAGGGATGTCCAGGATACTAGGCACATGAAGTGAGTTGTGTGGGGTGTGGGGTAGGGGGTCCAATAGGGATGTCCAGGATACTAGGCACATGAAGTGAGTTGTGTGGGGTGTGGGGTAGGGGGTCCAATAGGGACGCCCAGGATACTAGGCACATGAAGTGAGTTGTGTGGGGTGTGGGGTAGGGGGTCCAATAGGGACGTCCAGGATACTAGGCACATGAAGTGAGTTGTGTGGGGTGTATGGTAGGGGGTCCAATAGGGACGTCCAGGATACTAGGCACATGAAGTGAGTTGTGTGGGGTGTGGGGTAGGGGGTCCAATAGGGATGTCCAGGATACTAGGCACATGAAGTGAGTTGTGTGGGGTGTGGGGTAGGGGGTCCAATAGGGATGTCCAGGATACTAGGCACATGAAGTGAGTTGTGTGGGGTGTGGGGTAGTGGGTCCAATAGGGATGTCCAGGATACTAGGCACATGAAGTGAGTTGTGTGGGGTGTGGGGTAGGGGGTCCAATAGGGATGTCCAGGATACTAGGCACATGAAGTGAGTTGTGTGGGGTGTGGGGTAGGGGGTCCAATAGGGATGTCCAGGATACTAGGCACATGAAGTGAGTTGTGTGGGGTGTGGGGTAGGGGGTCCAATAGGGATGTCCAGGATACTAGGCACATGAAGTGAGTTGTGTGGGGTGTGGGGTAGGGGGTCCAATAGGGATGTCCAGGATACTAGGCACATGAAGTGAGTTGTGTGGGGTGTGGGGTAGGGGGTCCAATAGGGATGTCCAGGATACTAGGCACATGAAGTGAGTTGTGTGGGGTAGGGGGTCCAATAGGGACGCCCAGGATACTAGGCACATGAAGTGAGTTGTGTGGGGTGTGGGGTAGGGGGTCCAATAGGGACGTCCAGGATACTAGGCACATGAAGTGAGTTGTGTGGGGTAGGGGGTCCAATAGGGATGTCCAGGATACTAGGCACATGAAGTGAGTTGTGTGGGGTAGGGGGTCCAATAGGGATGTCCAGGATACTAGGCACATGAAGTGAGTTGTGTGGGGTGTGGGGTAGGGGGTCCAATAGGGATGTCCAGGATACTAGGCACATGAAGTGAGTTGTGTGGGGTGTGGGGTAGGGGGTCCAATAGGGACGCCCAGGATACTAGGCACATGATGTGAGTTGTGTGGGGTGTGGGGTAGGGGGTCCAATAGGGACGTCCAGGATACTAGGCACATGAAGTGAGTTGTGTGGGGTGTATGGTAGGGGGTCCAATAGGGACGTCCAGGATACTAGGCACATGAAGTGAGTTGTGTGGGGTGTGGGGTAGGGGGTCCAATAGGGATGTCCAGGATACTAGGCACATGAAGTGAGTTGTGTGGGGTGTGGGGTAGGGGGTCCAATAGGGATGTCCAGGATACTAGGCACATGAAGTGAGTTGTGTGGGGTGTGGGGTAGTGGGTCCAATAGGGATGTCCAGGATACTAGGCACATGAAGTGAGTTGTGTGGGGTGTGGGGTAGGGGGTCCAATAGGGATGTCCAGGATACTAGGCACATGAAGTGAGTTGTGTGGGGTGTGGGGTAGGGGGTCCAATAGGGATGTCCAGGATACTAGGCACATGAAGTGAGTTGTGTGGGGTGTGGGGTAGGGGGTCCAATAGGGATGTCCAGGATACTAGGCACATGAAGTGAGGTGTGGGGTGTGGGGTAGGGGGTCCAATAGGGATGTCCAGGATACTAGGCACATGAAGTGAGTTGTGTGGGGTGTGGGGTAGGGGGTCCAATAGGGATGTCCAGGATACTAGGCACATGAAGTGAGTTGTGTGGGGTAGGGGGTCCAATAGGGATGTCCAGGATACTAGGCACATGAAGTGAGTTGTGTGGGGTGTGGGGTAGGGGGTCCAATAGGGATGTCCAGGATACTAGGCACATGAAGTGAGTTGTGTGGGGTGTGGGGTAGGGGGTCCAATAGGGATGTCCAGGATACTAGGCACATGAAGTGAGTTGTGTGGGGTGTGGGGTAGGGGGTCCAATAGGGATGTCCAGGATACTAGGCACATGAAGTGAGTTGTGTGGGGTGTGGGGTAGGGGGTCCAATAGGGATGTCCAGGATACTAGGCACATGAAGTGAGTTGTGTGGGGTGTGGGGTAGGGGGTCCAATAGGGATGTCCAGGATACTAGGCACATTAAGTGAGTTGTGTGGGGTGTGGGGTAGGGGGTCCAATAGGGATGTCCAGGATACTAGGCACATGAAGTGAGTTGTGTGGGGTGTGGGGTAGGGGGTCCAATAGGGATGTCCAGGATACTAGGCACATGAAGTGAGTTGTGTGGGGTGTGGGGTAGGGGGTCCAATAGGGATGTCCAGGATACTAGGCACATGAAGTGAGTTGTGTGGGGTGTGGGGTAGGGGGTCCAATAGGGACGTCCAGGATACTAGGCACATGAAGTGAGTTGTGTGGGGTGTGGGGTAGGGGGTCCAATAGGGACGTCCAGGATACTAGGCACATGAAGTGAGTTGTGTGGGGTAGGGGGTCCAATAGGGACGCCCAGGATACTAGGCACATGAAGTGAGTTGTGTGGGGTGTGGGGTAGGGGGTCCAATAGGGACGTCAAGGATACTAGGCACATGAAGTGAGTTGTGTGGGGTGTGGGGTAGGGGGTCCAATAGGGACGTCCAGGATACTAGGCACATGAAGTGAGTTGTGTGGGGTAGGGGGTCCAATAGGGACGCCCAGGATACTAGGCACATGAAGTGAGTTGTGTGGGGTGTGGGGTAGTGGGTCCAATAGGGACGCCCAGGATACTAGGCACATGAAGTGAGTTGTGTGGGGTAGGGGTCCAATAGGGACGTCCAGGATACTAGGCACATGAAGTGAGTTGTGTGGGGTGTGGGGTAGTGGGTCCAATAGGGATGTCCAGGATACTAGGCACATGAAGTGAGTTGTGTGGGGTGTGGGGTAGTGGGTCCAATAGGGACGCCCAGGATACTAGGCACATGAAGTGAGTTGTGGGGGGGGGTCCAATAGGGACGTCCAGGATACTAGGCACATGAAGTGAGTTGTGGGGTGTGGGGGGGGGGGGTCCAATAGGGACGCCCAGGATACTAGGCACATGAAGTGAGTCGTGGGGGTGGGGTAGGGGGTCCAATAGGGACGTCCAGGATACTAGGCACATGAAGTGAGTTGTGTGGGGTGTGGGGTAGTGGGTCCAATAGGGACGCCCAGGATACTAGGCACATGAAGTGAGTTGTGTGGGGTAGGGGGTCCAATAGGGACGTCCAGGATACTAGGCACATGAAGTGAGTCGTGGGGGGTGGGGGGTAGGGGTCCAATAGGGACGCCCAGGATACTAGGCACATGAAGTGAGTCGTGGGGGGTGGGGTAGTGGGTCCAATAGGGACGCCCAGGATACTAGGCACATGAAGTGAGTTGTGTGGGGTAGGGGGTCCAATAGGGACGCCCAGGATACTAGGCACATGAAGTGAGTTGTGTGGGGTAGGGGGTCCAATAGGGACGTCCAGGATACTAGGCACATGAAGTGAGTCGTGGGGGGTGGGGGGTAGGGGTCCAATAGGGACGCCCAGGATACTAGGCACATGAAGTGAGTCGTGGGGGGGGGTGGGGTAGTGGGTCCAATAGGGACGCCCAGGATACTAGGCACATGAAGTGAGTTGTGTGGGGTAGGGGGTCCAATAGGGACGCCCAGGATACTAGGCACATGAAGTGAGTTGTGTGGGGTGTGGGGTAGTGGGTCCAATAGGGACGCCCAGGATACTAGGCACATGAAGTGAGTCGTGGGGGGTGGGGTAGGGGTGGGGGGTCCAATAGGGACGTGCAGGATACTAGGCACATGAAGTGAGTTGTGTGTGTGTTTGGGGGGAGGAGGGAGGGGGGGGGTGTTAGGGCTTAACAGAGACATCCTGGCTTTTGTAAGTGAAGTCCAACAACAAAGTCTAGGACATAAGGCACTGTAACTTAGTAAATCAGGATGTGTTGGGAGGGGGGGGCTTGGTAACTGTCCTGTTGTGTGGAAAGGGGTCTCCCAACATGGATGTTCATTATGCCAGGCATACGAAGTAAGTTTTATAGAGACTTGGTTATGTTCTTTTGTGGATGGAGTTGGGGGGTTAGCCTAAGTATACTGTAGCCTTGATAACTGTCCTATTACAGACCACACATAGTGAGTAACATATTAGATCATATTAATTCCATATATTGCCAACCTTCTTTTAGATATTAATAAAGAAAAAATGTGACAATCTGGCAAGCTAACCCATTCTACCTACTCACCTGTTGTAGCAATGCATAATAACATGTAACATGTATTCAGTAGACATCTGCTCTAGTTCATATTCATAAACGCATTTATTAACATACTTTTAGGTGTGTTGAAATAATTAAGTAAATTATATAATGGGAGAGCATATAGCATTGTTCAACATTTTGTAAAAAAAAATACAGTGGGAAGACATTTTAGCAAAATAATATGAACTCAACATCTAGTTGATATTATATTTTCTCTAAGCTAAATCGGACGTTTATTTCATTTCAAAATGTGTTTTATTCTCCAATTTTAAAATTTTATTAAAATAAGTAAAAGTGTAAAGAAAAGAAATATTGTGTTTCCCCATGTTATGTCATAGTGCTGTTTGCCAAAAGTATGTTAAGGGAGCAGGACATTACTGTCTGTCAAATTATCCACTTTTCATTTCCCCCCATACCTGCATAACCCCCATGTCAATAAAAGTCAACTTGAAGCCTATATTAAAAACATATTAAGACCAAAAAATGTTCAATGCTCTTACTAGAGTGTGTGAGTAATGTGCTAAAAAATAAGTAACATAAGTTCGGGGGGGGGGGGGGGGGGGGGGGAGGGACTAGATTAGTTTAGGAAATTATTTTTCCCCTGACATTATTTTAAATATAGTTATCTCCTTAACATAGTTGAATTAGCAACACCATAATTGAAGGGAGTTAATAATCTCTTTAAAAAAATAAACAAAATGGGGAGGTAACCAAGACAGGCCTAAATGTGCTTTAACTGAAACAGTGGATGTTATGAAAATAAAGATAGACTTGTAGTTTTATTTAGTTTATTTTCTATGTTTTAAGGACTTTCAATAAATTAATCATCTAGCTTTTACATAACTTCTTTTAAGTATTCTTTAGGTCTTTATTAAAATTATTGCTATGGATATTTAAATTTAACAAAATTAATATTATTGTAATTAATTTTGTAGGTATGGTTATAGGCCTACTTAATTATCAGTAATTATTAGAAAAAAATGTAAAATAAAGATTTAAATACATAATCTTTATAATGTATTAACATAATTTTTTTCAAATTATTAAAAATGTAAATTGTTTTTTACATGCCTGTTTGGTAAAGTGTGTGTTCCATGGAGCCTTAACAGTAAATTTTTTTGTTTCTAAATTTACAGTTGTAGATCACAAGATTATCGCAATGACCTTCCTGATACATCCGTCATCATCACATTCCATAACGAGGCCAGGTCAGCTTTGTTGCGCACCATCGTCAGGTGAGATGCTACTTAATTTTTTTCACAAAAAATAACAGGTAGAGCTGGTTAATCATCCAGCAATGACATCAACTGCTATTGTTGTTGGTAGTTGCCAGTTAACACTTCCATGTTTGCACTACCTAACTGGCAACATGTACACAGACACTCTACTCACCACTTAGGGATATGCCACAGTAATCATCTTGTCTACGAGAAAAGATGTTTAAAATTTTTTTGTTTTAATGTCATTGTCATTGTGACATGTAGAATTGAAATCAGCTCAGGTAGAGGGTCTGCGTGTTCTGGTTGGTAAAGCTCATGGTTGCTAATCCAAAAAGTCCTAAGTTCAAACCCCCAGGCATATGAGGCTTGACAGCTGAGGACAGCAAACCATCAAGGAAAAACTCAAAAATCAATCAACTGCTATTTTGTAGTTTGTTCTTGTGTGGGCAAATGCTATGGAATCGAATCCAGAGAGAAAAGCAGGCTGAAATCATAGTCGATTGCTTAAATTGGTGCATAACAGTCTGACTTGTAATACTAATTGTGTTAGAGGAAATCCCTTCCAACATTACAATTCTGAATGACGAAGAAAAAACCTATGTTATAGTTTTTTATTTATTCTTCTCTTTGCTAAGGTCCTAACTAATGCTATGTCACATCTAAAGTCTTGAACCATTCTTTCTAAAATGTGTAATTTTTGTTTTCAAATATTTCTGTACAGTTTGTAGTTAATTTCTATTTTATTTTTTTCCAGTGTTTTTAGGAAAAGTCCACCACATTTGATAAGGGAGATAATTCTTGTTGATGATTTTAGTGATGATGGTATGTACAGCATCTTTTGTTCTGTGTGATTATATGTATTTTTTATATAATTATATATTGTCAGTAATATGTTGTATAATATCTGGTACAAAAAAAACCCATTTTATCATCAAAACATATTTTGCATGTTAAATTGGAAATATTTTTGTGTTGAAAAAATATTGGATTCATTCCACTGCTCAAAAGCCTTGTTTTTCTTGTTTTATCTTACCTTCTCTTACCTTCAGCTAATTTTTTACTGTTACACTACTTTAGTCAAGTTATAGAAAAATAACTTTTTAATTAACATTTTTGAGTGGAAAACACACTCAACAATTTATGATCAATATTTCTAATATAATATGTCATTATAATATTAAATAATTTATTTTGAATTAATGAATAATTTAAGTGACATATTAGCTAGTGAAATAGTTCGAACATTTTTTTAACAAATATTGAAAATAGATAAAAACATTTAAATAGATATATTAGAACACATTTGATGATAAAACTTGTGTTTGTGAATTCTATGAAGACATTTGATGATGAAACTTGTGTTTGTGAATTCTATGAAGACATTTGATGATGAAACTTGTGTTTGCGAATTCTATGAACACATTTGATGATGAAACTTGTGTTTGCGAATTCTATGAACACATTTGATGATGAAACTTGTGTTTGCGAATTCTATGAACACATTTGATGATGAAACTTGTGTTTGCGAATTCTATTAACACATTTGATGATGAAACTTGTGTTTGTGAATTCTATGAACACATTTGATGATGAAAATTGTGTTTGCGAATTCTATGAACACATTTGATGATGAAAATTGTGTTTGCGAATTCTATGAACACATTTGATGATGAAAATTGTGTTTGCGAATTCTATGAAGACATTTGATGATGAAACTTGTGTTTGCGAATTCTATGAACACATTTAATGATGAAACTTGTGTTTGATTCTCAGCCAGTGATGGTCAAGAGCTGGAGAAAATTAAGAAAGTCAAAGTCTTGAGAAATGAAAAGAGACAAGGTAAGTAAATAACTTGTCTGCTGTTAGAGTAGTTGTGGCCTAATCTAGAGTTTAAGTTGGATTTAGGGTTGGATAAGGTTAACTTTAGGCTTAAGTGTGAATTTTGGATTAGAGGTTGGATGAAAGTTTAGAGGGTTGGGTACGTGTTAGGCCCAGGTTTAAGTTAGGTTTAATGGTTTGGGCATGTGTTCATAGGTTATGATTAGTGTTTGGGGTTATGTGTTAGGTATCTAAGGGATGGAGTGGCCTAACCCGTAAGTTTCGAGTTCGAATCGTGGTTCAAGTCAGTACACTATCCCTGAGTCCACCCAGCTCTGATGGGTACCTAGCTCTCGTTAGGGAAAGTAAAGGCGGCTGGGCATAGTGCTGACCACACTATCCCTTCATATGCTGAGGTCACAGAAACAAGTGAACTCTACTTCACTTGCCCCGTAGACTGTCAGGTTCGAAAGGGAACTTTACTTACTTATTAGGTATCTGATTAAGATCAGCTTTGTGGTTATGTTCAGAGCTTGGGCTAGATTTTTCTTGAACAGTTCACCAAAACTAGTGTAGCTTGTTGTGTGGCACAAACAGCCTTAATTGATTGTACACATTTCAAATCTCTGTTCAAAGTCGTTTAAGCCCAACCTGCATTTTCAATAAGAGTGCATGGCTAAAAGATTTTAAAAAACCAGGCCAGTGATGAGGAAAAAAGGATGATGGAGGGTCTGTTTACAGCACATTAGCCAGGAAAATTTTAACCCTTTAGCTGTCACTGTCTCACAGCCTTGCTTGTAATTTAATTTGTTGTGTGGGGGAATGAATACTTGAGAGGGGGGTAGGGGGGGTGAGCCTGGTAATTTGAGATAACAAGACTTTTTTTTTGATGTGTCAATGGTGAGAAGCTGGTGGAGGGAAAGTGGGTGGAGGAGGGTTGGTGGTCAGCATATGGGGTAGTGGTCACTGCTTTCAAGGGAGGGTTAATGTGAACAAATAAGGTTTAACAAACGTATACTAAAATGCCAAAAAAAAAAAAAAAATATTATTTAATTTGTGTTAGTAACCTAAGGGGGTGGCATTGTCTCTGATTCCACCCAGCTTTAATGGGTTCCCGGCATGACTAAAGTTTTAGGGCTGGCCATAGAACTGACCACGCAATAAAAAATTTTTTTTTAAAAGATCCTTTAGGTTCATTGAAATGTAAAAAAGTACCCTTTAGAAAATGATAGTCCATGAGGTAGGTGAGGTAGAGTTCATCTGTTTAAAAGACCTAGGCATGTGAAGGGATAGCGTGTTCAGCACTGTCCAAGCAACGTTTACTTTTCCTTAATGTGATTCATCTGTGTATGAGAGAGCGTGGCCTAGTGGTAGAGTTCAAATCCAGGTTCAAGTCAGTGGATTGTCCCTGAGTTCACCCAGCCCTGATGGGTACCAAACTCACATTAGGGAAAGTAAAGGCTGCTGGGCATAGAGCTGATCACACTATCCCTTTATGTGCTGAGATCACTGAAACAGGTGAACACTTCTTTCTTTACCCCATGGTTCAAAAAACCCTTCAGGTTCAAAAAGGGAACTTTTAATGTGAGTCAGGTACTCATTAGAATAGAGTGGACTCAGGGAAGTCCTATGTACTCGAGCCTGGGAATCAAACTCTAGACTTTCAGGTTAGCAGTTACATGCTCTTCCATTTGACCATCCCACTCCATTCAGTGAAATGTAACTCTGAGAAAACTTGATTATACTTTCTACCCATTTTTCCAGCTCTTGTCAGCGGCCTATGTCCCAGGAGGGGTGACAGTCTACCCTAGCCTAACCTAACCATTTTTCCAGCGTAGTGTCATTTGTTTTTATTTGTTGATTCAGGTCTCATAAGGTCAAGGGTCAAAGGTGCAGATGCCGCTAAAGGTCAGGTGCTGACGTTTTTAGACAGCCATTGTGAGTGTAATGAGAAGTGGCTGGAACCTCTGCTGGACCGTGTCAAAGAGGTGAGGGACAGTCAGACATCAAACTGTCAGACAATTTTTTTTTTCTTTGTAACTTTTGGTTTTTTCTTCTTTTTTATTTTTATTTTTTTTTTATTTTATTTTTTTTTAAAGCTTGATCATTAATTTTTTTCCCAATTATTTCAATTATATTATCTGTTTGCAAAACAAATAATTTTTTAAATTTTTGTTTTAATTTGTGTCAATTCCTGATTTTTGTATAAACAAAAATAAATTTTGATGTTTCAAATTGGTTTGACATATCACTATTTTACCTGTTCTATCCCTCATAAAATTTAGATAAAGTTTTAATTAGGTGTTCCATAATTATTCCTCCATTAATGTGTGAGTTGATGTTGTTCAAATGTGTTTATTCCAGGACAGAAGAAATGTGGTGAGCCCCATCATTGATGTCATTAGCATGGACAACTTTGACTACATTGGTGCATCAGCTGATCTCAAGGGAGGTAAGTCTAATTTTTAAATATATTTTTAATATCACCCATTTAAATTTTTAAAAATTTACCAGAATTATTATCATTTCAACTTATTTATTAAAACCTTTCAATTATTAAACACGTTAGAAAATTTAATAGGTAACACTGTATTATACCTAGTGGTCGAGACTTAATAACCTGTTCAAATCTTAATCAAATAATCTATTCTATTCAGCCTCGTTATTTTAAAATATTAATGGGTAGTAAAAAGCATTAAAAAAAGCTTTATAAAGCCATACCTCAGTGTATGATATAAAAGAAAATAACAAGAAAAACATACCAAGACATCCAACAGACAGAAAGAAAGGTGTAACTTCTATTTTAAAGAAATCCAATTTTTCCCACGCAGTAAATTGTTTTAACAAAATATTGATAAGTGATATAAAAAAGCAACTTATGTTTCAGTTTTTAATTTATATAAATATTTTTCTCAAAATTTATAAATTTATAAAATTAAAAAAAAATATAATGTCATTTTTCCCCTGCAGGAAATTGTTTTAATAAAAATATTGATAAGTGAATAAAAATAAAAAGCAATTTATGGTTCAGTTTTTAATTTTAAGTTAATATTTTCTTGAAATTTCTAAATTTCTAAAAAAAGCAACTGACAATGTGCGTCCAGTTTCCGAAACAGAAAAAAAAATTTCAAATTTTTTAAGTGGTCAGTTTACATATCTGTAGGAGTTCTTTTGTCAAGTTCCTGGTTGTATGAGTGATCCACCCCCTAAAAATATTTCTTGTGGCAGGCTTTGATTGGAACCTGGTGTTCAAGTGGGACTACATGACAGCAGAAGAGAGAAATAGACAAAGGCAGAACCCTACAGCCCCTATCAGGTAGTACAGTCTTACCAAGGTTACATCTACTTAAAGTTTAACACTTAATACTTGATAGGAAGAGATTCTAGACTTAAGAAGAAACTTTTAAACTTTTGAAATTGAAAAAAAAAACTGTCTAAAAATCGCACTTGTTTTCATATGGTAATTTTGCATTAAAAGAGACTTGACTCTGGAGTTTTTAAATTTTGAAGCTGATTTCTGAGTTATCTTTCTTTGTATGTTAAATTTAAAAAATTAGTTGTTTTGATTACTTTTTGAGTTAGACTGTGTTTATGTTTTCAGAACTCCCATGATAGCTGGTGGTCTGTTTTCTATAGACAAGTCATGGTTTGAGGAACTGGGCAAATATGACTTGCAGATGGATGTATGGGGTGGAGAAAATCTGGGTATGTATGACATGACATAACGAGGATATAGGCCTACAGACAGCCTAGTGATAAATGGGTAGGGTAAATTATTAGAGTATGCTGGACACAAATAGTTTAATTATTGGAAAACATCAGTAAGCATGACACATGGATATTTTTGTAAAAAAAAAACTAACAGTGGTAAGTATGATACTTGAAATAGATGGGGGGGGGGGGGGGTAGGGAGGGGGAAATCTGGGTAAGCATTATACACATTGGAAATTATATTAATTCTTTTTCAATGATAAATTTAAATTATATATTTTAGCATAATTTAAAATAATTTTTTTCACAAAACATTTTCAGGGGTGCCACTTTTCCGGGATATCCCGGATTTCCGGATTCGAGAATCATATTTTTTTCCTTTTCCGGATTCGCAAGATTTGAGTTTGAAAATTTCCGGGTTTGCAGTTTAAAAAATTTTTTAGATCGTTTTAAGCTTGAAAATTTTGGCATTGTAAAAATAGTTTTTATCAACACTCCCGCTAATAGCCTTTTCCGAAAAAAAATGAATAGTAAATGACGTCAGCAACAATCTCACACGTGCGCCAAGGACCAAATAAAAATCAGCTGTATCAGATGCGTGAGGCTGTAGACGAAACTTTTTAATGTCATTCGTGGTGTGGCTGTCTGGTTATTTTTTATGACGATATGGGTTAGGGGTAAAACTCGCATTATTTACGTTATGTCATCAATGGGATACCGCTAGGCTGTGTAATAAAACAACTAAATTCTACAATTACTAGATCTAGATCTAGCTCACTAGCATCGCCGATCGTCTTTTAAAAAAAACAAAGATTTTGCTCCGATAAAATTTTTTTTTTTTTTTTGTATTTGGTATTACAAAAAGAAAAGAAAAAATCTATTTGGAGGACTATTTTATGTATGAAATAGAACTGTGCTGTTTTCACTCAACTTTACCGTCACTTTTTACCACCTCGTACCCGCTTCTTCAAGGTCGCGCTGACCGTAAGACCTACGTCACGAGACCACGTGAACACGGTCTGAGTCGTGTCTCTCGGTCAAGGCAGTTCTACAAGTACAAGCGCTGTTTAATTTTAACGTGGTTATTTTTAATTCAAGAAAAAAAAATTAGATCTGCATCGTTTTATATCAGTAAAAAAAAATATGTAGGCCTGCTATAATTTAGTTACACGATCTAGCAGGGTCTACATCTAATTTTTTTTTTTTACTTTGGTAAAACGTCATTGAAATGTTTAAACAACCTTGAAAATAGCCGCTATCACTGCCCCCTCCCAACCGCTTGTAAAAAAAAAAAAATCAGCTTTTCACTTAGTCGGGCGGCTACATCTCTGACATGAGTATTACTAGCGTAGTTACTTCTAAAATTATTTTTAAAATTAACTTAATTCTTATGAACTTAAAACTTCCACAATATTTCTTACGTCATCATGTATATCAAAGGTGGGGGGGCATTGGGGTCGTTCATAAATGACGTCACACTCGTAGGGGGAGGGGGGTCCGTAATTTTGTCATGAGGGGGAGGGGTTCAGATGGTGTGACATCACACTTTTGCATTATCGAAAAGCTATGTTAGAAAACTAATTTTAGCCGTTATTTCGCGTTTTAGAATATTGTTTCAATAAAGTGTAATAAGAATTGATTAAAATACTCTATGTTGACAGAGGTCAGACAAGATTTTTGGAAAAATATCGTATTGTAAGAAAAATTCGACTGCAATTTTTAGGGGGGGGGGGGGGGGTGTATGTTGAGGTGTGACGTCATTTTAGAGGGCGGGGTCTGGCTTTTTGTGACGATATGTGACCGAGGTGAGGTGGGAGGTAAAAATCGTCAAAAAAGCGTGACATCATTTATGGATGACCCCATTGGTGTTGATTGGGAAAACAGGGTTTAAGGTTTTTGTTGTGGCTGTTAATAATTAAAGCCTTGAATAGCTACAGTAAGTCAACCCTGTATTTTAATACAGTGGCAATCTTATTAGGGGTCTGCATATAGTGGGCTTATTATTCAATAACAAGATATAGAGGTTAGCAAAATATTTGTTACTTAACAGTTGGTTGACTACTCACTTTAACTCAAGCTAGGAAGTTCTAAAAAATTAAATAGTTATGTTATAAAAGCTGTCGGGGGGGGGGGGGGAGTTCTACAATAGCACATTATGGGGTAGGCCTAGAGATGGGAGTAACATTGTAAACTAATTTTGTTGTAAGCACAATCCTTTAAAGATTAATTTTTATTTGAAGCTTGTTACAAAGAAAATAAATCCATTTTAAAGACATGTAAATTGAACATAATAATATATGAATCAAATGTCTCAAAAAATAATGAAATAACAGTCCATTTTATTTTGAAATTCCGCGCGGAATTAAGTTTCAGGGTTTCAAAAATTTCAAATTTTAGTTTCAGGATTGGTAAAATTTTGGGATTCATTTTCAGGATTCACTTAAAAAATGAGTGGCACCCCTGCATTTTTTTTTAAATATAATTTAAAATGGTAATGATTTGAACACTATTCAAATCATTTTTTTTAGAAATCTCTAAAAACATTGTTTTTGAAACCTCTCCGTTTTTTTCCCAACAGAAATTTCTTTCCGAGTGTGGCAGTGCCACGGCAGCCTTGAGATTATCCCATGCAGTAGAGTGGGCCACGTCTTTAGGAAACAGCATCCGTACACCTTCCCAGGTGGCAGCGGCCAAATTTTTGCCAGGTATGTTTTGTATATAACTTTGATATGAAACTACAGGTAGATTATTGTAGTGATCTGCCTGTTTTCAACTTCGAATGTTAAATTAAGGTGCATAAAATTTAACTTTTTTTTTCAATTTTGAAAACTAATTATAGTTTTAAATTTAAAATAAGTGGGGGTGTATCTTATGTTAGTTCACTATTATCAAGGAGGGGTTCTATACATAGCTACACTGACTATAAATTCTAGGAATAATGCCCACAATTTATGTATAAATGTGACATGGTTTATCTCCTCCTACCCCCCCCCCCCCCCCCCCCACCATTGTTTTATCTAGGAACACCAAGCGTGCCGCCCAGGTGTGGATAGACGACTACATACAGTTTTATTACGCTGCCGTACCATCAGCCCGGCATGTGGACACTGGAGAGTAAGTTCATTAGTGGTAGTGGTCCTGTTGATGGTCCTACTGTGGTCCTGTTGATGGTCCTGTTGATGGTCCTGTTGATGGTCCTACTGTGGTCCTGTTGATGGTCCTGTTGATGGTCCTACTGTGGTCCTACTGTGGTCCTGTTGTGGTCCTACTGTGGTCCTGTTGTGGTCCTACTGTGGTCCTGTTGTGGTCCTACTGTGGTCCTGTTGATGGTCCTGTTGTGGTCCTGTTGATGGTCCTGTTGATGGTCCTACTGTGGTCCTGTTGATGGTCCTACTGTGGTCCTGTTGATGGTCCTACTATGGTCCTGTTGATGGTCCTACTGTGGTCCTACTGTGGTCCTGTTGATGGTCCTGTTGATGGTCCTGTTGATGGTCCTACTGTGGTCCTGTTGTGGTCCTGTTGATGGTCCTACTGTGGTCCTGTTGATGGTCCTACTGTGGTCCTGTTGATGGTCCTACTGTGGTCTTGATGATGGTCCTTTTGATGGTCCTACTGTAAAGTAGTTCTGTTTATGCATATTGTTAATCTAAGCAGTACAGTTGAAACGGGTTCAGTTAAAGTTGAAGACTAATTAAACATTTGTTTATTCCTCAGTTTAACAGAGAGGATTGCTCTGAGAGAGAAGCTACAGTGCAAGCCTTTCAAATGGTTTCTGGAGAATATTTACCCAGAGTTGAAGTAAGTTGGTTATGCTTTAATATTTTCCCTGAGTTAAAGCATGTTTGTTAGGTTTAAATATTTAACCTGAGTTAAAGCAATTTAGTTAAGTTTTGATATTTAACCTGAGTTGAAGTAAGTTTGTTAGGTTTTAATATTTAACCAGAATTGAAGTTTTTAGGTTTAAATATGTAATTAGAATTGAAGACACTGGTTTAAATTAAATAATTTGTTAAGAAAAATCTTACTTGATATATAATTGAAATTATGGCAGACATAGAAGTTCAGATCATCAAAATATATTTCTGCAGTCAGATTTTTGTTGAAAGGTTTGGGTAAGATTCAATGTTTCATTCAAGCTGTTTTTTGGATTAGCCTGCAGTGCAGTCATTTTTTAAATTACAATTTACCTTTTTATAAGTCATTTCAGTGCATAAAATTTAGGTTGGAGGGAGTATTGTTTGGAATATGATTAAATGGTTTAGTTTCTTTTGAGTCATTTTTGTCCCACACAAAACACAGGTTAACACTGACATTTTTTTCCACTAGATAAATGGTGCTAGGTTGATAGTGTTGTCTTTTCCTCTGAACCGAAACCAAAACAAAAATCAGCACCTAAACTTCAAATTTAATCGGAAACGAAAAATGTCATTGATAACGGATTTTTATACAGAATCAGCATTTTAATGGATCGGGAAATTTAACTTGAAATAAAACATCTAACAAACCTTTTGTATATTTACATTCACTTTTAAAATTAGAAGTTTCATTTTTTGGTTTCTATTACCGATGATGTTATTATTATTGTGTACCGTTTTTGGCATTCAATTCTTAATTCTTTTTTTTATTCAACTATCACTGATGCCATTCTATTTTGTGCATAGATGCTAGATATAGACATTATCACAATACTTTATGTGGTAACCTTAATCTACACATAGTTACTGCACATTCATACTAAAAAATAGTTGCAGTGATACTCCTAAACCTTAATATACTTTCTATAGAAATTCTATTTCGTTCAGGGGGGGGGGGGGTTGTCTATGCCCCCTACCCAAAGAAACTCTACATGCCAACCACTTTTAAGATTAGACAAATAAATTAGGCATTAATGTTCTTGAATTATATATATATATATATATATATATATATATATATATATATATATAGTTATATATATATAAGTTAAAAAATGTTTATTCTGTTTCTTGATGTTTTCTTTTTCAACTTGTTTTTTTCTTCTTATGTTTTAATTTTGCGTTTGTTTGAAATGATCCCAGAGTGCCCAGTGCCCAAGATGTGGCCTTTGGCAGCATCAAACAACAGCAGCATTGTATGGACACCATGGGCAACTTTGCTGATGGCACCCTGGGACTCTACCCTTGTCATAACACTGGGGGCAATCAGGTAGGGACTGGTGTTGTGGGGGTGGGGGATGGTGGGGGGGGGATCAAACTTTGCTGACGGCACCCTGGGACTCTACCCTTGTCATAACACTGGGAGGAATCAGGTAGGGACAGGTGTTGTGGGGGTGGGGGATGGTTGGGGGGGGGGGGGTGAGGGGGGGGGATCAAACTTTGCTGATGGCACCCTGGGACTCTACCCTTGTCATAACACTGGGGGGAATCAGGTAGGGACTGGTGTTGTGGGGGTGGGGGATGGTGGGGGGGGGGGGATCAAACTTTGCTGATGGCACCCTGGGACTGACTCTACCCTTGTCATAACACTGGGGGGGATCAGGTAGGGACTGGTGTTGTGGGAGGGGGTGGGGATGGGGGATCAAACTTTGCTGATGGCACCCTGGGACTCTACCCTTGTCATAACACTGGGGGGAATCAGGTAGGGACTGGTGTTGTGGGGGTGGGGGATGGTGGGGGGGGGGGTGAGGGGGGGGGGGGATCAAACTTTGCTGATGGCACCCTGGGACTCTACCCTTGTCACAACACTGGGGGGAATCAGGTAGGGACAGGTGTTATGGGGGTGGGGGATGGTGGGGGGGGGGATCAAACTTTGCTGATGGCACCCTGGGACTCTACCCTTGTCACAACACTGGGGGGAATCAGGTAGGGACAGGTGTTGTGGGGGTGGGGGGGGGGATCAAACTTTGGTGATGGCACCCTGGGACTCTACCCTTGTCACAATACTGGGGGGAATCAGTTAGGGACAGGTGTTGTGGGAGTGGAGGGGTGAGGGTGGGGGATCAAACTTTGCTGATGGCACCCTGGGACTGACTCTACCCTTGTCACAACACAGGGAAGGGGAACCATGTATAGACAGGTGTTGTGGGGGTGGGGATGAAACTTGATGTGTGGGAGAGGATGGTATTTAAAATGAAGTACCTTGTGGTATAGAGGAAGAAATGTACCGCCCTCAGGTGTTGAGTTAATGCTGCATTTTTTGTTTTACAATTCTCAGTTCAAGTAAATTCCAGTTCAATGTTTTTTAATTTTGTTAGGAATTTTAAAGTTTGAAAACAGGGGACACAATCACCATTTATTTATACCATGGCTGAATCCATGTTTTTATTGTTGCAGGAGTTTTCTTTAACAGAAGCAGGAGAGATCAAGCACTTGGACCTGTGTGTGACCTTGACAGAGGTGCAGGTTGGGAGTGTGGTCAAGTTGTTCCAGTGTACGGCCGAAAACCCAATGCAGGTAGGGCATCATGGACTCTTCTTTGTTAGAATGTTCATTTAGGTGGGGTAGTCAAGCTCTTCTTTGTTTGAAGGTTGATTTAGGTGGGGTAGTTTGGCTCTTGTTTGTTTGAAGGTTCATTTAGGTGGGGTAGTTCGGCTCTTCTTTGTTTGAAGGTTCATTTAGGTGTGGTAGTCCAGCTCTTCTTTGTTAGAAGGTTCATTTAGGTGGGGTAGTCCAACTCTTCTTTGTTAGAAGGTTCATTTAGGTGGGGTAGTCTAACTCTTCTTTGTTAGAAGGTTCATTTAGGTGGTGTAGTCTAGCTCTTCTTTGTTTGAAGGTTGATTTAAGTTGTGTAGTCTAGCTCTTCTTTGTTAGAAGGCTAACTTATGTGGGGTAGTCCAGCTCTTCTTTGTTTGAAGGTTCATTTAAGGTTGGGTAGTGTAATTGTTAAAGACAAAATTATAGTTGAAGTGATAACTGTTAACGCCCAATCATTTTTTAAACCCCCCCCCTCCTCCCCTCGTCTAATTGAAATCCAACATAATAAATAAACGTAACAACTATTTAGCATTGGACTGACATCATTTTTTAAAAATCAAATAGAATTTATAATAAATAAATTATGTTTGTTCCTCCATATTTCTCTCAGTCATTACAAATTTTGATGTGTCTTTATATCCAAACAAAATGGCTTATATATGTTTCACATATGGTTTTTATGTTATTATATGTTTTATATGTTGTTTTTCTTACATGTTTGATGAATGTTCATAATTTACACAAGTATTATTGTTTTTCTACCAGCATTTTATGCAAACTCCCAACAAGGATCAGCTGAGGGTCAGAGGTTACGAGCTATGTCTAGACAGCATTTCTTGGAAATCAAAAGGGATCGTTGTCAACACCTGCGACCCATCCTCCCCATCACAGAAATGGACTTTTACCTTAAACAAGAACAGATAATACAGACTAAAAGAGGTTAGGTTAGAAGATGTTATCTGAGACTAGTTACTGTAGGTGTTCAGTGTTATGTTATGATTGTAACATAACTGGATAGTGTTTTATAAACTTTGAATTATGCTGAAATATTTTTTAACTAAAATTAAAGATTTAGAAAGCCAAAGCATTATTAACATGTGAAATTAGTAGCTGTTACAAGTCTACTTTTTGGAAGTATTTGTTTTCAAATAAAATGTTTTAAAAAATTATATATATATATATATATATATATATATATATATATATATATATATATATATATATATATATATATATATATATATATATATATATATATATATGGAAATTAACGTCATACTTTTATAAAAGTATTTTTTTTAGTTATTAAGTTTATCTTTTTTTTTTAAAAAGCATACAGCTAAAACAATTTAAATTATGTAATTAATAATACAACACAATTTTTTGTTTAATATCAAAGGCATGTGGCCAGTTCCACTCCGCGAATTAAAATAATGTTTGCTAAAATTGTGCTAAGTGAGATTACTGTTGCATGTTGTAAAATAAATTAACACAGCTGCTTTTGTCAGTAGTGTTTGCTTTGTTTTGTGAATTGGATGAACCTTGTTTGGTAGATGCGGAGACATTTGTTGTGTGAATGAATTGTGTCTGTTCTGGAGTGAGTTATGAATTCTGACGACAGTTTTTCTCTGAACTGTGTTTTTAAATTTAAAAAATTTAACTTATAATTTATTATGTCATTTTTTTTTACACATGCATTTTAACAGTGTTATGTTTTTTTGTTTTTTTTTCTCATAATTCTTCCATGAAATTTTTAATTTTGTTTTCATATAAAAAAAATCAATCTTAACTTATTTTGCAAGTCAGTTTTTAAAGCACATTTTAATAAATTAATTTGAACTGTTTTAAAATGTATACAATATGGTTTGTGAAACATATTATTTTCTTTACATTTCTTTACTTTTTTTAGTCAACCCACCATTAAAAAAGTTTATTAAAACAAGGGACACATTTCATGACATAAATTAATGAGAGTATTATGGCTTTACTGATTATTTTACAAGAGGCCGGTCAACTTTAATGATTAATTACTAATTAATGATTAATTAATAAATGATCCTATCATATCTAATTAATTTATTAAATAACTTTGTCTTCTATGATTAATTTGTAAAAAAAATGACTGACTTTAATGATTACTTTATATGATGTTTTAGAGTTGAAAAATTTATGAGATGACTTTTGTCAATATATGTATGAGATTACTTTGACAACAGAACCACATTAGCTTGACGACCCTGACTGAACATAATTTGAAACATTTCTGTAAACACCAAGTCTATTTTTTTTTCTTTCAAAAAACCTAAAATCATTGAATTTCAACCTAATGCATTTATTGTTGAGAGTTTCATAAAATAAATGTTTGTTGATGTTTGTGACTAGTTTACCAAATGCATAGTATGGACGTAAAAAAAAAATGGTCTATACTTGAATACAGTGTGATGTGAAATAAATAAAAAAACAGTGTGATTTTTTTTTTTTTAATGATTAAATATGTGATGGATGGTGTTGTGATATACTTTGAATGCCTTTAAAATAATTTAATTATGAGACATGTATGTTTAAATTCCCATAAAACAGTAGTTTATTATTTTATGTAAGATACGTTGCCTTTTTTGTGTCTATCCACTAAGTTTTTATCAGCCTATACAATTGTGTCAACATACGCTGTATGCTAGTCAGTGTGTGGTTCATGTTAGGGTGGTTTTCTATTATAATTAGGCTGGTAGGGTTCAAAGGGTTTAGTTTTCAATAAGTTATTACATTTTCTATGCATAAATGGTACTTTATTTTAAATCCTCATTAGACTTCTTAAAATTAGTGAATAATTAATGAGCATATTGTACTTTAAAAGGTTCATCTAAGTAAGTTTGTATTTAAAGTTTTTAAATATATTAAATGTTGATTGTCCCCTGCACATCAGTTGTATACACCTGGTTAAATAAGTTAAGAAATATTTGGTATTCTGACAAAGAGAGCTCATTTGCGTTATAAAAATATAATTTTTAGTGGTCTGGTTGTGTTCGTTAACTTAATTAGCTTGTGCGATGAAGAAGACACCTTAAAGGCCTGTTTGTCTTTGCTGTGTGTACAATCTAGGCTCAGATGTTTCAATTAGAATAATTATCAACAGCTGTTAGATTGTCTTTAATTAACATGTTTGAAAACATGCATTCCATAACCATTTTTCTAACATTAATTACACAACTAATTAATTAATCACAAGTTATATCTAATTTTTTTTTTAATTTTTCAGCGTGATTATACAATTATGAAAACTCAGGTTTCTGTAGTGTATTGTTCACTGAGATAATTTATTTTCAAATATTTCCTAAGTCAGTCAGCGTCATTTTGACACTTTTCATATCTATTTAAAGGTTTGAGATAGTTTATCTTTCAAATTAGTTTGTTAGATTAATGCTCTGTAGATTGGAATTTGGTATCTCTTATCAATTCTTGAAGAGATGTTTTTTTTTTTAATTTAGCCCTATTCCCAAAAGAGAAAACAAGTGTAATTTTTACACACTATTCTTTCCTAGCATTTGATTTGTGTAAACTGTTTATCTAGCTTTACATTATGAAAACCATTGCTCATGGTGTCATGATTACAGTTACCTCCCTCACATGGTATTGAAATGTTCCATGTCTTATGTTTTTTTAGCCTTAGGGGTTGTGCACATATAACATATACGGGGTTGTGGGTGGCTGATCCTTCACTAGATTGTTATGTAGGGGTAGTGTGTGGTTGTTCATCTTGTTATATTGTGTTATGTTGGGGTAGGGAAGGGTATGGAGTGATGTACTACAATGCCATTGATTTTCTTTATGCTTTTGTTTTGCAACATTTCTACTGTTTTGAATTACTGAAAAAAAAATTAGCTTACAGATCTGGCTTACAAATTATCTATTTTATGCACAAAATAAAGGCATTGCATTGTTTCTTTTGAAGGTATTTACTCTAAAAGGATATGATTTGCATAATTTATGTTAGAACAGATTTGGTAACGTCAAATTGTGTTTTGATATTTAAATTGGTAGGGCATCCTAGATCTGTTTGTAATACAAGGTTGGTGGTCTAGAGAATATATTATCAGGTATTTAATGTCAAATGGGTAGGGATTGGTGCAAATATTTAATCTTAGTGTTATATAATATTTGCACGATCCTCTAGTTTTGGCTGTATTTAATTTTCTAATGACATACAAATCAGTGAAATCCACATAAAATCTTTGGCCACTGTTGTCAATGTATTTGAGATCTCTTTTGTGTTATCCTATTGTCGTTGCTAAATAGACCAAATATATTTATAGTTTTTAAGTTCTAGTGAAGATATGCTTTGTGTGATAGGCCCTTAATTTTAAAACTTTTTAAAAAGACAATCATATTCTGTTTACCCATTTTGTTTTAAGTTTAAAATTAAATATTTTAAAAAGAAACCGTTATAAAATAAAATATTTAATTGTTATTTAATAAATTTAGTAGTTTTTCATTTGTTTTAATAAACATTTGACTACCTCCTGGTGCATTTAAATGTGAAAAAAAATTGAATCAAAACAGCTATTGTTTTAGTTTTGTTTGTTTTACTCTGAATTTAGCACGAGGAGCTGAGAAATATTTAAATTTTATTTAACCTGATCTACACCCAAAGCTAGAACTGAGGAAATAATGTGTTTTGTCTTATTTTAGAAATTCTTTTATTTATATCATATATTTAAAATTTCTCCTTCTGAACACACGTATGTATAGAAAGATGTCATTGTCATCACCTGTGTGTGTTTGTTCAAACTCCCACCAACACCAACTGCTTAAGATGTGATTGTGTTCCACCTATTGAGGTTTGAAACCAGCCTAACTGGCAACTAAACTTCCAGTGACACATTTGTTGTTTAAATTCTGCTGTCCATCATAAGCTTATATCACAGGTTGCTTCCTTTTGTTTGATATTCATTAAGTCTGGCTTGGGATTCATCTATATTGTTGTCTATATCTACTGCCATTCCTTAATTTCTTTTATTTTTTAATTTCAGTGATATAAATTTAGTCTGTTTTTCAATCAGCTTTAAAAAAAATCTGCTTTATACTTAATTTATTTTATTTAACAAGTATAGTATTGAATTTGACAAAAAAATTAGGTTGCAAAGTGACAGATAATAGATTACCTGCTTTGAGAATGGAAGTGAAATATTCTCTATGCTTGACAGTTAATAGCACAAGTGAAGTAGAGTTGATCTGTTTCTGTGAATTGTGGTTGAATTCTGAGGATAACTGTAGAATCACCAACTGGCTTTAAGAAAACTGTTGACTTGCTGAATTTTTTTTTACTTGTACCCTCTTAAACCATATTATTATTGAGTTCTACACCTCTTGATAATTTTTTATGTCATTTATATTGGCTACATTTTCTTCTGTTTTTTTTTCTCTCTCCTTGAATGCTATTATTTGCTGGGTTTTTAAGTTACATGATCTGCCATAAAAAGATACATAAAAATATGTGTATTTTTGTAGTTAATTTATGAATGAATATTGAAATAAAGCTGCCCACCACAAAATATTATTGAATTTTGTTGATATTTTAAAACATGGTTTTAAAATATTAAGTTTTTGACTCCTTTTGTTTTTATGTCTCTGTAAGAATTTTAAGAATCTAATTTCTTTCAATTAATTCAAATTTTATATAATAATGTAAGTTAAATTATTTTAAATCTCATTTGGTGTTAAACTACAGTAGACCCTAAGATAAAAACGTACAAGTTTGAGTTTTACTTTTGTTAAACATTGTTACAAATGCATACAAATTATTCTTATGCTGTAAAATTAAAGTGTGTTAAGTTTATTTTACCTCATATTTTAATGATGCAAGTGTTGTCTCAACGTTTTAGTTTGGCTATTAAAAATATTGTCTCCATCTTATTCTTAACCTGCCCTTCACATATCAGATTTAACATAAAAGTTGTACACAAAAATGCAATACTATGTTTAAGAAAATTCAAAATATATTTACTAGATCTATATGAGATAAATTTGTATAATAAAAGAAATATTAAACCTTTTAATATACCTTTTTAAACTTCCTTTTTTTGCTTAAGTATCTATAATACGAAAGTCAAAATGGTGTTGATTTGCTGTGTGTGAATTAAACTGAATTCTATGAGTGATTATGTTATGCATTGTTTAAAAAAAAAAGTATGCAATTCAACGCTTTTGTTATCAATGCTAAAATAAAATAAATGTGTACTATTTAGAAAAGTTTTGTGTTAATCTGTCAGTCACTATTGTTTTTATCTCTCTAAAGAATCTGCTTAGTCTACACAAGAGATGATTCATTCAACTTTCTCATAGTAGACAGCGAAAAAAAAATTTGCAAAAGAAAAATTAGGACAATTATTTTATTATTAAAACAAGCAAAAAACAAAATATATAGACAAAATGGTCCCAGCAATCTGACAGCTTAAAAAATACATTGTCCATTAAGTAAAAAAAAAAAAACAACAAAAAATAACTATCGAATTCTTTAAGATTTCAACACCCACTCCAGCTGATAATGTAATCAACCTGCTGACAAACAAACAAGTTAGCCACGACAAAAATTGTTCAATCCTAACCAAAAATATAATAATTGGTAAATCAACACAAAAAAAAGATATGTCAAAACTTACAAACATTGGTAACTATTTTTGTTTTATATTTTCTAACAAATATCTTAAAAACCCATTATGGCTGGCTAAAAATATAAATCTAGATCTAGTTTAAAATAAGAAACGTTGAACAGTATTTTTTTTTTGTAGTTAGTACATGACAATATCTAAGTTTTTCCCCCTTTTAGAAATATTCGTAATCCAACAGAAATAATTTACGTTATTTTCTTAAAAAACCAAACTATTTTAATCCGCTAGTTCTAAACACCATTAAAGAATATAGATATCTCTTGCTCTAAGCACATTGCCCTAAATATATTTTTAAAAACTTGGTCACAATAAGACAACAGAAAAAAAAAAATTGATATGATAAAAATTATTTACATAGTATCACAGACAAGTGTTCAAAAAAATATTAATCCAAGGGCCACATTTTTACAATGCTCTCCCTTCATTCATCTTTAAAAGCAGAAGAAAATGACCGACATTTTTTTGTTTTTCATAAATCCTCTAAGCAGTTTAAAAAATATATTGAGTTTCATAAAAAAATTTTTGTTCCCGCAAGCTGCCACAGATCATCATATCTTCCTCCACAAATACAAAAAAATGATACAAAAATCTTTTAAAAAAAATTGTATCATAAATTTTTAAAACCAGTATTGCTGTTATGTTAATTGTCAGGTGGGATACAACACTAGCAATTTAAAAAAAATTGTCTTATTTACATCCTTTCAAAATTAAAAAAAAAGCAACAAAATTTCTAATATTCAGCCAAACCTTTGTTAAAGATAATGTATAATATTAGACGTGGAGGTTGGTTAGTACATGTATTTGATTATATGCTAAGATATTTTAAATTAAGATTATTTTAAAATTACAGGTTAACTATTAGTTAATTCTAAATTGAATTTAAAACTAAGGTTAGTGTATATCTTGAGTTCAATTTGTTCTGCTACATCTTTAAAAAAAACAACATTACAACAACTTCAATAATACAGGGGGGGGGGGGAGTGAATTACACAAAAAGAGGTGTGATACAGTAGTCATCACAAAAACAAAAATAATTTTAAAAAAATAAGATGACAGTGAACTATTGCTTTGTTGATGAAGACCTCAGTGCTTAAAGGTAGTCACATTTTTTTTTGTTAAAAATCAAACCAAAAAAATGATAGTTTTTCCTTTACTCTGACTGTTGTAAATAAGCAAAAGATGAGATAGGTGTTTTAAGTCAGTCTTTTAAGCAACTGTATCAACATAAAAATATACTTAATTAGCCAACGTATCGACATAATAATTTACTTAATTAGCAAATCTAAATTTGAGAACTCAACTCAAAATGTTAATTTTGGGACATCCAGCACACTGGCCCACAATTGCTGTTAAACCTAAACAATCTTCTCATCAACTTAAACTGACAAAACAAAAATTCAGCCTCACAAGGCATCTCTTGCTTGATGGGATCATCATCAACACACAATGAGACATGGAAATAAAACAAATTCTATGGATACTAGCAATGACTGGCACCTTTAAAAAAAAATGATGAAAAAAAAAATAACATCCAGTAAATGTAAACCGTACAGAATTTAAATTGGTGTGTAGTTTACTTACATAAAAGTTCAGCAACAAAACAAAAAAAGGAGTTAAAAACAATAATAGAAACAAAAGTTCAATCATGAAACCAAGACACTAGATTGGGATGTAATTTAAAAAAAAAAAACCTCTTATTTTTAGCTGCTTCTCCATTTCAATAGTAATAATTTACATTTATGACATACCTCATGTGTCATAAAGTTGTTTTTTTTTACAGATTCTAAAATTAAATAAAAAAAAATCAATTACAATTTCATTCAATACTTATTTTTAAAGTCATGTACTCTCAGTTGTGAAAAAAAAAACCCCCAAAAAAAAAAACAACAACAAGCTATGAACATATTTACAAATATTAAAAGACTTGGCACTTTATTTTTGTGTGTGAAAAGGGACAGAATGATGAATTTAAAAAGTTAGGTTGTGATCTGTGAATGATGTGTACAAGTTCAGTTCATGACAGAGAAAAAAAAAGTTACGTAAAGGTCACAATGAATGTGAGTGAATGAAGATCACACACAAGTAGAGGTGGGGGGGTGCACAGCATCAGACGACAAAAATTCATGGACGGTTGGGCTTGAGCATTGTGTTTTTTTTAAATAAAGTTATTTTTTTTTTGCTCTTCAAAATGGTTTTAAAATACTTTCATAAAATGCCATTCGCATTGAAAAATTCAGATGTATTAAAAATAAGCCAAAATAACATAGGCTACAAATTTTTGCTTGAAGTAGGTTATATATCAGTCTTTTAAAATGGCATGCTGCAAAGGAGTTCAAAGATGAAAGAATTGACATTTTAAAAATTTCTCAAAATAAATTATTTCTCAATACAAGTTAAGTGTGTGGACATTATTGTAATTTTATACAGTTGACTAGAGCAGACTAACTAACACAGAAACACATTTTAGCAACTTAAAATCTCAACTGTATTACACAGTTTTTAAAAAAAAAGCATTCCTGACAACTATAAAGCTAGGAAACAAACAAAAAATTTGGATTAAAAAAAAAAGCTGTCTGGTAGATAGTTGAACATTTAAAAGCTTTGGTTGAAAAAAAAAACAATACACTGAACAAGAAAAATTAGCAACAAAGTTTGTTCATATAAAACATTAACAATGGTTTCCATAAAACAAGTAATGCCACAGGTCAGTGAAAGCAATGGATGGTAACACACATACAAAACATTACATGCCTTAGTTAAATTTATATGGAAGTAACACCATATTGTTATACATAAAAATATATCTTATTTTAAAAAAGGAATTATTTCTTTTACCAGTATTGAACAAATCTAAAATATAAAGTTTTAGAAGTAAATTTTGATTATGGATTTCTAAAAGATGTAAAAAAAAAAAGGCTAGGTTATTAAATTTTTTAGAGTTATTGCCCTTTAATTTAAAAATATCTAGTTTTGCAGAATGTCCTTATAAATTTTTAACCTATCAGTTCTTGTTAATATAAACTTTTTTTTTATATTGTTAAACTGTTGGTATAGACAGGGGAGGGGAGGAGTAGATGGGGTAGCCCAGGGGAGGGTCAGCAGCCTGGACCGTCAGGTTCCTCAACAGGGCGGGCTGGGCCTGGATGGAGTAGCGCTCCTCGTCATCGTTGGTCATGTACAGGAGCTCCAGGTTCAGGTTGGCCCACTGACCCATGACACTCTCCCGGTTGACCCGGCCGATGTGGACCAGGACTTCCTGCAGGGACAATGTCCTGCTGGTGTACATGCCCTGGGGATACAAAAAATTATGTTAGAAATGTCCTGCTGGTGTACATGCCCTGGGGATACAAAAAATTATGTTAGAAATGTCCTGCTGGTGTACATGCCCTGGGGATACAAAAAATTGTGTTTGAAATGTCCTGCTGGTGTACATGCCCTGGGGATACAAAAAATATTTTGTTTGAAATGTCCTGCTGGTGTACATGCCCTGGGGATAAAAAAAATTTATGTTTGAAATGTCCTGCTGGTGTACATGCCCTGGGGATACAAAAAATTATGTTAGAAATGTCCTGCTGGTGTACATGCCCTGGGGATACAAAAAAAATTATGTTTAAACATTGACTCAACATCAGCAAACTGACATTGGTGTATTTTACAGAAACAAAATGTATTACTGACTATTCTTCTTCTTCTTAGTCCTGTTCGTGCCCAAGACACATGGGGCAGATGAAGTAGAGTTCATCTGATTCATTGACCTCAGTATATGAAGGGATAGTGTGGTCAGCACTATGCCCAGCAGCCTTTGTTTCCCTAACATAAGTTAGCTACCTATCAAAGCTGGGTGGACTCAGGGACGTTTGAACCTGGATTCGAACTCGACACTCTTGGGTTAGCAGTCTAGCTCTCTACCGCTAGGCCATGCTGTTTACTGACTATTATTTCCCAAGAAATAAGTTACATATTTGCTTGACAAACCATAGATCCTATACACCTGAAACAACCCTAATACAGTCAATACTTAACAATGAATCAAACACCTAACCTATTCCATACCACTAAGTTACATATTTGCTTAACAAACCTTAGATCCCGTACACCTTAAACAACCCTAATACAGTCAATACTTAACAATGAATCAAACACCTAACCTATCCCATACCACTATGGTTTCAACTCCTAACATGTACATGAACCTAACATAAACCTAACACCCCACACCTATGAAACTAAAGCAGCACACCTAACCAACACTCTCATGATGATGAACCAAACTCCTCACATGCCTTATACATCCCCTTCCCCCCACCCCTAAACCAAACACCCCTCACCTGTCCAGTATTGACCCCCAGGGAGAACAAATTACTCCTGTTCTCCATCACAGAGACCCCCCAGTCAGGCTCCGTGTCCTTGCCGATGTACCAGTTGTCATCGTAGTCACGCAGGCTGGCCTCTAGTTCCTGATCGCTTGATATCTCCCCAATCAATGTCTGGTCCAACATCAGCTTAAACCCATACCTGATAGGGGAATAATAGTTATACAAAATAAATCATCAAACTAAAAAATAACATTTTTAAAAATGTAGCCGTTATTTTAATTATGTAAATTATAAGATAATATACAAATATTTTTTTATCAAAATTAAAAAAAAATTTAATCCCATAAAATAAATAAATAGTTTTATTAATTAATTAGGGAAAACAAATAACACAAACAATGAAAAAAAACTTCAGGATACAATTTGAAATTTAATTTAAATTTTTATAACTTCAATTGTTAGGAAAAAGAAAAAAAATTATAATTGAAAAATAAATTATAAAAAATTAAAAGGTAAAAGATTTAAAATACGTTAGTAAAAAAAAAAAAACAACTATAAAATGAGAGAACCTGAAAGCTTTTATCACCAGCCCATGTAGTTCTTTGTCCTCAGCTAACCAATCCATCATGGCGTTCCACGGGACATCCCCGTTGTAGCATTTATATAAGTAGCTCGCACCTCCAGGTCGACCTATATATATCAACACACCAGATCATAACATATAAAATATATAAGTAGTAAGCACCATTAACATATATTTTTTCTTATCACAGATTAAAACAAAACCAGTTGTAATCACATAAGGTTTGTCTTAAGACAATAACTGAGATGTGTTCAAATACAGATCTCATCAAAAAATAGGTAGAAATAGATATTCAATTTTCATTTCAACAAAAAGAATATGGGTAGAGCAATACAAAATGTAAGAATGTAAATACTAGCCAATGTAAGGGTAAGACAATACAAAATGTGATAATGTAAACAGAGAATACTAGCCAATGTAAGGTTACAACAAGAATGTAAACAGAGACTGGTGGCCCAGGTAAATTACCGTAAATACCAACACCTTACCTGGGGTGTCAAAGGCAGAGTAGCAGGCCATCACCAGCTGGCTGTAGCAGTTGGTCAGGGCATCGTCACTGCCCACCTCTGCTGCCACCTTCTGCCCAGGGTGTTCTGTGACTGACCAGTCTAAGGTGCTGAGTGTGTGCTTGTACCATGAGGTGGGGAACTGGGGTATGTAGCGGGCCAGTTGTGAGGGTTCTATAGGGAGCTCTCTCCACTTGAAGGGTACACTATAAATAGTAAACACATTGTTATAGGGAGCTCTCTCCACTTGAAGTGTACACTATAAATAGTAAACACAGTGTTATAGTTATAGGGAGCTCTCTCCACTTGAAGGGTACACTACAATAAGTAAACACAGTGTTATAGGGAGCTCTCTCCACTTGAAGGGTACACTACAAATAGTAAACACAGTGTCGTCATAAAAGGCAGATATTCTTAAAGAGTAGGCCTACACTAGTCAACAGCATAATATGAGGTGTATTTTCTTAAAGGGTACACTACAAATAGTCAACACAGCTAACAAGGTAATACAAATGATTTTCTGCTGTAAGAATAGGTTAGAGTAGGATTAAGGATTGACTAGGATCACTGTATTAGTAAAGAAATAAATGTCCTGCCAATAATTTGGAACGTAATAATAAAAGAGGATAGAGTTATGATTTTGGATAATTAAAATTTAAGTTTTTTTAAAAAATAACCTATTTTTTGAGTATCAGTTATTGTTGCAGAATGGATTTATAGTTTATAACCAAACCTTACGGCACTTAAAATCAGGCCTAAACAGTATGATATAATGAAGAAATAAAGCAAATTTACCTGATGTGTGTAGAGTACTGGCACTTAAAGTCTGGAGAACCAGCCAGGTTCATTAAGGGCTTGTAAATGTGATTGCCATTAGACACCATAAACTTGGATGTCGGCTTATTGGCAAACATAGATTTCACGCCCGTAACAGGCTCATCAAAATCAAAGTCTGGCCGAGTCCGAGGCACGTTAATATCCACAGCAGGTAAACCAAAATCCAAGTCCTCGGAAAATTCCGGAGCATCCCTACTACTAAGGCTGTTGTTGAATATTGGATTCTTGTTAGACTTGATGGGAGGTAGGGTAGTCATTACTGCATGCGGGGAAGGCGGTTTATGTGAAGAGTTGTTTGTGATTGAAACCACAGTGGAGACTTTATGTTGTTGTTTGATTGAAGATTTTTTCTTGTTTTTCTCGGCATCGAAGTCCTCGGACCAGATGCTATCAGTGAAGCTGTGGAGGGAGGAGGAGAGGGAGACTTGTCGTGACGAGCTGGACCCTCTAGAACCAGGACGCGAGTTGGGGTTCGTTTTGTTCTGGACGATCGACGGCAGGGCGAAGCTGTCACCCCCGCCGGTAAGTTGGTGGACGGAGGTATCATGCCTGTCCCTGTCGACGACGACTCCACGGTCGTACTTGTCTTTGACAACAACCGCCCGGTTGTTCCGAGCGGCGGCCATGTTGTGGTTTAACTCCTTGGGGGCGGTGTTGTTGTTGACCACGCTGACCTTGTCTTTCCTCTTGTTGCTGTTGTCTTTGTAGAACTTGGCCTTGACCTCCCCCTGGCTGGACAAGCTGTTTGTTTTCTCCATCAGGGCGATCTCCTTCTCCTTCATCTTCCTGGCCAGCTCCTCTTTCTTCTTCAGCTTGTTGATATGCCGCAGCAGAACCCAGATCAGACTTTTGATGAAGAACGACAGTGTCATGCCCACGCTGTCAGGGCAGTCAATGACCCCCGTCAGGACATTCCTGGCGTCGGAGTACGACCTGACCTCTGCCGCGTCGACTGGGGTCATGCAGTGAAACGGGTAGCCGTTGAAGGTGCAGCACGGCTGGTTTTTCCCCTTGCCGACAAAAGCTTCCACAAACTGGTCATCCACGCGAGAGGCCTCGGCAGTGTGACAGGAAGTCTCCTGGAGCTCCAGACCCTTGATGCTGACCGTGCAGTAGCCGGCGCCTCTCTCCAGCACCATGGTCCACAGTAGCCTGTCCTGGTACCTCATTAAGTAATGGTTCCCTACACTTGGCTCACCTGCAAGACAAAATACATTTTTAAATATTGAATTAGAGAAGTTCAAAGTAAAAAATAAGGTGATAGGCAATGTGGATTTTAAACTTTTGGTAAAAAAAAATTTCTTAAAGGGGAATAAACGAAAAGCTGCCTCCCTGAGCCTGTTTAAATCTTGGGGTAATAATCTGTTTGGTTTGATCAGTACAACAAACCACTCATTAATAAAATTTACTGGCACTAAGATAAATAAAGGTGACTTGGTCCTGATGATTCTCTTTCAGCAGAAATAGACAGCCTCTGCAATGTCTAGACTATTATAAACTTTTAAAATTATATCATCTTGATATCCAAAAATGTAAACAAATTTACCAAAGAAAGATCAACTATTAAACCAAGTAAAATTTCAGTACCTAGGCTTCCATTAGCAAACCCATATCTCAAAGCTTTGGTCAACTCTCCAGACAGCTGCTTGTAGTACAGTGTATCAGGACACGTGCTGGCCGACGACCCCACAGGCTCTGGCCAAAACTTGCTGGGCCGAGGGTATCCAATAAAGAACAGCGGGAGGGTAAACAGGCAGAGCAGGGGGGCAGACAGAGCTGAGGCAGCGACGACGACAGCCAGCACAACGGGGAAGAAGAGGATGTTCATGATCATGATGCGGACGGTGGAGCTGCGTCGTTGCTTCTTGTCTGTCCAGGACACAACCATCAGGGCCAGGACAAAGAACATTTTGTTGAGCAGCTGGCTGAGCCTGTCCCGCACTACCCCCGCCACCAGCAGGAGGATGGGCACCCCCAGGGTGGTGACGACGGAGTTGTCGGACAAGGTGACGGCCACGATGTGGATGCAGGATGTCTCCAGCAGGGCGTGGGTAGTGCTCTGCCACACCTGGAGGGCAAGAGATCAAATCTTCAATGTGCAATAGTTGTAAGAAATGTACAAGAAATTCTGGTTCAAAATAAATTTGTGAAAAAATATTCTTTATAAAAAGTTTATTGCACTAATCAAAAGTAATTTTTGAAAACAGGAAGTAAATTAAGAACTTTTAGTGTACCAGTAATCACCCAATAGAAAGCTCAAAAACATTGTCCAATTTTTATAAATTATGATATCATAAATACTATATTTTTACATACCTTGGAGGTATGATGAGGTATGAAGTAAAATCAAACACTATATATTGACATTTTTAAAAATTTAAATAGGAAATATATAAAAAAATATTTGGGTGGAGTAAAAACGGAAGTGTTTTTAGTAGTCAAATGTCAAATGTAACTTACCCAACGGAACGCCCGAACTGTGGCAAACACATACAAGACACCCAGTGGGATGGAGAAGCTGTCAATCATGGAGACTGTCATCACATCAACACTGGTTACTTGTAAGGACAGGTAGACCACCATCAATACTGGAGATACTGCAACATATTCAATGTTTTCAATACACTATTCAAATAGAAGATTGTATCATCTTGTTTAAGTTAATACTGACCAATAAGAAAAAAACCTAGCAGATAGAAATATTGTCAAGTTGATTATTGTATTTAGTTCAGCTTAAACTTAATCAAATTCCTCACATCATTGATTTAACAGAGTAGATGAAAAAAGACATAAATTGTTGGCTCCACTTGCATGACAAAACTTAAATTAAATCTTAATGGAACGTTAATTACATAACTACAGTCTATCTTTTAAAAAGTAAATTAAAAAATTAAAATTAAATAAAGTAACAACATAAATAAAAAAAAAATTTAAGTTAAATAAAGCAAAAGCATAATTAAAATTAAAATAAAATGAAACAGAAGATGAAAGGACTTACACCAAGTCACTATGATGCGCCTCAGAATTCCAAACACCAACAACCTCTTCTTGACCTGCCTAAACTTTTTAGTCCTTTCAATATTTGCTGGATAAAAAATGTTCCTCCACATTCCAAAGAAAACAAAAACACTTTGCGCATCTCGGAAAACTTTTTCCGCCACACACAACCCGATGATGCAGTAGCCCACGTACGTGAAAACATTCGCTGGCAAGCTTGTGACGTAGTAGTTGGTGGCCCCGGCTGCCGCGGCTGTGGCTGCTAGCATGATGATGTGGTAGAGGGTGGTGGACCAGCACCACGACCACAGGAAGCCAGTGTTTGGTGTGTGGGGCGGGGACAGGTGCGCCAGGCTGGATGGCTTGACCGAGGACACTCTATTGCTGTTGTTGTTTCTGTGACAGGCTGACCAGAGCTGGGAACACAAAGGTCAAAGTTCAGTGGGATGACCCCGACACTTTTTCAACAATCAATTGAAGTATAAACTTTTAGATACATTAAAAAGCAAATACAGTGCTATCTATTATTTTATTTTAAATATTTGATTTTAAAAGCCATGTTTTTATTTAAAATAAATTAATAATAAATTAAAAATAATAAAATTCATTTTTTAAACTATAAAACAAACCAAAAATTTACTTTCCTTCCTTCAAAAAATATGAAACCAATTAACAGCATTAAGTTAAGGGCAGTAAAACATTTTTTTAATCTCTAAATTGTATTTGTCAAGTAATACACAATTTAACTCATTCTAGAAAGACAAACTAAATGCATCAGTTTATACTTTAGTCCAACATTTCTTTTGAACCATATAGGAAATAACAATTCCCTGAGATTCCTAGCAAAAGCTATAAGCAAAAAGATGTAAAATTAAAAAAAATGGAATTTTTAAAAATAATTTTTTATGGTGTGTTCAAGTTAATTATTGTTTTAAAAATTCTAAGATGATGTCTCCCGTTCTTCAGTTATTTGAAATCTAATATTGTGAATGAACTATCAGAATTTTTATACACACTAAAAAAGTCGTAATCAATTGTAAAAAATTGAAAGTCATCATTAATTTTAATCCTAGGGGAAAACCTAGGGAACTCAGAGTACTTTCCCTTAGATCAGGAAAATGTTTAAAAGTACAAAATTAGAGGTCTAGGAGAAATGAATCAGATTGTAAAAGTAACATGTTCTCACCTGTGTGCCCAGCCTTCCTAAATCACAACTCAAAAGATACCCAGTGAGGGCAGCAAGCATGACAGAGCCAAAGCAAAAATCAATGAAGTAGCAGCCGAGGAATGCACCGACAGACAAAATAAAATTGACAACAAGTCTGGAAAATAAAATTTTATATTATATTACTCTTAAATTAACTAACATTAGGCTAACCTTGTGACATATTTGTCTACAGGTATTAACTGTACTAAATAAATGGTTGACAGCTTCTACTAAATAAACCAACATCATGACACTTAACTAACATTATGATAAACTTATTAAAACATTCATATACAATAAAAACAAGTAAGACAGAAACATTGAGAGGGTAAATCCAAATAATTATAAAGTGTTAATTGTGTCTATGTGGTAAAAAAGAGGTCTAATGGGAATAAGATAATGTCACTGTTATTTACAAACGCCTAAGTCATGTTTTCATGTTTTCAGAAAACTGAAAAGACTGGATAACTTAAGTATTAATTCTGCTATGTCACTATGGTACAATTATTAAAAAAAACTTTCTGATTGGCCGATGACTTGGGCAATTTGCAATATCAGAATAATGTGTCAACATTGTATTTCAACTATTAACTCATAACCCCCAAAAAAAATGACTTAGGCGACCGTGTTATGACCAAGACAATAAGTAGTAATAGACCATTCAAACATGTTTTTAAAAAAATATCAGTTTAATTTTAAGTTATAAAATTAAAAATAAAATGAGATGGCCAGTACCTTATATTAGAAGCTGCTGGTGATCCACCAAGCATGAAAACAAGAAACTGTTCAACAAGCCAGAGAATTAAAACCTCAGTTGATGGCAGCAGCCCAAACATCCACAGGAAAGGCAAGAGAATAAACACAACATGTAAAATTTGGTTCGCCAAGAAAAGCTCTGAATAGTACCTGGGGAAATTGAATTTAAATGAAAAATTTACCAATAAAAGTTTTAGAGACATAAATTTCTCTAAATCATAACTGACTAAAATACATTAAAATAAATACCAAAATAAAATATTATTTGATAAAAATAATATTTAAAAAAAAATACTGCAAAAAACACAAATCACAATTTTTAAGAAAACAAACAATTTTTTAAACAATTTACAGTGTCCATTGAATATGTTAGATGAAAATTAACCAAGGTAACAGATTCTATAATTTTTAGAAATTGTGACCTACCAATTAGCTATATGGATACTATAGCATAGTAAAGTATACATAAAAATTGTGACCTACCAATTAGCTATATGGATACTATAGCATAGTAAAATATGGATACTATAGCAGAGTAAAGTGTACATAGAAATTGTGACCTACCAATTAGCTATATGGATACTATAGCATAGTAAAGTATACAGAGGTCTGGTCAGTGGCAGAAGCTCGTGTGTATCCATTGTGCGATACACCGCAGGCTCTGGTGGTGCAGCTGTGGTCAGCGAGTACTGAGCTATGCTGATGGTCAACCACCCCAGGATAAATATGATGGTTGTAGCTCCATAATTAAAGTAGTAAAGGGTGTTGATGGTGGAGGGCAACAGATACCAAAACCCTAAACCACACACAGCTCCTAAAACAAGTGAATGATAGGATCTTGATATTCTATCTAGTAAAATTTATTGTTACAACTTTACAAGTTTTTTAAACACGAGAAAGTGGCAATTTTAAAGTTATTAAGAACATAAGTATAAAAAAATGATAGGTAGGCTTTTCATAGTTTCTGCTAGGTAAGTACTTAGTCCAACTCACATCTAAGTAAGCTTAGGGACAACCTACAGACAAATAAAAAGTCTGTCTAAAGACTCACTGGTAAGTATTTATTTGCTCCACTGCAACCCTTAATACCCCATTCAGAAATGTAAAATTCAAGAAAAGGGCTCAAATAAAATTGTAGCAATGATGAAAATATTGCAACAGTAATGATATCAAGCCATATGTTAAATCAAATATAATTAATACAACTGAAATTATGGGGACGGCATGGTCGGATGGTAGAGCTCATGAATACTAACCCGCAAGTCTCAAGTTCGGATCCTGGGATGTCCCTGAGTACACCCAGCTCTGACTGGTACCTGACTCACATTAGGGAAACCAAGGGGGCCGTGTCTAGTGCAGACAACACTATTCCCTATACACCGAAGTCTTTAATTAAGATTAACTCTACTTCATGTGTCATGGGTACAAAAAGGAAAATATGATGATGACAAATAAATTCAATACAAATTTAAATGTATGGGTGTTTTACCTGACAGCAAGGCGTGTACAGCAATGTTTATTTTAAACCTCTTTGGTGGGATGACAAACGTCAAAGTCTCCGCCCCACAGCAGGACTCAAACTCCACCTCATCTTCATCAGCCAGGATGTTCTTCCTCACAATGTCCAGCTGCTGGCTCTCTTTCTCCTTCATCTCCACCACCGTGGTGATGGTCTGCACCACCACCACAAAGATGACGATACACGCCCCATACAAACAGCTGTAGAGCAGCAAAAAGTTGCCGATCTGATCGTCCGTGTAGGCTAGTTCCAAGACTAAAGTGAAGATGCATCCAAGCATTAGTGGCAAGAGCCACAGAGTTATCTGTTAAAAAAAAATATTGTTATTTAAATAATTTTTGTTAATTTAATAATTTGAAATTCTGTAATATAAGCATAGTATTTTTTTAAAATAAAATTTAACAATTTCTGCATTTACATATTAAAAAAAATTAATTGTTGAAAGGGATTTGATTCTGAAGAGTATAAGAAGTTACCATAGAGTAACAATACTATAATCTGGCTAGCGAACAAAATAACTGATGACGGAATCCCTGTACTAAAAAATAGCCTAGATATAAATATAAATGAACATCATATGTGATCTCTATATATTTAAGAGTTTTGGGATTTTTTAATAATGCAAATTCATCTACCTTTCTGTAAAAAAAAAAAAAAGGTAACCAACATATTTATAAATAAAAAATGAAATCTTTGTAAACATTGAATCAAGTAACAACTTACCTGGTTGATATAAACATATGGAGGTGCGTCATAGCCTAGTTTCACTTTAAGACCCCCCAGTACAGTCTGGGGGATACGCTTGTATAGAAACTGACGTTTGTATTCATTTAACAATGGTACACCCATTCCCATGATAAACTGGGGTCTACAAAGGGGATGGTGCACCGTTTGTTACAAAAACTGTATCCAACTGCATGGTCTTATTGTTGTTTCATACATTCACAGGACAAATTACTCCAATAAATCTGAAATTTGAAAAAAAAAAAACCATTATTTCTTCATTGACAAAATGTAGATTTAACCAGCTTAAGCAAAAAAAAAAAATATATATTTTTCTAAATTTACCTCTCTAAAATAATGGTATATTAGGCTTAGGGGTCATCCAAAAATAACATCACGCTTCAAAATAAAAAAATTATATCCCCCTAACCACACATTCATAAAAAGCCAACCCCCCCACCCCCCAATGATGTCACATTCAGCCTACAAAATTGCAGTTTTTTTAAAAACATCAATTTCCTTCTAAAAGTGACTGAGCTCGCTCTAAATAGAATGTTATAATCCATTTCTATAACAATGGGTGGCATCATGCTGTCTGTACCCCTCCTCTTCATTACACATCATCACAAACTTACGGAACCCCCCCTCCCAATTTACACCCAGCATTAAGTTTGGTTTAGTTATACACTACCTACATTAAAATTTACACCTATTATGCATTCAGCTTGGGCTTGTGAAGTCAGTTGTGATTTGTGACTTTTCCTAGTGGATTTAGACTTAGGTTCCAAATGGCAGTAGTAGGACTAGGCCTATATAAAACTATTTTGTTTAAAATTCCAGCTGTACTCTTAGGATACAAAATAGTCTACCAAAATTGACTAATAATAATTCATTAATATAATATGTTATAACTATATACTAGTATATACTACTCTATACCAGAGGCGTAACGATGGCGGGGCAGGGAGTGCGGACCGCACCTAGTGAGGCTAGTGACACCATTTAGGGGGATGATTGAAACTAATGCAAAAAAATGCAAAATGAATTGAAGAAAAGCTCTTTTGCCAGTACCATTAAAGATTAATTAAAGTTAAATAGACTTTTAAGTTAAAATCGACAATTGTTACAAGAGGGTGGGGGTGACACTATGACGTAAACGTGCTAACAATAGAGAAAACAAAGCTAGATCCAACTGTATTATTAACATAATAATATATACTCTATATATATATATAGGTCCTATATATTATTTATATATATTATATATATATATATATATAATATATATATAGGACCTATATATATATATATAGGGCATATATTATATATAAATGCCTATAGGCTATATACTTTGTTTCTTTTTTTTTGGGGGGGGGGGGGGGGGTGACACCATGTACACCCGACCTAGCGACGCCACTGCTCTATCTATATATATAATTCTCTTCTGGGAGCCGCTAGAAAACAAGCTGCAAACGCGCCTAGAAAACAAGCTGTAAACGCGCTCCCTACCTCCCCACCCCTACATGGTTTTAGTGAGCTGTGTTCACTCTAAATGTTTACAAGCAGAGCCAACGATTTTAAACGTAGGGGGGGGGGGGGGAGGGGAGGGGGGAGGGGAAGGAAAGGGGGGGGTTATGGTCCTTAACAAGCTACTTATAGTGTTTTAAAGAAATATTTTCAGTGGCAGCGTTGGTACTGTCGAATTCACAAATTTTGAATTACTGAAAAGTAGAAAAAAAAAAACTAAATAGCGGCATATGTTATGCCGCGGGCCGGCTCGTACTCTATACTATAACAACAAAGCTGAGCATAAATTATTAAATTTGTATGTAATTGTATTATTGTATAGGCCCAGACCCTATACTTCCTCTACCTCTTTGGGGTATGTCTTTCTTCAACCAGCAAAATTCAACATATGGTACCAGACTAGCACATCAACTCAAACAGAACTTTGTTAATTAAGTGATTGGTATGGCCAATTTCAATTTATTTATTATGACTTTTATGAAATTTGAACCACAATCAATTTAATTAATTTATGGTCATAAAATGAAAAGGTAGTCTAAATCTAAACAGACTCTAGACCTACTACTTTTATAATTAGCATGACATTGACAAAATTGAAACCCAAAAAGCTTACAATCAGACAACCTTTTTTTTTTTTGTGACTTAAAAATAAAATTTTGTAGCCTAAATTTTAAGAAAGAGGTGAAAAAGAAGATCCATTTGGCACATTTTAATTGCTATTTAAACCATATGTAAATGTAATTTGTATGCGTATTATGTACAGTATTATATGTCACAGACACTCCTAGCTTTTTACCTTAGATGATAAACACGTTTGTTTACGTTTATACGATAAACACGGTACTCTGAATCTATATTTTTATTGTAGTGTAGTGTGTAGAATAATTATTTGTCCTGTTGTTATGTATGATCTGGGTTGCCAGACCAACAGAACAATAACAAGGCCAAAATCTTTAAGTTTCATTAACACCCTTAAAAACATTTAAATACATATTGTAATGACGACACTGTTAAACAGTACCCAAAATATGATTTTATACTTAGAATCTATCTATACGATTATTGATTTTTCACACTTTGTTTTTATCAAAAATAAAAAGCGGTGCTACGTATTTTAAAAAAATTGTAGTCAGTAGAAAGGAACATAATTGCAATTTAGACGAATATATTATAAATACAATTTAGGATGCATTAAAAGAAAAAATAATAAAAAGTTAAAATCAGTCATTTAATTAGATATTTGGTTTTAGTTTATCCAACGGTGAAAACATACAAATATAGCCTAGTTTTCTGTTTATATTATATCAATATGCAGGATTATAAATACATAGTACTAACAACACATTTTTAAAAAGTGTAGTACAATCACGTTTAATAACCTGTTTTTATATTATATTGTTTAAAAAATATCATATGCATAAAATATTAATCGTAGCCAACTTAAACAAGTGACTCAAAATGCATTTTGCTTTATGATTGTGCACAGTCTAACTTTACTAAATACGTTGCCAATTTGGCAGCTTGGAAGAATACTAGCTTTGAGTTAAAAATATATAGGCCCTATTTTGTAAAAACAAAATAAATGTAGAGCGATTAATTTTTATTTAAAATATTATATAATGCTTCATATTATCAATATAAATTGCAAATTGTTTTCGAAACTACCATTTAGGTCTAAACTTAGTGGTTAAAAATAAATCTGCCTTTCTTAGGCCAGACTAGGCCTATTCTTCTTTGTGTCACGAATCCTTTAGTCAAATACTGTATCAGCAAAAAATAGCGGAACAAATAACTGCAAAATAAACAGCAAAATATAGGCCCTAATCCCAATAAACCTATCCTAGAATCTAGAATTTAAGGGAACTTTTTGAAACACCGATGAACTTAAAAGAACTCAAACTTTTAACTTATTGACTGATTTATTTCACAAATTAAAATATCGATCATGCACTTATTACGGTTTTATTATTTTAATTTTTTTTTGGTCAACTGAAAGTGAACTGCATTTTTTCGGGATTAATAGGTCTAGTAAGGGGAAATAAATAATTGTCTTCGTTGTGCCGAAACCAAAATGTAACAGCAATATTTAATTTCACCCGTAAGCCTTCATCGATATATAAACTATAATATAGATGTTAAATAACCTTTAAAAAATACAGCAAGCTTTAATATATATAAACCGAGTTTTGTCGACTTAACGGAACGACCTGTATGGCTCTGTTCGTGACCATTCGTATCGTTATCGTTAAACAGCTGATAGCTTTCTCAAAGATTCCTACATTGAGCTATTTTTAATTAGTTAAGTACTTTAACATGTACATTTAGGACTACATTTTAGTGCGAATGTCATAACAATTTCATCTTCGGGGGAATGTAATCAACACAAATTTTAAAATTAAAAAAAAATATTTACAACATTTTTACAACAAAATTTAAACAGATTGCACAGTAATTGTTATTCCCAAAAGAAGGCGAAACCGTTGACTTATCTCATATTTCTCTTAACAAATTTTGGGTTACAACAATTGGGTCCGGGGTTTCCAGTTTGTGTGTATATATATATATATATATATATATATATATATATATATATATCATATCGTTTTAAGAAATAATTCTATCAATGTTTATTCCAACAAAAGTGTAAGCTCTACGAAATCATCACGGGATATAGCAAAAGAAAAATAAACAATTGAATATACAAAAACGTGTAAGGTAATTTTTATTTAATTTAAAGGTTTAAAAAAAAATCCACCATACGTCTGGTAACGTTCTCACACACTTCCTGGGTGGTGTCGCCAAGGCAACAGTTACAAGATTCCTTAAAATTGTTAAATAATATTTCGACCCTGCGCAGGACCATCCTGCACGCAGGTACTGCCAATGTAACCTGCTTATACCATGCTCTTCTGGTATAGGATATTACAGTTAAATTCCTACGAACGAAGAAGAAAAAGGTCACAGCAAATAAATGTGTTATAGACGTTGTGTATCTGTCTTGCAATTCGTGATTATCATGTCGGCTGCGTTGAACTAATTTGTAGGTTCTTGAATATACCACTAGACTTAAAACGTAACTCGTAATTTTTATTTTAATATTATAAAAAACCTAAACATAGCTAGGCTATTAGAGAAAACGAAGTGAGCCTATGCTTATACGTTGAGTTGGCAAAGTTTGAGAATCAATCATATTCTAATTAGATCTACACATGACTGCAAACAGAATCCGACCACGACACTGAATCTTGAAGAGACGCCTCTGGATAAAATCGTGGTTAAAATTTTTATAAAGATAAGCGCTTGGTAGTTTCAGTTTTGTTAATTGTCGCCATGAGGTTTCTATTGGCACCATTGTTCCTTGCGGCCGTAGGTAAGCCGTTAAATTGTTCTTTAATACAAACTTACTGTATGTTTTAAATAGTTTTTGACTGATTGGGAATTATGTGAAAAATTAGAAAACGAGTCGTGTCTTCAGTCAAAAAGTAAAAATAAAAAAAAAAAAAACGCGTAGAATATGAAATCAATGGCTTCACAATGGGTGCGACGTGGTCAGGTAGGAGAACGGTTGATTGCTCACTCCAGAAGTCCTGAGTTCGAAACACGGGCAGACGATGATCGTTAGCTGGGGACAGCAACCCATCTTGGAGGGAAAACTCCAAGGTCAAATAAATTCTGCCCTGTGGTTTGTTCTTGAATGGAGAAAGGTTATGGAAAGTAGAGCAGACTGAAATCTGGAGTCAACGGACCATATGGCGCATAACATGTTGACACGCAATACTTGTATTGTGTTGGAGGGAATTCCCATCCAACATTTCAATTAAGAACAAAGAAGAAGAAGAGAGACATCATACCTAGAGTTTTGCACCGGGAGAAAATAGCTTTCAGTCACAGTTTAAAAAAAAAGAAGGCAGGAGTTACATCCCTTGTAAATAAATGAAAAAAAATTCCCCCTCTCCAACCTAAACTACAATCCAACTGATGATGCTTATTTATCAATGCATAAAAATACATAAAAAAGGTACAAGCAGTATAAAAAACTTATAGCTTCCTGTTTTATCTTTCAGCATGGGCTATGCCCAAGAGGTTCACCGAGCTCATCAGGGCGGATAGAGCGTAAGTAGCCATAGTGACTTCAGCAACTAACACGGAACATTGCTGGTTTCTCTGGGGGAAAGTACTGGGAGTGTTGTCTTGAAGAAAATAGTTTCTCTGAGAAACGTAGCATTGTCAGAACTAACTGACATAGACACTAATGTGAATATTGACTTGAACAATGACGTTAATAATGACGTCAACAAAGATGTGAGCATTGACGTGAACAATGACAAGAACACTAACGTGAACACAGACGTGAACACAGACGTGAACAATTACGTGAACACTGATGTGAACAATGACACGAACATTGACCTGAACATTGACCTGAACATTGACGTAAACATTGACGTGAACTTCTCAATTTTAGAACAGTAATGTGTGTATAGTGTATAGAGAATGTGAGAGTGATCTATGCAAGCTTGTCTGTTCTTACACGAATGAGAGATGAGTCATTACTACAGAAAGTCAAAGACGTGTGTTTAAACAATAGACCCGGTGCTTCAACAGAGATCTCTCGTAAAATAAAAAAAAAAAGCAAACAATGAGCAGGGTATCATTTCCATGAGCCTGATGTATTATTTTTTTAACCTACAGTATTGGTGACGTCATTGACGCTGCCGGATGCGGACACAGACCTCTGGCGTCAGGGAACGGAGTCTCAGAGCTGACCGCTCGTATCGTCGGTGGACATGAAGCCGTGCCTTACACCTGGCCGGCAATTGTAAGTACTGGACGGCAATTGTAAGTACTGGCCGGCAATTGTAAGTACTGGCCGGCAATTGTAAGTACTGGCCGGCAATTGTAAGTACTGGCCGGCAATTGTAAGTACTGGCCGGCAATTGTAAGTACTGGCCGGCAATTGTAAGTACTGGCCGGCAATTGTAAGTAAGTACTGGCCGGCAATTGTAAGTAAGTACTGGCCGGCAATCGTAAGTACTGGCCGGCAATTGTAAGTACTGGCCGGCGATTGTAAGTACTGGTCGGCGGGGCTGGTAAGTAGGTCACCAACCAGTTCTACGGCTCAATAAAACCTGCATGAGCCATAGAACTGGTTGATGACCTACTTACCAGTCCTATTGTAAGTATTGGCCGGCAGTTGTAAGTACTGGCCGGCAGTTGTAAGTACTGGCCGGCTTTGTTTTGTGTCATAACATGGTAGTTGTCACGTAAGTTTTTTTTTTTTGACATGTTTAAAGTTAAGGCTAGACATGGTTAGACCAAGGTGAATAGAAGACATTGTTTGAGCCTGTCTGTCTGTTCAGCGACGGTATCCCGTTTGTGTCGCGTCTTCTGTAGGTGATAGACTGCGAGTGTTACACTTACTTCAAGCACGACTCCCTCATGATATTATGGTCTTCGGTATAATAGGGCTGGTAAGTAGGTCACCAACCAGTTCAACGGCTCAATAAAACCTGCACGAGCCATAGAACTGGTTGGTGACCTACTTACCAGCCCTATTAAGAAAAGTACCAGTGAGTCGACACAGCACAACTGGGTACCTAGGGTTCATCGGGGGAAATTATGGCTAATTATCATTTCAGTGGACGCACAACTCCTTATTATAATACCGAAACAAAATTAGACATTCTCTAAATTTAATTCGGCTACCTAATTTAACCATGGTCGTTTTTTTTATTTTTATTTTATGTAAAAAGTAAATTTGTTATGCACTTAAACAAACCTGTGGTTATATTGGGGATAAAAACGCGATACAAAATTAGATATTAATGTCAGTGGCGTAGCGAGGTCGGGTGTTACCCGGTGCGGCACTTAATGGTGTCACTTCCAGAGGCGTAGCGACCCTTCCCGGCGCCCGGAGACAAACTTTCAATTTTCGATTTGCACCCCCCCCTTTCACCCTTGTCGGGATTAGTAAAATTTCCTCTTAAAAGACTATTTAACACTCGAATTAATTAAGTAGAATTGTCATTTTTCTCTATATATTTTGCAATTTTTTTTTTGCCTTGGTGTCACCCCCCCCCCCCCCTTGGTGTAAATTTGTAAAATAACTAACTAACAAATTAGCACTGATATTAAATCCTCCACCATAAACTAAATTAAGAACGCAGAATAAGAAGAAGCACTGATAGTATTAGTGATACTAGGGAGTGAAGATTTGACTCCATACTGTTGTGTGTCTTACAGTGCAGTCTACGGACGTCAGCTAGCCCTAACTTCCACATCTGTGGGTCCAACTTGGTGAAGAATAAGGCTGGTCAATATTTCCTCATCACAGCTGCCCACTGCTTAAGGTAATTTAAATACATAAAGGTAAAAAATTTAACTGGACACTATCAATCGCAGCTTCCCACTGCTTAAGGTAATTTGAATACATTGTGGTAAAGAATTTAACTGGACACTATCAATCGCAGCTTCCAACTGCTTAATGTTATTTAAATAAATGGCTGCTTGTTAAAATTAACTAGGTAAACATTGAGAGCTTTTACGTTTAAACGTGAGATTAGTGGATATTGCTAAAAGATTTGCAGGGTTTAAACGCAAAAACAGATTTGTTTTAAGAAACGGTTTAATATCTTAACATTTACATATAAGTTAATATATTATTATGCTTGTCCCCAAGTCGCCTTGTATTGTTTTGAATTAGAAAGACGTAGTTTTTTTCTTCTTCGAATAAGTAAACATATTATTACTTTTTTTTCTTTTAGAACAAAGCGACCAGTGTTTCTTCCAGACCTTTTTCTCCGGGGGGGGGGGGGGGGACACTTTAAATTTTCGGGGGGGGGGGGGCGGACTAAAATTTCCGGGATGGTGGGGCGGACACTGGAAGAAACTCTGAAAACGACAGTTTAATTCTTATGTTTTTATTCAAACTACTGCAGTCAAAATAAAAAGAACCACCGTCTTCATCTTCTGTATTTGATTATTCAACTTATTTTATTTTTTCACGCCCTTCCTCCCAGCTCTCACGCCGCCAGTGCTTACGTCGCCCACTGTGGTATACACGACCGTTCTGATGCCAGCGAACCACACAGAGTTATCATCCACTTCTCGGCCTTGACCGTGCACGCGTGAGTAATCGCTGAAAACATTTACTTCTTGTTAAGTAGGTGGAGCTCATGGTTGCTTACCTGATATACCGGAGTTCGAACCTCCGGACAGATAAAGCTCGTTAGCTGGAGATAGCAACACAGCTAAGAGACGGAACTCCGAAGTCTAACAGTAGGGGTGCCTTTAGCCGGTTGGACTTACCTTACAGACTCCTGTTTTCTTTCGGCCGCCTCTGCAGCTGAAGTTGATACCAAACGTATTATTTAGAATTTCTCTGTATTAAGTCAGTAAAGGTCAAGATGAATAATCTATGATGTCTTTATCTATTGTTCCAAAGTACCAATTTATTCATTTTCCCTGCCAAAGTTTTAAAAAATGCAAAGTCTATGAAAGCAAATCCAAGAAGAAAAGCAGGCTGAAATAAAAATAAAGTTTCCCCTTTCAAACCTGACGGTCTATGGGGCAAGTGAAGTAGAGTTCGCTTGTTTCTATGACCTCGGTATATGAAGAGATAGTGTGGTCAACCCTATGACCAGCCGCCTTTACTTTCCCTAACGTGCGTTAGGTACCCATCAGAGTTGGGTGGACTCAGGGACGGTCTACTGACTTGAACCCGGATTCGAACACGAGACTTACGGGTTAGCAGTCCAGCTCTCTACCGCTAGACCACTCCGTCCCGTAATACCTCATGATGTAGGAGGAAATCCAATCCATCCTTACAATTCAGAGCGAAGATGAATATATAACATTCTAATATAATGACTTGTTTTTAGATTGTTATATTTCAAAATATTAAATTACAACGCCTCTATACCGTCTAACACTTGATGGGCCTACAGAAGCTACAACTCCTGGACCAACGATTACGACATCGCCGTGTTCCGCATCTCCACCGCCTTGCCAACCAACAACTACATCCAGCCGGTCTGCATTCCCAACGAGCTATGGACTGACGGGGAACACGCCATAGTTGCTGGATGGGGAACTCTTTCTTCTGGTGAGTTTAGGAAAGTTTGACAGAAGTTTAAAGAAATGGTTTTGAAGTGTTAAAATGTGGATTTTACAAAGCTTTTCACACACCCGTATGCACTCACACACGCTTAATTACGTAGCAGCTTATACCCAATATTCACACACGCATATTTACATAGCAGCTTATACTTAAACCGACACATTCACATACTCAAATTTACATAGCAGCTCATACCCACACATTCACACACACACACATATTTACATAGCAGCTTATACCCACACACTCACAGACGCATATTGTCATAGCAGCGCATACCCACACATTCACACACAACACATATTTTGCAGATTTCAAATACATAGACACTCACAAACAACACACTCACACACATATACACACGGCAGCTCTCTCTCACATACCCATACACTCACACCCCCACATGGGCCTACACCGCAGCTCTCTCACACACTTGCATTCACTCACACTTATTTACACACAGATACGCACAGCAGTTCTCTCTCTCTCTCTCTCACTCAGACACTCACACTCACACACACACATACACGTAATACGACCTTTGACATCTCTAGGTGGCTCCTCCCCCTACAAGCTCCACCAAGTGGCCAAGCCAATCAAATCCAGGGCTGTGTGCGCAGAACGTTATGCTCCACTGGCCATCACTGCCCGGATGTTGTGCGCAGGTCTGCCGACAGGTGGCGTTGATGCTTGTCAGGTGACTTCCTGTTACATTACTCAACAGAAAAATAAAGTAGTAGATTTCCAGTTACTTTGTTAAATACTCTACCATAGCATAAAGTTGTCGCTAAGTTAAAGAAAATGTAATTTTCGAGACGGATATTTATAGAGGCAGGCTAATGGCCGGTGGTTGTCCATAAACGGGGTCACACTTATAGGGAGACACAGGGGATGAGGGAGGAGGATAAGGAATGTTGTGATGATTTGTGATGAATGCTAGCGGTTTGTGACGATGGGGAGGAGGGTATTAAAATGCGTCAAAATAAGTGTGGCGTCATTAATTGATGACCCACTGTACTCTAGAACTCAGCTTGATGATTGTTTACAATGTTTTGAGATAGACATGAAATAATTATTTAGACTGGAAATTACAGCTCCCCGCGTCAATAATATCAAACATGTGATGGTTTTATAAATCAATTTTAAAAATGATTTATAAACTATCGCATGATTGATATTTGCAGTTTGATAATTTGAGTTCATCTGTGCTTTAACAATTACCTTTAAATTCATTCTATCTATCTATGCCGTCCTTTGTTAGTCATAGATAAAAATAATAAAATAAAATAAATGAAGAGTATTACTATAGTATTTTTAAAGATCTTAAAATACATTGCCAACAGTAGTTACAATTATTTGGCGTAAAATAAAATAAAAGAAAAGCGATCCATTGGGCATGAGTTTCTTGACCTCGGAATATGAAAGGATAATGTGGTCAGCATTATGCCCAGGCGCCTTTACTTTCCCTAACATGAGTTAGGTACCCATCAGAGATGGATGTGGTCCGAATATTCTATTGATTTGAAACAGGAGTCAAACTCGAGGCTTGCTGGTTAACAGTCTAGCGCTATACTTCTAGGCCACGTCGTCCCATGTATAATACGATATAGTTAACAATATTTCTCGAAGTATTTAATAAACATTTTTTCTCAAATTTGTTTAGGGTGACAGTGGTGGTCCACTCTATACCTACAGACACAACAGATGGACACTTACAGGTATGCTACTTATGTTTATTTTACATTAAACATTCAGAATCGCTCTCCCGGATGGACATGCGTTTCAGCACTACAAGACCAAAGAGGGGCCAGAGACTTTTAAAATACATATCTTAGATAACAGAGTAGGTCTAAGCAAACGTGTCACTAGGTCGGGTGTCACCCGGTGCTGTAATTGAGGTTTTAACACCCCCCCCCCCCCCCCCAACAATTTAGCATTTTTGGCAGATTGTCATCTCTCTAAGTTTTTTTTTCAATTTTCTTAACTGGATAAAACATTGTTTTGACGGTCAATATTATCTTTTTCTCGCTTTGGTGTCACCCCCTAAATGGTGTCAAACTGTACGGACCCCGCACCCCCCCCCCCCCCCGCCTTGTTACGCCACTGGGCCTTGAGGAGAACGTAAATTTGTATATAACCGATGATTTAAGTCAGCTGAATCTATATGTTTAACGGAGTGACCGTTCCTTGCAAACAAAAACGCTTACAAGTAATAGTCACCAAAATAAAAAGTAAAAATGTTACTTCCAAGTTTTTTGTAACTATTTTTGTCCCACTCATTAAAGACTATATTACAATCTTTGTAATATAAGGTACGGAGGTAGGACCTATAGTTAAATAGTTAAATACTATATAATAAAATATTAATAAACTCATTGCACGTTGAATTTAATAAATAAAATAAAAGAACATAAAAAAATAAAAAAAATGAAAAATAAAAAACCGTTTTGTGTTCCTCCCATAGGTGTTGTGAGCTGGGGTATCGGCTGCGCCGAAGCTGGAAAACCCGGAGTGTACGCTGACGTAGTTGCACTGAAGGATTGGATCAACGGCATCATCAATCGCTAATAACATCACTTCCGTTTCGGGCTACACATATAATAAAAAATATCTCACAGGTTTTGCATTGTTTTTGTTTAATGTATGTATATTTGATTAAATAAAAAAAAAATTAGAATGCTAGTAAGTTCGGACTTTTAAAACTACTAATACAGAATTTACGGCAAAAGTTTGTAAAAACAATGCGTCAGCCGGGAATCGAACCCGGATCGACTGCTTGGAAGGCAACCATGCTAACCTTTACACCACCGACGCTGTGTCAAGTGTTTTCTTCGTTTTGTTATCTTGCGGGCAGAATCTTCTTTCGGGAGTTATCCTACCTTTCACGGCATAACAGACGCCATTTTGGCAACTATTTTTAGAAGCAGAAGCGAAATGCTTTTGAACTACCGTATACAATATAAATAATACACTCATTTTAGATAAGACTGCTACCTATAAATTGGGCAAATCAAAAAAGATATTTTAAATTACGACTTACACTGGTAAAATAAATGAAACTTTTTGGTAGTTATAGAATTTTAAAAAAAAGCTAGATAGGCCTATATAAATTATTATAAATTACTACTACTACTGTTGAGAAGCTAGATCTACCTCCAGAGCCGGCGTTAGGGGTGCGCGGGGCCTATGGCCAACAATCCGCGCGGGGCCTTATATTTTTTCATTGGTGTCTAAAACATGTACAGTGAGGCGTTTTTTTTTCTCTTCAACGCGAATTAATATTTATAACGATATATATGGTATTTTTAAGCTGTTTATCAATGTCGTATTAACATTAAGACACTGATTAACAAATAATTTGTTTACTTAGAAGTGCTTTTGAAATGTTGCTTGTTTCTGTTAAGGCTTTTTGTTTGAAAAGTAAAAAATAAAACAGATATAAGTTTGAGACACGCATTAAAGAGACGATGAACGTCAGCTTCAAACCTGATTTTTTTTACATTAAATGTTTATTTATGAAAATCTTACCAGTACGTTCACAAACGAAGATCTACTTTTCTTGCCTTTCGTGAGGAAAATTCCATGATTATATCATCATAGTCCAAAAAGGAGGCTATGTCTTTTTCTATTGACAGAATCGACAGGCCGCAGAGCCTGTCTTGGGACATCGTTGATCTCAAATAGTTCTTGATCAACTTCAGTTTGGAGAAACTTCTTTGGCGCTTGCCACTGTGACTGGAACTGTTAGCAAGATTCTGTAGGCGATCGCCGTATTGGGAAAGGAATCCCGAATACTCCAAATGTACTGAAGGCACTGTTTGGCTGACTTAATACCTTCGTGCACTTTGAAGCAACGTTAAATCGGTCCACAGTGGCAGGTGATAGTATCGATATTTTCTCAATTTATTGTGTGTTTACAGGGGCATTCAAAGTGTGTGGATGCCGGGGAAAATAGCAAAACATTTATAGATTTCGGAATAAGCTCGAATCGTGAAAAACACTGTTTACAGCTATACATATCCAAATGAAATGACTCTCAAATGTAATCACGGACGCTCAGTAAGGTGGAACACTGGTGTGGGGGGGGGGGGTGACAGTTGGTGGGGTGAGGTGAAGCCCGTGAAGGATAACTGTACATTTAAATCTATGGGATGCCAAACCCTAAAAAAAAATCAGTTCGGGTACTACGTTACTGGATCTCTGACCGCAGCCATTCAAGAGAAGGTGCGTGTTTATAGAGCGTCCGCGTATTACATTACAGATTAAGACCGCGTTCTCACAAGAGAAGGTCCGTGTCTATAATTAGAAAGTGAACCATGTGACAGCCAGCGTCATGTTATTTATGAGTTTCGCGATGGCATGCTCGGGCTGCCGGTAATTTAGACGTTTTAGAAATCAGGAGAATCAAACAGTATAGACTTTATAATTTGTTTAGTGTGCCTACACTATTTTAAAACAAGAATCACTTTGGCCTTAACTATTATACTGAATATCCCTACACAGAGGCGTAGTGAGGAGGGGGGGGGGGTGCGGATCGCACCGGGTGACACCATTTAGGGGGGTGACACCAAGGCAAAAAAATAGCAAAATATATAGAGAAAAACTTGAGGGGGGGGGGGTGCAAATCGAAAGTTTGAGGTGGAAGGGGGAGGGGGTGCAAATCGAAAGTTTGAGGAGGGGGGGATGCAAATCGGAAATTTGAAAGTTTTTTCCCGGGAAGGGTCGCTACCCTTCTGGGGGGGGGGGGGGGGAAATGACACCATTAAGTGCCGCACCGGGTGACACCCGACTTCGCTACGCCACTGTCCCTACAATTAATTAAAATAAACATGTGCTTAATCACTTTACGAATACCGTTAAAGTTTACCAAAAAGAAAATGGACATAATTACTGTATAAATGCCCTTCAAAAATATAAAAATAAGTACAAGTATAATGTATTTAAAGATGACCTGACAATATATAAAATAAATATGAACATAATTACTGTATGGATGCCTATCAAACGTATCGTGGTGAATATGCATAATTACACAAAAGATGCCCATACAGTGTATAAATTATGATTTTAGGGATAAATACTCTGGATTTCCGGGGCATGTCCCCATCCGCTCTCTCCCCCCCCCCTCCCCCTCTGCAAGCCATCATCAGGTCACTGACTGTTTACTACAGGCACCACCGCCTGCTCACTAAAAAAAAACGTCTTCAACGGTCCGCAAACAATAGGGTATCTTTTACGTTTTTCCCGATTTTACCTCCCATGTCAGGTCGGGGGCTAATTCGCGACCGCCATCTCCAGTCACCTCAGGACAATAGCGAGTCGACCGTGTCAGCGATGTGTGACACTAATGTCTTTCTTTAGAATAACGGTCTGTCCTAGTCCATGTAGAGGATAACTCACTAACATCAGCCTTGGCCTCAGTTTTAACATACAGCAATTTCGGCCATTTAGTTGGGGTTTTTTTTAAAATTTAATTCAGCAAAGATTATTTAAGTTTACAAACTAATTTAGGCAACAATGGCGTTGCTGAAGCGCGGGGCCCCTTCAAGCGCGGGGCCTAGGGCGACCGCCCCGTTTGCCACCCCCTAACGCCGGCTCTGTCTACCTCTTGCACATTTGGGATATAGATCTACTGGCTAATAATCTTTATAAGTAAATAAACCTGTTTTATTTTATTTTTTGTAAACAGCCTGTTGATAATTTCAGTCGTCTCACGTTGTACTAGTTAGACACTTTTTTCCGGGAAGATAAAAATAGTGTTTAAAAATATATATTTTAGTTTACTTGGCCCTTGTAGGTATAGTTACAGATCTAGTAAAACTGTGATGGCGTGGTCGAATGGTAGAGGGTTCGGATCTGGGTTATGACTAGTGACTGACCACACCCTCCCTTCATTATGCCGAGATGAAGAAACATAAGAACTCTACATCATCTGCCCAATGGATCGCTAGGATGAAAAGAAAACAAATCACAACCATTGACACCACTGTCTATGGGTACAGGTACACTAGACCTAAGTCCTCGCTGTCTATGGGTACAGGTACACTAGACCTAAGTCCTTTCTATATAAAGGTGTTTTGTATAGTTTCTTTTTCGTGAGCTGAGTTTCTTTTAGGCATCTCTTCAGGTGAGATGGGGAAGAGTCCTCTGGAAGAAGGAAATAGAATTTATATTGAAAAAAATATTTTTACAAAAGTCCGCCCCCTCCCCTCCCGGAAAATTTAGTCCGTCTCCCCCCCCCCCCAAAGTCTGAAAGAAATACTTCTCGTGTGACGAGTTAAATGTTTTATCCTGTCCCTAGCCACAATTCCTTGGCCAGAGATAGACAGCCCCCCCCCCCCCATAATAGCTGGGGGTGACCCAGTGATGAGTACCCAGAACAGGACTTTAAATCGATTCTTTCACGTTAATAATTTGTGCTGTTCGACCCGAACACTTGAATTATCTGCCTAGTAGTAAGCCTTAGATCTAAATACTAATACGTATTTTGGTGTCGGCCTATTTTATAATTAAAAAATGTACACCTGTTCGTTTTGAACCATATTGGAACCTTTTCCATTTGAACCGAATTTTTACAAATTATATTCCATTTCACGAGACCCACAACTTATAAACTAAGTCATAGGACACCCCACAAACTAGCCAATAATCGAGGTCATGTGACCTCAGATATTATAATCAAAGTCAAAGGACCCAACAATCATTATCTAATCCAAGCCATAGGACCCCACAAATTACATAATAATCCACTTCATAAGACCTCAGATATAATAATCCACATCATAGGTCCCCATATATAATAATCCAGTTCATAGGACTTCAGACATAGATCTATATCCTCACTAATTTGATCCAGTTTATAGGACCCTACAAATCATACTTTAGGGCCCACAAATTAGAATCCAGATCAAATGAAACATAAAAAAAAACAACCACCACAGTGTGTTCAGTTATTTAATCAGCAATAATAAATGTAATTGGTCGGCAATATTCTTCTATGAAATCAATGGACCACATTGTGTTGGCTATAATTACAGTTTGCATGAGGACAGTGAGAGTAAATAAATAAAATGATGGTTTAGTCACGTGACACCTTTTATTTCATGAAAGACAACTCTTATGTATTTTTTGGGTAAAACAATGATTGTTGTTTTCTCAACTATTTCAGATTCTTGCTAGAATAATGCCTTCCTAAATGTTTTAAGAACGTTTTTATTACATTACTTCACTTAATCCTGCGATTTTATAGGCTCTACTTTACACAAGTTTGAAGAGAGTTGAAAAATATTAAATAAAGGGTTGGCTAAAAATGTGGAATATGGATTTATTCATGTTCATGACATGTTTGGGGGGGGGGGGGGGTCATCCATAAATGATGTCACGTTTTTCTTGAAGATTATTATCATCCTCCCCCAAACAGTCCCCATTGTCAAACATTGTCACAAAATTACCTGTTTATTTTTATTTAAAAACATCGATTGCTTTCTAAAATATTTTTAGAGTTCAGTCAATTTGAAAATATTTATCGATTTCTAATATAATTTATTAAAAAAAAATAGCCATTAAAAAGCGAAATAAGGGTTAAAATTCAGTTTCTGATATTACTTTTTAAACTGTAAAAGAGTGTAATGGCACTTTCTGAACACCCAACACCCCCCTCGTCATATATCGTCACAAAATTCACCCCCCCACCACGCCCACGTGTGTGACATTCTTTATGGGCGACCCCTTTAATATAACAAAGAAGTTAAATATTTAACTAAATGGATTGTAACAATATGTCATTGATGAATATTTGTCAAAGGTTGCCTAAACAAAAGAGAATCTGTATATGTAGGCTGTGTGATTATATATATATATATATATATATATATATATATATATATATATATATATATATATATATATATATATATATATATATATATATATATATATATATATTATAATCGCTTCCTTGAATTATTATTACTGGAAGAAAAGACTACGTATCTGACTTGACTTTTCAGTTTTTAATAGACTCGCTTTAGAGAAATTTTGATCTAGAACTTGTATCTCTTTGGTACTTTTTCATGACGTTTTTTGTTTGACTATATCAGCCAGATTTTCCTTTTCTTTTTCAACTATCTGATTGGCGATTAAAAATACACTAACATTGCACGTGACTTCCCGTAACCTACTTTCCACAACACGGCTTATCACAGCAAAAAAAAATCTCATCTTGAATGGTTTAAAAAAAAAATCAACATTTGCATCATGCTCGACATTTTGATCACAACAATTTTTTTTTATAATAAAAGGTTAGGTATTTTTAAATACAATATAAACAATGTTTATCGTAAACATATGATTAAAAAAAATTAAATGCATTTGCCAACAATTAAAAATATGTTACAGACTAATTAACATTATAGAGTAAATAGGTTAAGTGCTATAAATAGTGAACACGGCATAAAGCTGAATATCTACACATATATTATTAAACAAGTTATATGTAAACAAGAACTAATAATTTAAAATGTAATAGATTCCTGTACTGCCTTTTTATTTGGAGGTGAAAAAAAAAACACCTGTTTAAGACAGGGAAGGGAATGTTCTAATTGTTCTTCAGTGCGGTAGCCAACGGTAGACTTGTTTTTATGACAAGTTCAACACTTTCTTTTTGATAAATTCACGAAGGAAGTTGGTTACTTCTAATAGTGCTTACTGGTGGAGGAAGCGTAGACGAGATCCATTCAAAATTCTTCTTTTAATTATTTCCGCGATCGTACACAAACCGTACAGCAAAAAAAAAAAAAAAATTAAACATAATAATTGGAGATAGATTTTAGACCCCCCCCCCCCCTATAGGGCTGGTAATTAGGTCACCAACCAGTTCTACGGCTCAATAAAACCTACATGAGCCATAGAACTGGTTGGTGACCTACTTACCAGCCCTATACCCAAGATAAAGCTGTATAACATTGCTAGAGACCATACCCGTTCTTATTATAATTTTTTAAACGTACAACCTCACTACTGTATAAACAACGACACCATTAATTACTTAACAATATTAGTTTTTTTTTCAGAAATAGATAATCGAAATCACATAGTTGTGGAGATTTTCATTCTAAAGAGTTTTAAAGCCTTTCATTAAGATAGATGTAAATCAGTGTAAGTTATTGTTCTTGACGTGTCAATTAAATTCTAAACAGCAGAAATTCTACTAAAATTCTACAGCCTTGCTCTACATCCCCGCTCAACTTACGAGACAAACTTAGAATTACTAAACCATGAACAAACTCCTTCGCATTATATTATGAGTATACTATTCTGTCTCTATGATAACGTACTTTGTTTATTCGTTTACTTTGTAAATCTGATTTTATACAATGACATTACAAGCAAGAGTCGCTGCCAATCGGCGTTATGGCTCTACATTAAATATATATATATATATATATATATATATATATATATATATATATATATATATATATATATATATATATATATATATAATATGTTCCTTTCTTATCTACACTCGACTCTGCACTAAGCTAATGAAGAAAAATTTCAAACATGCAGATAGTAGTAACACGAAAGTAACACAACCCGGAATAGCGATAAGGACATGAAGGCTAGACTGTCCGCTTGGTTGTGGTAGTGGTTATTTCCCTTGCACCCGGGATTACGTCCCCTGCTTTCATTGCGTTGCATGGTAATGGAATGTGCAAGTATGTAAAAAGTGGTGTGAACATCGTCAAAAATAAATCAATCATTGCAGCATTTTATTTGTGTTAAATAATGGAGTCATAATAATTTTAAAAAAGCAAAATTCATAAATTATTTATTAGTTATTTTTTTAATAAAAAACAATAGCAGTAGTTTTCTTACTTCAACTATGTTTGTTATTTAAAAGTGTACATTAAAAAAAAAGGTGCATAGATTTCTACGGAATAAAATATTTGATTAATTTTGTATTTTTTAAATTCTACTTTTTTTTTGTAAAAAGAATATGTCGTGCAATCGTGCAGGATTTGTCTGTATAAATAAGGCGCTTTTTTTTAATATTAAAAATAAGATAAGAATTTTTTAAAGATAGACAAATCTAGTGGTTTAACAATAAGAAAATAGGTAAGTAAGTAAATTGGAATATGTCTGGATTTAATGTGAATTGATGTTCAGTCGATGAACTAAAATGGAAGTCGAGCTAAATTGAAGATGAGCTTAAATGGAAGATGAGCTAATACAATTGGACCTCATGAGATAAAAAAATATCTACATAATTAACATTTGATTAGGTTAGTAGCGTAAATGAGATGAAAAATGAGAATAAAAATAGCTGAATGCTTTGGATGTAGACTCCTACCAAGGCAGTTAGCTAGTCTAATTTTTTGTTTGTCATTAACCCTTGATCCTAACAATATTATAGTTTTTACTTTAACAGACTCGATTATAAGACTAGATAATACATTTACTTTTAATATAAATTAAGGGGTTAGGCTTCAGAAAAAAAAACTTCTTAAATAATAAGCTTTACTTATTTATTTGTGTGTATCTAAGTTAGGGTACTTAATAGAAAATATTTGCATGCATCAAGGACTTTTTTTTGGAAGTCTGGTTGCCATGACAACGGCGGCCATCTTTAAAAAAAACAACAGCCTTTTGTTGTGGTCCGAATTAAAATTAATGCTAAATTTAATGGTATTTCATCATACACAATTTTGAAATTTTTTTTGTCGAGTGTTTTTTGTTAAAAAAAATTAGCTAGTTGATTCTATTAGAGTTGGTTGAAGAAGGATCAATGATTTTATGATCAATATATATGTTAGCTTTTTTAACCATATATTAAGGAGGTCCCTAATGCATGCACATATTTCCCCATAAATACCTTAACTTAAATACACATAAATAACTAAAAAAAGGCTTATTAATTAAAAATAAATTTTCCCCGTTTTTTTTTCTTTTTGGGGAGCCTACCCCATTAGTAGTTTTAACAAAAAAATTTTTTTTTTTAAATTCTGTATTTTTAAATACATTTTTAATATTTCCAGCCAGTTGCTTTAGGCACTAAAAAATATTGAAATGCATTGTAAACCTATTAAAAAAAAATACAAAACAACTGCACTATACGTTATATATCAGAGTTCTACTTCTAGCATTAAAAGAGTGTGAGTACTGTAACGAAGGACCCGGTGCTAGTTTTGTTCGTGTCATGCATTGATTTAGTTATGGGAGTATAAAGAGGATGAAATAAAAAAAATACATAATCACAGATGAGGCAGGAATGCATTTGTTTTAAAATATTGGTCCGATGCTCATTGTTCATCTATGTGTATTTTAAAACATATTAACATTTGTTTATTCTAAACTATTTACATTCTTCAACAAACGCTGTAACAGAATCGAGGAGGACTTCAGGTTCAATGCATTGGAAATTGTACAAAATTTACGACGCGGATGTCCGCTTTCATAAAATGTCAAGGTCACCGTCTTCTAGAGAGGTGACCTCCTCCCCGTCCTCTGGAACGTCGACCTGCACTGACCCGTGGACCCTTCCTGGCACCGGTTCCGGCGTTCCGGTCGACTGTTTCCGGCTTTCGTTGCTGCTGTTCGAGGATTTAGAGGATCTTCTCGAAGATTTCTTTCCGGTGCCTTTTCGTTTGGTGTCTTTTTGGGAAACCCCGAGGCCTTTGGGCGGGGAAGGTCTAGACTGGCGAGCCGGCTGAGGCTCGTCAGGGGCGGCTTCGGTGCTGATGTTCATGGGGGTGATGTCTCTAGCAGTGACGATGGGATCTTCGGGATCCTCGTTGCGGGGGAAGGAGGAGACCGAGTTCTTCGGGGACTGATCCCCGCTGTTGGAACTGGTGACGTTGGTTGGGGAGTTGAACTTTGAACTGGCGTAGGTAGATACTGACGACGACGGGGTGGTGGCGGGGGAGAAGAACCTCAACACCTCCGAGATGTGTTCATCAATGCGGTTCAATTTCTGCCGGAGACCTTCGATTTCTTCTTTGATTTCTAAACGGATGTCGTATAGTGACGTCAGCATGTGCTGCTCCGCAGCAGTCAGTCCTACGGAGTAACCGGCAGCGGTTGCGGTAACCGCGGTCATTTCAGCTGATTGGTTGGTGCCGTTGCTGCTGATGCTGGAGGTTTCCCGCGTGAGGTTATTGACGGTGTTGATGTTGAGGGTGGTGTGCAGCGTTTGGTGCGCAACTTCCGCTCTCGCCGGGTCCTCGACGATTTGGTCTAGTTTATTGCTACTGCGAAGAATCCCGCTATCAGCGGAGTCAGTTTTCTTCATGTTTGTCCTTAGCTCATCTTCAGGCGACTCCTCTATAGGTTCTTGCTGTTTGCTTAAAAAACGACCCCATTTCCCCACAGGTTTAGTTTGCGCTTTCGTAGCCTCAACAGGTTTAGCTTCTACCTTAGGCGACAAATCGTTCAAAGGAATCGCCTTTTCACCCACAATTCCTTTCGACTCGGAGTCCGACGAACTACTTCCGCTTGTCGCTCCGGATAAAAATTTACCCCACCGGGACGTCCCGCCGCCTAGCCGGGGCGCGGGTTTATTCGCAGACTGATCCGGGTTTTCGGACACCGTAATGATGCGGGTCCCGCTGTGTGGCCGGTCCTGCTGTGGGGTCTCCTCTTCGGGGGCCGTGGACCCCGCGCTCCCGCCGCCTCGCTCAACGTCGTGCGAGTTTTGTTTAACGTCGTGTTTGGAGTCACTGATCTTCCGGAAGCGTGAGATGAGTTTCCGCACGGGGTGGTCGTTGGCGAGATCCAGGGGCGGGTCGTTCTTGCGCTTCTCGGCGAGTTCTCTCTCTTTCTTCACGTCTGCGACTTTGCGGAATATCAACTGAAGAAAAATAATTCAATACTATTTCAATACACAGAACGGTTTTGACAACTTGAAATTTTATAATAAAATTGTTTACAGTCGAACTGTAAGATCAGATGGGTAAAAACATTTAACAATCATAGGCAGATTTAAGGGGTGACTTTAAGTAATGGAGCTTAGCCCACCCATTCGGTTCTCCCACAATTTGAAAAAAAAAAATTAAGCCCATCAAAAGTTAAATAAATGTTGCTTAATTGTGACTTTTATGATATTTTACAAATTTCAATTCTAAATTGGTGGATCTTAGGAGAGGCTTGTAGGTCTAGCCTTCCCCTAACACACACACAAACAAAACCACAAAGACAATGCTAGATCCATTGTTGTTAACAATTTTTCTAATTAAGACACTTTGAAATCTTGGGTTTCATCCTAACTATACCATAATAATAGAATGTAATGTTTTTGAGACAAAAAATTAAATAGGTTTCACCAAGAGATTAAATACTCTTTATTATCATCCATCCAGACATCTTCTTCATCCTCCCAAAATTCTACCATCGGTATCATCGTCTACATTGTCACCATCTTTACCACTTTCACCGCCATCACAAACATCATCCTTATCAACACACTCATCATCATACTAGCGACCATTTCTACCACAACCGCCCAGTCACCATCACCACCACCACTTTCAATAACCAACACCTACAACACCATCCTACAACCTCCACCCCTTACCACCAATAACAGTCACCATCTCCAGCACCACCACCACCACGTCCACCACCACAGAAACTACATCTATCTTTACCACCACCTCCACCAAATCCAACAATATCCACCTTTGCCACCACCACCACCGCAGTCACCACCTCAACCACTCTACTACCTCCAAACGTCCCTACCACCACCACCAACCACCAACTCTTCCACCACCACTGTCACCACCACCACCACCACATCTACCACCCTGCTACCTCCAAAATAAGTCCCCACCATCACCACCAATCACCATCTCTTCCACCACCACCACCACAGTCACCACATCCACCACCAGCTTCAAAAGCACCCCCCTCCCACCAACACATCCCCACTCCACACCTGAGCCCACCTACCCTGTGCCTCAGGTTGTAGGTGAGCGTCAAATTCCTGGCAAACGAGTTGGCGAAGGCGTGGTAAAAATCTAAGACTTCCAGCAGACGATCCCTCTTGATGGCGTGGAGATCACAGTAGGTCAGCGCTCGGACATTGGCCGTAGATTGACCAATAGCCGGCTCTTTCCAAAAATTATCACCGAAAACATCGCCCTTGCCTATTTTTTTGAGAAATAAAACATACAGAGTTATAAAATACAAATATTTTATATTCTGAAGCGTAAATTACAAATTTTAAAAACGTGACAAAAAGAGTGGCAAAAAAACCCAACAAAAAATAAAAACAACCGAACGTTCCATTGAACATTGATATCAGATTATATAAAATCAGTATACAGTATTTAGCAAACAAAGCGGTTTTATCATCTTTTATGGCTACTCCTCATAAAGGTCTAATGACCGAGTCATTTCTCATCTATTTAGCCTCATGAGAAGACGCAATATACTGACACAGAAAAGGCATACAAAAAATTACACGATGGATTGATCAAGCGAGAATGACGTTTGGGATGTTTGAATAACGAGGCCACAACTAAAGATGAAATTTTAGGATACAACTTGTTCGGAAAGTCTTGTCAAGGTCCTACGATTTATGGAGGTCAATAGAGGTCAATAGAGATCAGTGGAGGTCAAGTGTAGCCACGACCCCAGGGTCCATAGAGGTCAATAAAAAATGTTGGCCTTAGTTCCATGGCCCATAGAGGTCCATGAAAAATATAGTTACGACCCTAGGGTCTAAAGAGGTGAAGAAAAAAGTTCAGTTAGGAACCTAGGTCCATAGAGGTCAATGAAAAATGTAACGAGGACCCCAGGGGTCAGGAAAAAGTTCAGTTAGGAACCTGGGGTCCGTAGAGATTAATGAAAATGAAGCTACGACTCTAGGGTCCATAGAGGTCAATGGAAAACGTAACGAGGACCCCGAGGGTCAATTGAGGTCGACATTAGCGTAACCTGGACCTTAGGTCAATGAAAAGTGTAGTCAGGACCTTACGTTTCATAGAGGTCAATGAAAAGTGTAGTCAGGACCTTACGTTTCATAGAGGTCAATGAAAACTGTAGTCAGGACCTTACGTTTCATAGAGGTCAATGAAAAGTGTAGTCAGGACCTTACGTTTCATAGAGGTCAATGAAAAGTGTAGTCAGGACCTTACGTTTCATAGAGGTCAATGAAAACTGTAGTCAGGACCTTACGTTTCATAGAGGTCAATGAAAAGTGTAGTCAGGACCTTACGTTTCATAGAGGTCAATGAAAAGTGTAGTCAGGACCTTACGTTTCTTAGAGGTCAATGAAAAGTGTAGTCAGGACCTTACGTTTCATAGAGGTCAATGAAAAGTGTAGTCAGGACCTTACGTTTCATAGAGGTCAATGAAAAGTGTAGTCAGGACCTTATGTTTCATAGAGGTCAATGAAAAGTGTAGTCAGGACCTGTTTCATAGAGGTCAATGAAAAGTGTAGTCAGGACCTGTTTCATAGAGGTCAATGAAAAGTGTAGTCAGGACCTTATGTTTCATAGAGGTCAATGAAAAGTGTAGTCAGGACCTTACGTTTCATAGAGGTCAATGAAAAGTGTAGTCAGGACCTTACGTTTCATAGAGGTCAATGAAAAGTGTAGTCAGGACCTTATGTTTCATAGAGGTCAATGAAAAGTATAGTCAGGACCTTACGTTTCATAGAGGTCAATGAAAAGTGTAGTCAGGACCTTATGTTTCATAGAGGTCAATAAAAATTGTAGTCAGGACCTTATATAGATTACGGAGGAAATATAATCCGAATATAATCAAGAGAGAAAAACATTTAGAAAGCAATTTTTAAAAAAATCATACGAGACATTAATTTTGACAGATGCCACATGATTGAAACAAAAAAAATTAGTTAATTTATTAGGCGAACTGGACATGTGAAGACGTCATAGCAATTAGACTCAGACATCATTGCAGACGGAGCTATCGCGGACTTGTTTTTTTTTTGCACGTCCCTCGGTAATACACGTCTCCATCTATTTAATGTGTCATTGATAATTTAAAACCGCAGCTAATTTAGAAGGGAAGCTGAATTTGTTTTGTTTTTGTTTTGGTTTGTTTTTTTAAAGGGCCGGGGAAAAAAATAATCAGATTGCAATTAATAGCCCAGCTAATTAGTTAAGAAATAAATTTCAGCAATATTAATCATCATTAGAAGCAATTTTTATATCCCGTTAAAGAAACTAAGCGGAAGTGGTTTCGGAAATGTTAGCAAAGTTATCAACGTGAAATGGGCGGAAAAGATTGTTGTAACGGCAATACAAAGATTTCTAGGCTTCATCTAGGCAAAGGTACGTAACCAGTCTGGACGGGATCCGAACCCACAATTTCCATTCGACTCTGGCACATATCGCCTGCCAAATGCCAGTTCACTCGTGTAAATATTGCACCAAGCTGACTCCTCACAAAGGATGGAGGCTCGGATCGCACACGGTCGAGGACAATGAATGGAGTTGTCCATAACCTTGACCTCTGACCCCCATGCCGTTGCAGCGTTATATGAAATCTGCCACCTTTAATTCAAACCGATGGAATTTACGAGAGACTCGGTAGATATTTCTAGTAGCCCCATAGGATGGTTTATATTGCTGCATCAATCCTCTTCTTTCTTCTCTTCTACTTCGTTCTAAATTTAGTGTTGAAGGGGATTCCCCCCCCCCCCCCATCCCACCCACCCAACACAATTAGTATTGCGTGTCAACTAGTCATGCACCATATAGACAGTTGACTCCAATTTTCAGTCTGTTTCTATTCTTCTGTATTTTCTTCCATAGCCTTTGTCCAACCAAGAACAAACTACAAGGCAGCAGTTGTTTAATTTTGGAGTTGTCTCTCCTGGAAGAGTTGCTGTCCCCAGCTATCCAGCCTCATCTGCACTACTATTCGAAATCGAGACTTTTCGGTTTAGCAACAATGAGTTTTACCTACTCGACCTTAGTAATAGGCAAAGATCTGAGATGATCTCTTTGTACTCGAGCATGTAAATAGATAAAACGTCTTGTTAAAGAGTGAGACACAGGGCCTACTTCTGTTGGGTCTTAGCTTGTGTTGAACATAAAGGAAACTGGCTTTATTGCTTCGAGAAACTCAAGCTCACCTGTATCTGTTATCAAACTATAAGACCATAAACATACCTGGCTACCACCCACTCAAATACCCCCCCTTCCCAACAACTGCCATGAAGCGCATGCCGCCATTTCTAAACATGACAGCTTTTTATTTGATTAAAGTGCATTAACTTGGAGCTGTCGAGCCATAAAAATGTAATTAAAATAGTTAAATTGACAATTTAATTAAAAATCGATGGACCGTGAATGTACGTTCAATCTATAAATTTTGATTGAAATTCTTGAAAAATAAACAAGTACAAAAAAAATTAATCATAAATATAATCAAAATCACTGAACCGTAAATTTATTTAATATAATTGAACCGTAAGCTTTTTATAAATCACTTAACCGTAAATCTATTTAAAATCATTAAACTGTAAATTTGTTTACAGTCATTAAACCGTAAACCTGTTTAAAATTATTTAACTGTAAACCTGTTTAAATATCATTTAACCGTAAACCTGTTTAAAATAATTAAACCGTAAATTTGTTTACAATCATTAAACCGTAAACCTGTTAAAATCACTGAACCGTAAACTCACTCAAAATAGCCACGACCTCCTCGTCTTGAATGACCTCCAGTGACCCGGACACGACGAAGCAGAGGGCGTCAAGACTCTCCCCCTGGTGGAATATCAAATCCCCAGGGGCGCTGTGGGTCATGTTGAAGTGCATGGCTAGGGCCCTCAGGCAGCCGTCACTGGCCAGACGGAAGGCGGGGTGTTCTAGAAACACTTTCCTGTTCAGGTGTACACAGAGGTCAGCTTTCATGTCTTTTGGGCAGTAGTTTAGCACCTGGATGAGAAGAAACACAACGTATTTAGCACATGAGTAAACAGATACATTTAGCACCTGGATGAGAAGAAATACATCGTATTTAGAACTTTAGAAAACAAATAATAATTTGAACAACTGGATCAGAAGACACAACGTATTTAGCACATGAGAAAACATACATTTAGCACCTGGATCAGAAGAAACACAACGTATTTAGAACATGAGAAACAGATAATACATATAGCACCTGGATCAGAAGAAACACAGCGTATTTAGCACATGAGAAAACAGATAATACATATAGCACCTGGATCAGAAGAAACACAACGTATTTAGAACATGAGAAAACAGATAATACATATAGCACCTGGATCAGAAGAAACACAGCGTATTTAGCACATGAGAAAACAGATAATACATTTAGCACCTTGATCAAAACAAACATAACATATTTAGCACATGAGAAAACAGATAATACATTTAGCACCTTGATCAAAACAAACATAACATATTAAGCATATGAGAAAACAGATAATACATTTAGCACCTTGATCAAAACAAACATAACATATTTAGCATATGAGAAAACAGATAATACATTTAGCACCTTGATCAAAACAAACACAACGTATTTAGCACATGATAAAACAGATAATACATTTAGCACCTTGATCAAAACAAACACAACGTATTTAGCACATGATAAAACAGATAATACATTTAGCACCTTGATCAAAACAAACACAACGTATTTAGCACATGATAAAACAGATAATACATTTAGCACCTTGATCAAAACAAACACAACGTATTTAGCACATGATAAAACAGATAATACATTTAGCACCTTGATCAAAACAAACACAACGTATTTAGCACATGATAAAACAGATAATACATTTAGCACCTTGATCAAAACAAAGACAACGTATTTAGCACATGATAAAACAGATAATACATTTAGCACCTTGATCAAAACAAAGACAACGTATTTAGCACATGATAAAACAGATAATACATTTAGCACCTTGATCAAAACAAACACAACGTATTTAGCACATGATAAAACAGATAATACATTTAGCACCTTGATCAAAACAAAGACAACGTATTTAGCACATGATAAAACAGATAATACATTTAGCACCTGGATCAGAAGACACAACGTATTTAGTACATGAGAAAACAGCTGATACATTTAGCACCTGGATCAGAAAACAGAACGTATTTAGCACATGAGAAAAGAAATATATTGAAAACCTGAAGGGGGGATGTCATGTTAAGGCGTTAGAGTGCGTGATTGCTATTTCGTAAAGTCCCGCTTTCGGAACTGCCGAGCAGAAAAGGTTTGATAAAGAGGGACATTAACCAATCTAGGAGAGACAACTCTAAAATCAAACAACTGCTGCTTTATAGTATGTTTTTCTTGAATGGACAAAGAGTATGGGGGAAAATCCAGAAAAGCAGATAAAAGTCTTAGTCAACAGGCAATTAATATCATAGGATAAGTTACATGTTGGCATGCAAAACTTAATAGTGTTGAAGAAAATCCCCTTCAAATCCACAATCAAGAACAAAGAAGAAAAAGGAACTCCGGAAGAAAAAAAATAATATACACCACTCCTAATAAAACAACAAACAAAAAACATTTATCACCTGTGAAATAAAAAAGAAATATATTAAAGCATAAATGAAACAGAAGCGTAAAGTTTAATGTTTTGAAGAAAACAAAAAATCTATCTCCTGAATAAATGTATTTACAGGTGTAGGCCCTAAAAATATGTCGAAAAAAGTGCAAAAAATACTCAATCCTTCCAAAAAAGAAAATCTAGAAATCAAAAGTGTTACAAAAATTAAAAAAAAAAAGCTAAATAAATTCTCTCTGAAGAAAAGCTCAAAAACTAAAAACATTTTTAAAAAAAAGTAAAAATCATAATGAAAAAAATATGAAAAAAAAAAATTCGAAAAAAAAAAAATTCAAGATCAGACAAAAAAATGTGACACCTTCATAAAATAAACAACAAGCGAATGTAACACATTTAAAAACAAAAACAATGTCACATTCATTGAACAGCCTGAACATTTGGCAGCAGTTTTCCCATGCTTTTAGCACCTGAACACATTTTTGACACCAATTACCACAAACTCGAAACACAGCGCAACCCGCAAGGTGTCAGAGCAGAGCGTTACACCAGGGCTATTGTGTGGATATAATGTGCTTTAGCACATTCTTCAGGGGCCCCCACACCATTATAACGCTATGCCTTAAATCAAACATGACTTTAATGACGTTACCAGAAAGTTATTTCTACATCGCGGAAAAAAAAACAACAACAGAATTTAAAATGTTTTCATTCATAGAATTTTACAGTTCTGTTTTGTATGCACGATTGAGTGGTAGTGCAGACGATTTCTAAATCGTAAGCCTTGTGTTCAGATCCTTGAATTTTGGAATCTCAGTTCCAGAATCTGAAATAAGAGGACAAGACTGGAGCGAATAAGATGAGAAGAAGTGGCGCTAGGTGGGACACACTGGGAAAGGCTCACTCTATTGTGACACGCCGGGTGCTTGAGTGGAACCCTCAGGGGAGGCGAAAGCGAGGGAACCCAAGACAGACCTGGAGGCGGAGTCTTCTTGAAGTCTACTTGACGAACTGAAGACAGTAGGAATGTATTGAAAGACTGCAAAATCAACAGCCGGGGACCGGACAAAATGGAAGCTTATGGTTGAGGAGGTCCTATGCTCCACAGGGAGAAAAGTGGTTTGTTTCATAAGTGTTCAGTTCCCGTGCTCTACCCCCATATGACGTCACAGAGTCCACCAAACATGAATGGGTGCCATCTAACTAAACTAAAGACTTCAGGTTATAGAACTGATCCACATTATCCCTTCACATGACGAGATCACAGAAACAGTGTGACTCTATTAGCATTGAAATCCGAAAATATTAAGTTTACAACTTGAACTAATTTAAAGTTTGGTTATTTTTTTAACAAGAGTTAAAAAAAAAAGAAAGAAAAAAAAACATTATAATTTTGCGAGTTGTATTATTATTCTGATGTGGGTCAGTGGTTTTTAACACGTTTTTATTAACTCAGCTTCGCGTGGATGTGTTTGTTGTTAAAATTGACATCGAAAATTAGCCCACTTCTGATTGCTCTATAGATCTGAAATTTGGCATGCAGGTTACTTTCGCCTAACAATTTCAGATGCAATCATAAAAACTAGCAATTAGAGACCGTAATTAGCTTAATTTAATTACGCCCAAAGGACCATAAAATTGAGGACATGATTTCTAAAGATACCGACAAGACTGGAGGCTTGCTGACACAGTTACTTCGGCCCCAATCGATGTGAGCGCGCTGGCCGTGATCGTATAGTGGTTAGTACTTCGCGTTGTGGCCGCGACAACCCAGGTTCGAATCCTGGTCGCTCAAGATTTTTTTAGTCCGTGTATTTATAAACACTTAGTCAATTCATACTTAATCAAGTCATTAGATAAAGTAGAAAATAAACTATATAAAAAACTTTTTTTAAAAACCACGTTTTTCATGTGTAGCAACGGACTAAAAAGGAGAAAATAAAATACTTAAAAAAAACTTTTTAAAAAACCACGTTTTTCTTGTGGACTAAAAAGTAGAAAATAACTATTTACATACATTTGATGACAAAAAACGTGGGTCGGGCAGATGGGTCGGGAAATTTGATGGTGAACGTACCCACGTTTTTTGTCATCAAATGTATGTAAATAGTTATTTTCTACTTTTTAGTCCACAAGAAAAACGTGGTTTTTTAAAAAGTTTTTTTTAAGTATTTTATGTAAGTTGATCTGAACGTACTCTTGACATGAAATAAGGAGTAAAAGTTCACAGACATAGATCTTCATGACATGAACTGGAAAGTTTTAATGGGTTGATATGTATACTTGACCTGGTCCATACAATTATATTGTGAAGGATTTCTATTTCTATTAAGATAAACATTTATACCACCCCCCTCCCCATTAAATAAATTATTCTGAAATCGAATAAAAAATGGAAAGAGCAAACAATTCACTGAAAGCGACAGTTATGTCCCTTGGGTAGGGCCGTTTGACGTCAGCAAGTTCTCATTTCCAATAGTACATTTTAGACTTTAAAAATAATTCCCTTTTTAATTGGGTATCTCAAGCTTCAATACCCTAGGTAGTGTCTGCCAGTGGCGTAGGCAGGGGGGGGGGGGCTAGGGGGGATCATAACCCCCCCCCCATAGACCCCTCGGTATATATATATACAAAGTATGAGGGGGGTGTAAATCTAAAGTTTGAGGGGGGGGTGCAAATCGAAAGTTTGAGGGGGGGGTGGAAATAAAAAGTTTGAGGGGGAGGTGCAAATCGAAAGTTTGTCCCCGGGTAAAAATTGGACCCCCCCCCCCTTGAGACGATCATGGCTACGCCACTGGTGTCTACTATCTACTTAATAATTTATTTGTCAAAATATCAATTGACTAATGACTGGATCACAAGACTGGGATGAAATAGCCAAAGACAAGGGAGGGAGAAAGTAGGTCTAAATGCCCAAAGCAGGTGTGGAAAAGTCCGTTTAAATCTCCCGGATTGATTTGATGTATCTCCCTATTCTATGATCGATTTTTATATCAGTTGCAACACTATCTATAAAAGAAGAGGTACTTTTCGATTATGCTTTTTAAAGCTTATAGTGCTTTTAATTAAGTCTGCAAATTTCTATTAACAAAAATATATATTTCTTACTGACAGTACATACGTTAAATTTGTAGCAACAAAAAATCAAAACGCATAATATCGGCGTCAATATGTAGAATGATTGCCTAGTTGAAAGTATTCTGTTCAGCAGTGTGGAGTTTTGAGTTCTGTTTTATCAATTCGAACTAAATCTGACTGCACACAATCACCCGAAATAACAGAAATCTTTTTGGTATCAATCCAATTTTAATTTCAGCATCGTGTTATATTTTTAGTTCGTTGGCTGCAAACAAAAGAAAACAAAATGCAACTAAAACTAACCGCCCTGAATTCGTATTTGCGCGACGTCAATACTTTGATGACGATTCAGTATTCTTTCCAGCTTTCTACCAGTGTTTCTTCCTGATTTTTTTTCCGTGGGGGCGCTTAAAATTTTCGGGGGGACGGGGACGGACTGAAATTCCAGCGAGGGGTGGGGGGCGGACACTGTTAAAACTATATATGTTCTATATAAATTCAGGTTCGTTCGTGGGGGCGGTATACTCTCTTCACGGGGGGGGGGGGGGGAGGGGGGGCTCCAAAGAGATGCCTGTAAGAAACACTGCTTTCTGCTTTCCTGATTAGGAATCTTAACACTTAATATGGAGGCTAGATTAGGTTTAGTGTTAAGGTTGAGTATGTGCAGTACTTGTGAAAAAATATGATGGTTAGTCGAATCGACAATTAAATTTTATTTCAGGTCGGTAACTGTAGCAATTGTTTTCCGGCTGTTTAATGTTAGCTTAGGCCTATACTGTTAAAAATAGTCTTGATTGTAAAGATTATTCAGTCTAACAAAAAATAAGTAAATACATACCTCAGTAAAGACTGCACTATCAAGGAATTATTTTTCGAAAGATGTTTACTCTGATGACATATTCTATTCAAGATGTTAATTAATTTTTGTGGCTGACGTCTAACATTAACATAAATTATTAGACTAAAGCTGACTGTAAATAAGTCATACCTTAGCGGCATTAATAGTTTTAGAAGAGGTTTCTTTTCAGTATCGATTATTTTTAGTTCGCTGACTTCTAATATAAAGATAAAATATTTTGACAAAATCTAACAGCCCACAAATGGCACATTTACAGCGTTAAGGCCTTTAGTGATAGAAGAGTTTTCTTTTAAGTATAGTTTTTTCTTTAGTTGGCTGACTGTTAACATAAACATAATATTTCATCTAAATCTGACTCTAAACAAATCTCACCTTGGCGGCATCAATGGCTTTAGTGATAGAAGAGTTTTCTTTAAACAAAAACTTAACATATCGGATCTAAATCAGACTCTAAACAAAGCCTACCTTGGCGGCATCAATGTCTTTAGTTATAAAAGAGTTTTGTTTGAACAACACACATTTTTAGAACTAAACCTGACTCTAAACAAATCTCACCTTAGCAGCATCAATGCCTTTAGTAATAGAAGAGTTTTCTTCAAACAAAATCACAAATTTGAGAACTAAACCTGACTCTAAACAAATCTCACCTTAGCAGCATCAATGCCTTTAGTAATAGAAGAGTTTTCTTCAAACAAAATCACAAATTTGAGAACTAAATCAGACTCTAAACAAATCTCACCTTAGCAGCATCAATGCCTTTAGTAATAGAAGAGTTTTCTTCAAACAAAATCACAAATTTGAGAACTAAATCAGACTCTAAACAAATCTCACCTTAGCAGCATCAATGCCTTTAGTAATAGAAGAGTTTTCTTCAAACAAAATCACAAATTTGAGAACTAAATCAGACTCTAAACAAATCTCACCTTAGCAGCATCAATGCCTTTAGTAATAGAAGAGTTTTCTTCAAACAAAATCACAAATTTGAGAACTAAATCAGACTCTAAACAAATCTCACCTTAGCAGCATCAATGCCTTTAGTAATAGAAGAGTTTTCTTCAAACAAAATCACAAATTTGAGAACTAAATCAGACTCTAAACAAATCTCACCTTAGCAGCATCAATGCCTTTAGTAATAGAAGAGTTTTCTTCAAACAAAATCACAAATTTGAGAACTAAATCAGACTCTAAACAAATCCCACCTTGGCGGCATCAATGCCTTTAGTAATAGAAGAGTTTTCTTCAAACAAAATCACAAATTTGAGAACTAAATCAGACTCTAAACAAATCTCACCTTGGCGGCATCAATGCCTTTAGTAATAGAAGAGTTTTCTTCAAACAAAATCACAAATTTGAGAACTAAATCTGACTCTAAACAAATCCCACCTTGGCGGCATCAATGCCTTTAGTAATAGAAGAGTTTTCTTCAAACAAAATCACAAATTTGAGAACTAAATCAGACTCTAAACAAATCTCACCTTGGCGGCATCAATGCCTTTAGTGATAGCCCAAGTAGAGACGATGTAGTCCATGACCCTCTCACTCAGCGACTTGGGGACGTCGTGCAGCTTCATGAACTCACGGACACTGTTCAGCATATCGTGGTACCTGGCAAAGCTGGCGTAGAACTGCTGGAAGATGGTGGTCACGTTGCTGAAGATGGTGGCGTACAACAGAGCTGGGGGGGAGGAGGGAGATTTTGTTTTGTTTAAACTGTGGGGTATTGGTAAATTGAGTTATCTTCTTCTTCGTTCTTAATAGGCTTGAAAAATCTATGTAATCATACTAAAAAAAAAATATGGCAAGTGATAAAATTATAGTTACATTGGTAAAATTAGAGCTGTTTGGGAACCATCGATTACACTCATTTTTATATTTTTGTACTGATAATAAGCCGTAGAGAAGCCGTTTGGAATTATTTTTATCAATTGAAATATTTTTAAAAAAAAACGCCCTCAACCACTTCTTTAAGTCAACCGGAGTGACGATGAACGTCACAGTGGCGTAGGCAGGGGGGTTAGGGGGTTAGGGGGTCATAACCCCCCCCCCCCATAGACCCCTCGGAATATAGAAAAAGTATGAGGGGGGGAGGGTGTGAAAATCGAAAGTTTGAGGGGGGGGGGGTGCAAATCGAAAGTTTGAGGGGGGTGTGCAAATCGAAAGTTTGTCCCCGGGTAAAAATTGGAACCCCCCCCCCCCTTGAGACGATCCTGGCTACGCCACTGGAACGTCACAATACTTGTTTTCCATGATAAAATGCATAATAGCGGTCACTAGCCTGTTAGTGTATTTATTTGAAATAATATAACAACCCCTTTCTCCACAAAGCCCTGTAAAATATTCAATTTTTTAGAATAAGATGCTTTCTGGTAACAACCATTTGTAGACAGCTTTTCAAGCAATTTCCTCCACCACAATAAATTATTACGTGTCAATCTGTTATGCGCAAATAGGCCTTTGACTCAGATTTTAGCCTGCTTTTCTTATAGGATTTGCTTTCATTGATTTCATTCAAGAACAAACTACAAGGCAGCAGCTGTTTGATTTTTGAGTTGTCTCTCTTAGAAGAGTGGCTGTCCTCAGCTATCGCGCCTTATCTGTCGGTGGTTCCAACTCGAGACTTTTCGGTTTATCAACCATGAGCTTTACCGACCCGACAACGCAGCCCCCCCCCCGAGTAAATGAAATAAAAGCCCACTTTTCAACCTCTGACTGCTATAAAATTAAACAATTGATCAAAAGCGAGAATCACGATTTGTCAGTTAACAAAAAAAAAATGGCCATAATTTATGATTTAGCAAAAAAAAAAAAAAAAAAAAAAAAAAAATGAATGCAATCCTATTAAAAATCCACAAAATAATTAGGGGAAATGATTATACATTTTATTACGCTATCGTAAAATTAACGCTACATAATTATTTGAGGTAGATAGCAATATTTGTAAAATACATAATTAACCGCTACGTTTTCAAACCGTTGTTTAATTAACCGTAGCAGCACATTCTCCGTTCCTTTAATTTCCATGTTTAAGTTTGGAGTTCAAATAACAAAATCAATATGGTTTTGAAATCGTGATCGAAATTTAAAAAAATTTAAAACCCCGGATGTAACTAAAAATAATCATGACTGTTTACCCATTTTGTACTGGCCCCAAATATAAATTTGCTCAGGGGCGGCTATTCAGGTTTTAGAGAACAGGGAGATAACTCGTGCGTTAAAAAAGGAATAATACAATTACAGGGCAATGGGCGGTTTACAATAGGTTTTGAAATATTAATGAGCGCACTTTGTACACAAATAAAAACAAAACAGTTACACGATGCTGTTGTTATTTTTTCTTAAAATAAAAAAAAAGTTTCTAAAAGTAGAGAGAGAAGGAGATAGAATGAGAGGGAGGGAGAGAGAGAAAAAGAGGGAGAGAGGGAGGGAGAGAGAGAGGGAGAGAGAGAGGGAAAAAGAGGGAGAGAGGGAGGGGGAGAGAGAGACAAAAAGAGGGAGAGAGAAAAAGAGGGATAGAGAGAGAAAAAGAGGGAGAGAGAGGGAGGGAGAGAGAGAGGGAGAGAGAGAGGGAGAGAGAGAGGGAGAGAGAGAGGGAGAGAGAGAGGGAAAAAGAGGGAGAGAGGGAGGGGGAGAGAGAGAGACAAAAAGAGGGAGAGACAGAGAGAGAGAGAGGGGGAGAGAGGGGGAGAAAGAGAAAAAGAGGGGGGGGGGAGAGAGAGAGGGAGAGAGAGATAGATAGAGAGAGAGAGAAAGAGAGAGAGGAAGAGAGAGAGAGTGGGAGGGAGAGAGAGGTAGAGAGAAAAAGAGGGGGAGAGAGAGGGAGGGAGAGAGAGAAAGAGAGGGGGAGAAAGATAGAGAGAGAGAGAGAGAGAGAGAAAGAGAGAGAGAGAGAGGTGTGTAACGTAAAAAAATTGTATTATATTTTTTTACTCTGCGGATGGTTTTTCGTCTGTTATAGTTTTATTGAACAAAATTAAATATCTGCCGTGAAAGGAAAACTGAAATGATCCGACTAATTGGATTTTAATTATTTCTCGAAGCCAATCAAACGTGCGAGATTAACACGACGGGAGATCGAGATCAATAGACTCCAGGTTTTATTTTAAGCTGCCAACAAGTGCTGTCATTGAGCTCAGCGACATGAAAACATCAACAACTACAAGCAAACCTATATTATATGCTAGGTTGATAATTCAAGCATATAGGCCTACTTAACTGCAGCACGCAGTTAATACACACCAGCACAAACTCACACACCATATAGCCCAAAAGCACCTAGCACATCCCAGCTACCACAAGCACGCCGCTTGATTTGACCCTCAACATGCCCTAACACAATTCAACCTCCCTACAAAAACCCAGAACCCTTCCACCCCTAACTTTCCCAACACTAACCCACCCGCCCCTAACCCATCCACCTCTAACCCATACATCCCTAACACCCATCCCAAACACCAATAACCTAACACCCTTAACTCATCCACCCCAAACCCAACACCCCTAACGCAACACCCCTAACTCAACACCCCTAACCCTTCAACTACTAACACATCCACCCCTAACCCATCCACCCCGTACACGGCCTTACCGATCAATACATGCAAACTAACCCCCCACAACAACCACTAACCACAATCTCTTAATCCAACCCACCACAGCCCTTACCAACAACCCGGACACAACGCTCCTCATACATCTCTCATCAACACCCCCCCCCTCCCAAACCAACACCCAGAATCACACTCCCACAAAACACCCACACGCCCACACCACCACCACCGAACATCATCACCCAACACCCTCACACAACACTCTATCCACCCCCCCCCCAGCCCCCCCCCCCCCCCCCCCAAACACCCCCACCCCCACTCACCTCCAGTGATCATCATGAAGACACAAAACAACTTCTCCGCCTGTGTATTGGCCGCGACGTTCCCGACCCTCTGCCCATCACCCCCACCCACCAAACTCCCCTCCCCCCAAACACCTCCCCCACCCCTAACTCACCTCCTGTAATCATCATGAAGACACAAAACAACTTCTCCGCCTGTGTATTGGCCGCCACGTTCCCGAACCCGACCCTCTACCCATCACCCCCACACCTCGCCCCACCCACCAACCCCCCCCCCCTCCCCCCAAACACCTCCCCCACCCCCCCACTCACCTCCTGTGATCATCATGAAGACACAAAACAACTTCTCCGCCTGTGTATTGGCCGCCACGTTCCCGAACCCGACCCCCGTCATACAGGACAGCGTGAAGTACAGGGCAGTCAGGTACCTCATCTCCTTGCTGGGCCCGCCCAGGATGTCGTCGTTGTTGGTGCTGTTGGCGGGACGGAAGGCCTCCTACCAGAGTTCAAAGGTCAATTTTAAAAACCCATTTTCATGTTACATTATCACGCAACATCGTCAACCACATATCACGGGGGAAGTAATCGCTACAATAGCAACCATACTTTTATTAACGTAATTTTTAAATATTTTTAACGTAAAATAGCACAGCATAACAAAACATAGCACATCACCGTAAAGCTAGACAACAGCCAAGAACCCTGTCCAGGATAAGAAATGGGCATACACATATTATCATACCAACACGATGCTTTAACAACTTTTTTTTAAAAAGTGTTTTCTGGTAGCAAATATTTGTGATACTTAATGAAAAGATCTACATTTATCCTAAGACCTTATATTATTAAAACAAGCCACATTTATTCACTAAAAGAGCCTCATTTATTTAAAGAGCCACATTTATTTACATGAAAAGCCTCATTTATTTATACAACCAGCCCTATGCCTCGTTATAATCTTCTCCCGTTCGTGCCCAAGACACACGAGGCAGGTGAAGTAGAGTTCATCTGTTTCAATGACATCGGCATTTGAAAAAAATAGTGAGATCAGCACTATGCCCAGCCGACTTTGCTTTCCCTATGTGAATTAGGTACCCATCAGCGCTAGGTGGACTCATTGACGTTGTTTTGACTTGAACCCAGAAACCCTATGCTTATTGTTGTGAATGAGATCTCACATCACAACAATAGGGCTGGTAAGTAGGTCACCAACCAGTTCTACGGTTCGATAAAAACTGCATGAGCCATTTAACTGGTTGGTGACCTACTTACCAGCCCTATTATGCTATGTATTACCTTGGTGACTTTGGCCAAGTCGGGCAGCCAGCCGTACCCTACATCACTGACAAGGTCGGCCCAACCAATGTTGTACCAGATACAGGCGAACCAATGGGCGAAGAGGATGAAGACCAGGATGAGAAGGACCAACATGGCGGCGCCGTACTCCAGGTAGTGGTCCAGTTTTCTGACCACCCGGCCCAGGCGTAGGAGCCGCACCACCTTGAGGGCGCTGAATAACGTGCTGATGCCCTGGTGAGGTAAATATTATTATAAAGATATTATAAATATAAAGATGGCGTAACTAGGGTGTGATGTTGGCGGAATGGGGCTTCGAGACCAGGTAGTGGTCCAATTTTCTGACCACCCGGCCCCAGTTGTAGGAGCCGAACCACCTTGAGGGCGCTGAAAAATTTGCTAGACGTGCGGTTAAGGCCAAATGGCGTAAATAAGGTGTGCTTTGTGTGAAGGGGGCGTCCAGACCAGTTAGTAAAATAACTGTGTTTAAAGATATAAAAGGGAATAGAAAAAAACCTTTTAACCAGTCAACGAAATGTATATAATAAGCTACTGCCCTTATTATTGTTGAAAATCATCACCCCCACCCACACACCTAGAATTTAAGTCTACTCCCAAAAAGCTTTTATTGCCCCCCCCCCCCACCCTTATAAAAAAAAATTCTACAAGAAAACCTGACAGCCAAGAGGTATAGCTCCATATATGAAGTCTTTAACAACCAAATTTACAACAACAAAAAAAATATGCTTTTTTGAACATTTTAAACTTGTCTAACACTTACATTGAAAGCCTTGCTTGTATTTAACCCTGAATATTACTAATGATTTTAATATATTAATATCTAATATACTATAGCATAGACCACATACATTATCCACGTATTGGAATGCATTGAAGACGTCGTAAGGTAGACAGGACAGTAGGTCAATGACGAACCAGCTCTTGAGGTAGTTCATGCGTATCACCCGGGGGTCGGAGATGACCTCGCCGCTGGGGCCGACGAAGGTGGTGTGGAAGTTGAGGACAATGTCCACGAAGAACACGACATCAACCATGCTGTCGATGACCAGTAAGGGGAGCTGATCCATCGTCTTTACCTTGGATAATGGTAAAATGTTAGTTTTTTTTTTAAACGAAACAAATTTGAAATGTTTAGTGGACTGAAATAAAATAATGGAAAACACATCAATCGTGTTAAAGACCGTAAAAAACAACAGTGAAATGCTTTTTTTCCTCCTCAAGAAAACAATAAAACGAAACAAAATTTAAAGTAAAATTAAAAACGAGAAATAATTTTAAAATATTTAATAAAATTATGAATTTTAACACAGTATTAATTTTAAAAAAGAACAGAATAGAAAAATAGAACATCGGATGCAAAGAATTTTAAAAATCTAGGAAAACAAAACAAACAAAAAAAAAAAATCACATTAAAAACATATGATTGTTTGGCAATACCATGGTGATACCATATTGGTGAGAATCACCTTAAAAGCAGCATTGTGGTGCACCGAGATGGTCACTCCATAATGGTGATACGAAAATGGTGAAACCAAAATGGTGAGACTCACCTTAAAAGCAGCGTTGTACGGCACCATCATGCTGACTCCATAATGGTGACTCCATAATGTTGACACCATAATGGTGATACCATAATGGTGACACCATAATGGTGATACCATAATGGTGATACCATATTGGTGACACTCACTTTAAAAGCAGCATTGTGGGGCACCATGATGGGGAGTCCATAATGGTGATACGAAAATGGTGACACCATTATGGTGACACCGTAAGGGTGGTACCATATTGGCTAGACTCACCTTAAAAGCAGCGTTGTACGGCACCATGATGGCGGTGTAGAACGTGAGCACCAGGATGACCCAGTCCCAGATGGTCTTAAACAAGCAGTAGTGGAGGATGATGTGGGGAGGGGTCTTAGGCGCCTCCAGTCGGTACTGGGGGAGGACGTCGGTGCTGAGGTTCATCATCTGTGGGGAGGGGGGAGAGAGTACGTCAGGATGGGGATCTTGTGGGAGGTGCTAGTGTAGGGGGTGGGAGTACGTCATGCATGGGATCTTGTGGGAGGTGGTAGTTGAATTGTAGGGGTGGGGGTGGGAGTACGTCAGGCTGGGGATTTGTGGGAGGTTGTATTGTGGGATTGGGAGTACGACATGAGGGGATTTTGTGGGAGGTGGTAGTTGAGGGGTGGGGGTGGGGGTACATCATGCATGGCATCTTGTGGGAGGTGGCAGTAGAATTGCAGGGGTGTGGGTGGGAGTACGACATGCATGGGATCTTGTGGCAGTTCAATTGTAGGGGAGGGGGTGGGAGTAAGTCATACAGGAGATCTTGTGGGAGGTCTTAGTGTGGGAGTGGGAGGGGATCATGAATGGGATCTTGTGGGAGGTGGCAGTTGTAGCGGTGTATAAGATTGGTTGAGAGTGTGTGGTGGCAGATGCATTGGGGTGGGGGAATGGGGGGGGGGGGGTTGGAAGAGTTAAGTTCCCGTGTAGAAGTTAAGTCTAGGAGTTTTCGATAGAATGTCCAAAGGAATACAGGTGCTTTGTGTAATCTTGTGATGACACCCATTGTTAGCTTAAAAAGTGTAGAGCGTAAAGTCCTATACTGAAATGTGCCGAAGTATTTTAGGCTAATAAAAAATTACACAAGGCATCATCGTGGGGGACGCCATTCACTGTCTTGAACCTGCGCATAAGCCATATATATATATATATATATATATATATATATATATATATATATATATATATATATATATATTGCTCTGTAGAAGTTTAATTTGTTATCTAATGATATCTCCAGACGACCACTAATAAATCAGAAATTAGCAGACGTGAAAATCGAATCAGCCAAGCCGGCGTGAAACTGTTGACGTCGTCCGTACGAACTTAACAAAACTTTTTGGCTCACACTTAACTGTCTAGCCCGGCTTAAGTCGTGGGGAAATACAAAATGTGGAATAGGAAAAAAATAATAATGTTGTGAGTATAAAAAAAAAATAAAATAATAAAAAAACGAAACAATTAGACAAAAATTCAATTTCAGTACTGGAATTCCCTAATGAAATTAGGAAGTGTGTGTTTTATTTAAACATTTTTTTCCGCTTGTACTCTGGATATTTTTATTTGTCTTTACAAACGTGTTAAAAAGTGAACATTGGTGTATTCTAGCGAAGTAATGTGAAACAGGGTATGAATGATAGAGGGGATGCTACCGCTGTGGGTGCTGTAAATTTACTCCGGCGCTGTCTGCCGACATGTAGTAACCCTGGAGCTGTAACTACATGATCATGGTATGATGGGCCGGGAGCCATGGGAGCTGTAAACTTACATTAGCGAGGTGTGAGGGCCTGGAGCTGTCGAACTTGGTGCTGGGCTGGTGTGAGGAGAACTGTAGGAGGGTGGACCTGTTCCTGGTTACAGAGCGGGCTAATCGGGCAAACTTGCTGAGGCCTGGGATAGAAGGAAATGGTTGATAGATCTTGGTCAAGCTTTATAACTAAAATGTATATATATATATATATATATATATATATATATATATATATATATATATATATATATATATAAATACAAATGCCTATATATATATATATACATATATATACACACACTCACACACACACTCACACGCACACACACATATATATTATATATTTGGGTATATATATATAATATATATATATATATATATATATATATATATATATATATATATATATATATATATATATATATATATATATATATATATCAACAGAGGTAATGTGATGTTATTTTTTTTTAATATAGAACTAATTGGTTTTATATAAAAGTTCCAGAAGCTCATGTATGACAAGCTGTGAAGGGCAAATTGTAAAAATGTTGACACGAAACAAAATATTTTTGTAATGTGTAAACTAAAATCCTGGATTCTGTTAATGTGAGATTGTTTTAAAAACAAAACGGAATTTACTTAAAATATTTGAAAGTACAAAAAAAAATATTCCCGCAGAAATTAAATTGAAAAATGTTAATTCAGATAAATAAAACCCATTAAAATTGTATTACCAGCATAGAACGCAAAATAAAAATTCTAAATTGGAAATAAAAACTAACATAGTTTTGTTGAACTGAGCCTGCATCCGTTTTGAAGTGCGTTTGTTAAATAAAAAACAATAACTTGGAAATGAATTAAATATCAGTAGGCCAACACAGTTCTGGATAAAGTAATTACAGGGACATAAAAACCGTTAAGACAAAAAATATATCTAAAAACAATGTAACTTGAAAAAGTGTGAAAAATTTTCCTAGAGAACAGAGAACCAAAGTGATGAAAATATAAATATGAGAAATTAAAAAAAAATAAACTATTTAAAAACTAGGCTCAAAATAATGGAACAAATACGATAATAGATGTATGATTTAACAAAACATTTCGACAAAAATAATTAGTGTTAAAAGCAAAAATTATGGAAAGAAAACATTATAGACGGATCAATATTAATACGAGATTTGAATCCTGGACCATAAAAACATGGATTGAAAACTTTAATGATAAAAATCATTCAGCGTGACGACGGTAAAGTAAAGATTTGTTTTTACAATTGATGTTTTTAGACAACTTGACCGACGGGGTTTCGACCGATCATGATAAGGCTGTCAAAACCTTTTATCGCCCTTCACGCCGTGGATTTGTTAAAAAGTTGGATTCAACACGTTTCGTCGCTTTGTTCCTGTTATTGTTTTTTAGTATTTGTTTTACAGAATCGACTTTTTGTCCTGATTAATGATAAGTGCGTTTCACTCTTTCAAGAGAAACAATATTTTATAAAAATTAGTGTGTTGTTTAAAAAAATGAATTGAAATTATTACTTTGACATTGTCTTAGAACTGTTACCGAAAAATAACACCGACTAACAGACTTATTTTACGATCAATATGCTTCACTTAATTGAATACATATTTACCCCAATTTTAATTAGCTTCCATAATTTAATTAGCTTAATTAAATACATTTTATAATTAAAATCACAAGCTAGAAAGGAAGTCGCAAAACAACAATAATTAGCTTAATTAGTAAGGACTGAAGAATTATGTATTAAAAACTCTCTTTTTCCATCCCTTGCAGAGATGAAGAATATTTCGAGCTTTTCAGAGCATTATTTTATAGAGTTTCGTGATACTTTTTTTTCTACTTGACCCATAACCCTATATTAACATTCCTACATAGAAATTCACGAAACTTTTTTATTTCTCTACTTTACCTGTAACACAGAAATTCAAGAAAGTTTTTTTTTATATACTTGACCTAAAACGTTTGTTATTTCTACTTAACCTATATCCTTATACCAACATACGTACACAGAAATTCAAGAAACTTTTTTTTTTAAATACGTAACCTATAACCATATGCTTACATACCTACATGGAAATGCAATCACATCGACATTTATGTCACTATTTAGCTTATGTGTTCATGATATTGTACTTTTTTGTTGTTGTCAAGTTCTCAAGTACTGAGGATTTTTATGGTCGGCATTTTGAGTATCTGGCTCTCGAGTACTGGGGGGGGGGGGGGGCTTTGTTATGTGTTCAGCATTTTGAGTATCAGGTTCTTTACTACTCGCAGAGGCGTAGCGAGGGGGGGGCGGGGGTGTGGGACCGCACCGAGTGACACAATTTAGGGGGGTGACACTAAGGCAAAAAATAGCAAAATATATAGAGAAAATCTTGAGGGGGGGGGTGGTGCAAATCGAAAATCTAAGGGGGGTGCAAATCGAAAGTTTGAAGGGAGGGGGGTGCAAATAGAAATTTGAAAGTTTGTCCCCGGGAAGGGTCGCTACGCCTCTGGGGGGTGACACCATTAAGTGCCGCACCGGGTGACACCCGACCTCGCTACGCCACTGACTACTCGACGACGGGTTCGAGGAGGATACTGCGGGATTCCAACTTGTAACCCCCAAACTACGACCCCAGCACTGAATAAATACGAATGATAGCTGTGGTGGTATTTGCTTTATGCCCAACACACAGGGCGTCGGGCATGCAGGGCTTACCTTTTCCTGCCTCGTCGTCGATGGGCTGTTTGAGGGCGGTGATGTCCTTGAAGGTGCACATGAAGAGCACGACCTGGTCCTTCTCGTTCTTGATGGGCGCCACGTGCAGTAGGAGCCACAGCGGGGTGCCTGAGATAGAACCTGATCTGAGCACTGGTTTCAAATACTAACATTAATCTTCATGGTAATGTCTACATAATTTGAAGGGTATGAGGTATTTTTACAGATCCATCAACATTTCTAGACTCGTCAAATAAAAATAAAAAATGAATAAAAAAACTTCGAAAACAATAATAATGGCATCAATAAAGACAGACATAACATAGTTTATAACACATGCTAAACCTAAACAGTTCTATGGTTCATGCAGGTTTTATTGAGCCGTAGAACTGGTTGGTGACCTACTTACCAGCCCTATTCTCCCACGACTAAAAAAAACACAATACCAAATAAACAAAATATAACAAAAACACCCCCCCCCTCCTTTACCCTTGCATCTTTTACCGTCAAACCTACAGAACAATTAAGAACACACCCCATATACATACTAACAGATCATGTGACATCCCATCACAGGCTACAAAGTATTGGATGCTACGAATATCCACTGAACTGACGACCACGATTCACCACCACACCACCCCAACCCCACCACCACCCCACCACCCCCACCCCGACCAACACTAATCACACCTCGCACCCTTCCTAAACCACACCTCCGAACTAATTGAACACTTGTGACCATTCTGGTCCTTCCCCTCCCCTCCCCTTCCCCTTCCCCACCACCACCAACACCTTCCTCATCCCTGTGGCCCAAATTACATATCCTCTACCCCACAAGTGTTAACTACCCACCCCACACTCCGAACCAACTGGGCTAATGATCAGAAAAAAGCACCCACCTCGACACCAATAGTCATTAGTATTACCCACCCCTCACCCCCCCCCCCCCCACCTAACCATTTCACACACACTAAAATAGCGTCAAGTATTTCGGACTCCCCACCTATAGTATTCTCGACCACAGCACACCACGCTTAAGATAACTTGACTAAGAGGTTTGACCCCCCCCCCTCACACATACACACCTAGTCAGCAACAATCACGATAAAGATCTCCCAGATGTCAACCAGCAATCACGACAGCCCCTCCCCCCACACTTTTCGGCAGCAATCCCCTCTTAACAAACAAGACTAATAGTCTCAAGCCTCCCTTTTCCCACACATTCAGGTTCTTATTGTACAACAGTATCTCCACCTATTTCTACAGCCCACTACGATCATTAACACCAACCATCATTACCACCCTACAGACCCCACCCCCAAGACATACGTTTCTTTTGTACAGCAGTATCCACCTGCTCTTGCAACCCATCACTATCATTACCACCCACCCACCCAACCCCACCCTATCACAACCCTTCTCTCGACTCACGGTTCTTCTTGCACAGCCGTATCTTCACCTGTCCCTAAACTGCCTCACCAAATCTACCCCCACCCACATCCTTATCCGACACCTACCCCTACCCCCACTCCCACCCCCATCCCTTCCCACCCCCTATTCCCACCCCTAGACTTACGTTTCCTTATGTAAAGAAGTATCTCCATCTGCTCTTGCAATCCACCACCATAATTACAACTCCTACCCCCACCTCTCACACCAAGACTCACGGTTCTTCTTGTCACCTTGTTTTCACCACCCCACCCTTCCTTGTCAGGATTGTCATTTAGTACTTTACATAATTTTAACTCATACATTCATTGAGCCTGCAAAATCATGTGTTCTATTTATATTGCAAATTGTTTGTCTTGGTGTCACCCCCCCCTAAATGGTGTCATCCGGTGAGGTCCGCACCCCCGCCCCCGCCTTGCGACGCCTCTGTCCTACACCCTCCCACCCCAGTTTTGCATCCCCCATCCCCACACAGACTCACGGTTCCTCTTCTACAGCAGTATCTCTACCTGATCCTACACCCCCATCCCCGTCCCTACACCCCACCCCTATACCCCCCCCCCCAAGACTCACGGTTCTTCTTGTACAGCAGTATCTCCACCTGTCCCTACACCCTAGCCCCCCCCCCCCCCTACACCCCCCTACACCCCCCCGACTCACGGTTCTTCTTGTACAGCAGTATCTCCACCTGCTCCTACACCCCCACCCCCCGTCCCTACACCCCCAGCCCCCCCACCCACCCCCCCGACTCACGGTTCTTCTTGTACAGCAGTATCTCCACCTGTCCCTACACCCCACCCCCACCCCTGTCCCTACACCCCACCCCCACCCCCGTCCCTACACACCACCCCTACACCCACCCCCCAATACTTACGGTTCTTCTTGTACAGCAGTATCTCCACCTGCTCCTACACCCCCATCCCCGGCCCTACACCCCCAGCCCCCCCCACCCCCCCCCCTACTCACGGTTCTTCTTGTACAGCAGTATCTCCACCTGTCCCTACACCCCACCCCCACCCCTGTCCATACACCCCACCCCCACCCCGTCCCTACACCCCCCCCCCCCACCCCCGACTCACGGTTCTTCTTGTACAGCAGTATCTCCACTTGCTCCTATACCCCCTCCCCCGTCCCTATACCCCACCCCCACCCCCGTCACTACCCCCCCACTCCCACCCCTCCCCCAGACTCACGGTTCTTCTTGTACAGCAGTATCTCCACCTGCTCCTGCAACATTTTCTCGAAGCAGCTCTCCACGCGCTTGACCGTGTCCTTGTCGGTCAGCTCCCCGTACATGAAGCTGCACGTGCTTGACTTCTGCATCACTTCCGCTCTGTTGTAGCCTGCCAGCTTGCAGAAGCCATCGTTCATGTAAACGATGGGGTAGTCCACGATTCTTGCATTGGCCAACAAGAAACTGTTGTCTGGAACGGTAGAAAGTGAGAGGGTGTTTTTATTAAAAGACTTATCGTGAATAAAACGACAGATGCTTCATTGATGTTTTAAATAGTAGAAATTTTATAATTTATTAAGTTCGAAAAATTACAATACAAACAGAAACACCGGTTTGATAAATTTAAAAACACAGAATTTCAAAACAAATACTGAGCTTGAATGTTTATATATATATATATATATATATATATATATATATATATATATATATATATATATATATATATATATATATATATATATATATATATATATATATATATATATATATATATATATATATATATATATATATATATATATATATATGTTTTATGCTGTTTCTGTAAAGCACTATTTCATTTTATGTTTCTCTCTGCATGTGTTTTCCTAATGTTATGTATGTAAACCTTCATATATCACCAATTGGCTCATGTATGTTTTTTTATGTATAAATATCACTCTCGTTACACCACCTCCATGTGGCTTGTATACACGCTCCACCCCACAACACTGAAACACGAATATGTACATCCTCCTCCTTTCCCCTCCCCCGGATAAAAAATGAACGCGCTAACTGAAAAGGCCACTGACACTGTCTCTACTAATTGATAGATTTTTTAGCGAAAAAAAAAAAGAAAATAAGGGAGCTGGGTCAATACACATCTGTCATGATTAATCCATGTTATGTTTGGGGTCATACAGGGGCGTCGCTTAAGTCTTTGTCTATCCATGTTAGATCTGGAGACTTACGGAATCAGGGGCGTCGCTTGTAAGGCGCTGTCTATACAGGTTACGTCTGGGGATGGTAGTTTGGCTGGTCGCAGGGGCGTCGCTTTAAGTCGTTGTTAGTGTACAGTGTTAGCTATATTAGAAGGTTCTAAAAACGCAAAGTCTGTAATGTTAAGATTGAGTTATAACCAACTTTAGTTTAAATTCGGCAACTTCCATAACCGAAGTAGTAAACGTAATGTTTAGAGTTCTTTGGACTATAGAGGCAATGCTGCTCTTTGCTGCAGAGTCATGGAAACTAAACAAGAAAGGAGAGAGCCGCCTTAGAGGCTTTGAAAGAAGATCCCTCCAACGTATCCTCAGGATAAAGGGGGAAGACAAAGTCCCGAACAAGGAAATCGACGAAGGACAGGCTTAAACGACATTGTCTCAGAAGTACGAACGAGGTAATGGCGATGGCTGGGTTATGTCATTCGCATGAACAGAAGAAGTTTCCCGAACATAGTGCTAAAATGGACTTCACTGGGAACATGGAGGAGAGAGATGGAAGAAGAAGTGCAGGCTACTGGCAAGACCTGGCATGAACTAAAGTGGCTCGCCCAGGACAGAGTGGAATGGCGGAGATTTGTTGCTGCCCTATACTCCACAAGGAGTGACGAGGATTAAGTAAGTAAGTAAGTAATGTCTATGGTCGAGAGAGTGACCCAGGTGCATGGGTAACCCAAGTAAACCTAACTACGTGTCCTGGAGGTTTTAACTAATTAGGTGCTTTGAGGGAAGACCCAGCTAAGATACCTGAAGATTTTATCTCTGTGGGGTGCATCAAAGGTCTCCCGGGATAAAAAGACCCACATAAACTTACGACACGACACTGATCTATGTTCGAGTTATTAGTTCATCAACACTATCTGACAAACCTTTCACACGAACAAGCATCCATCAAATAATGTAAAAAAAATCCTCTTTAGTTCTAATTATCAATAGGTCAGATGATGTCGTTCATATGTTTCTTGACCTCGGCATATGAAGAGCTAAGCGTTGTCAATACATCAGAGCTGGGTGGACTCAGGGACGTTCTACTGACTTGGACCCGGATTCAAACCTCGAGACCTTCGGGTTACGAGCCTAGCGCTCTACTGCATAGGTCACGCCGACCCATTTAAAATAACATACAATTTTGAAAATATTTCTACGGGATGTTAGACGATTCATGTCTGCTGTAAAATGTCATAATCGATGTAATGAAAGGCATAGAACATATGTTGAACTCAAGCATCAAAGGTTTTTCAAAGATTAATTCACCAATGACAAAGCATGACTGTGTGAAATAATAATTATAGTCAATCAATTAAACAAAGGAGAGTAGATAAAGGAGGCAAAAAGTTTGGTAAAAAAAGTAATATAAAATATTTACTGTTGGGTAAAAATATGTGCCTTCAGAAGTAGTGCAGAATTTATTGATTGAGTTAATAACTAAAGACTGTAGTATGACGTAAGTGTTTAAAATTATTCTAGTTGGTAAGCAGTGTTCTGAGATTAATTACAAGTTCGCATGGATAATTAGATGAATTCGCGCATGTGGATAATGCATTCGCTAGTAGATTAGACAGAACATGAATAAATAACGGCATATTACGGCATGGTAAATATGCTATCTATTTAGTCTCACATTCACAAATGAAACGATAAGAAGAAAGATGATTGGTGGAAATACGACAGTTGGTGGTGATTGGCCCAGACCTAAGTTAATTAGTGATGTGGTGAGAGCAATGGTGGAGTTGGTCAACGGAGTTTATCTCAGTAGCGCCATATTGAAAAGCTCGTACGATTCCTAGAGGCTAAAAAAAAGTCTTTTGTTTTTTAAAAATTGGAAGCTTGTTGAAACTTTAAAAAATATGTGATGGAGTGTGTAATAAAAAATATTTCGCAACATATCATTTAGGAACTAAACTTAGAATAAAATTCAAAGGTCTCACCACCAGTGGCTTTAATCGGAGAAAATGTTTATGTCTAGACCCCACCTCCCCCCCCACCCAAATGGTAGATGAGGCTCGTTAACAGGGGACAGCAACCCATATTGGATAAAAAAACTTCCTAAACAAACAATTGCTGCCTTGCCTTGGAAAGAAATTCAGAGAAAAGGTAACATACGTCGCAGAATATGTGTACACGGATGAAGTAATTATTTTGAAGGAAATCCACTTAAATGTTACAGTTGAAGCATGAAGAAGAAGAAGTTTAGGTCTATAATAACACTTTATTTTACAATTTAAACATTAGTGTGACCATTGTTTTAAAACATGCTCGTAAATCAGGCATTCATATACCCCATGGCTACCCGCCGCAAGAGACTGTAACCACGTGCATCTTTACGCATCACAACAAGGTCCAGTTGTGATGAAACATAGCCTACATTTAAAAGGGTGGTCTGGATGTATGAAAACTCTTTTCAGTTGGATGTGGAGTGATTTCATTGATAATTTTATTACATTGATGTGTACCTTACTTAAACACGGGGTGACGTCATAATGGTAGCCGTACATGCGAGAGGCTCAAGATAACGAACAAAAAGAACAACAACAAAAGAAAAACAACAAAGAAATAATTTATACGTTTAACGCCCAAGACAATAATTTAATGTTTCCAAAGTTAAGATGGTTGCGGTAGATACATTTTTAAAATTCTAAATAAGTTCAGTCAACCGTTTAGTCTTGTGTAGTTGAAACCAGTTCACGTATAATTTTCTGTAGTCAGATATACAGATAAATGACTAGTTGGGTCAGTTTTAAATCGTCGTCTCAAATCCTCTATCATTCAAATTACAGTAAATATCTTTTATAAATGTGTTTGTTTGAAACCAGATACCTTTGTGTATGAACAAAGAGAAACAAATTGTATTCAATTTTTGGACAAAGATGTGATGAGATTTGATTTTGTATAGTAAAAAATAGAGAAACAAATTGAATTTCTACACTTTTTAGCAATAAAAGACAAGGATGATAAGGGTTCTTCGATATCCTGGTCCAGTGGTGTGTAATCCTAAAATATTATAAGCGAATGTTTATTTGTTATTCATGAAAGTAGAGACATCTATATTTTAGTATACAAAGTATAATTAAGTACGTTTTATAAAGATACACGGCGTTTATTGTCGAATGTTTAGCTGAATGAAAGTTTTTTGGTGTTTTAGGAACATCAAATAGTCGGAATAAATATTTTTGTTTTTGCAGGTCCATTGGCAAGATTTGTTGAATGTGTTAGTAGCGCTTGGTACCGTAGATCAAAGATGTTTGTTTTTACAAGATGAAGGTTGCTGTAAGCAGGACGAGCAGTAATGTTGCAAGGGTTATTGTACTCGTCGATGCAAACTGTATTGTATAGACGTATTTAGATAGATTGGTTTGTTCGCAGTTTATAGAAAATATCGTGTATTTTTGGAGAGGGTGGGATTTTCGCAGTCTCTAGAAACTATCAAGTATTTTTGGAGAGAGTGGGTTGGTCGCAGTCTATACAAACTTGCGCTTATACATTTAAAAATTATGTTGTAGATTTTATTACCGGGCCTCTTTGTTTTCTTAATCCATAACGAAGAATAAAGTAATATTAAGTTAAAAAGTATAATTTTTTTTTATAATCATAAGCTATTAAATTTTAACTATAGAAATCTTTTTAGTTCATTTTGCGACCAACGATTTTATTTTTAATATGCTTCTTCCTCTACACCTAACTGACCGAATAGTTCCTCAAAGATCAGAGGCCGCCACAAAATGAGTTGTCACACCACCCTAATACACAAAATGTGTAGCCGCCTGTAAAAAATGAGCGCGCTAAATGAAACGGCCGCACATCCTATCTCGACAAATTGATAAATTTGTTATCAAACAAAACCAGGCATCTGGGTGAATACACATCTGTCATGATAAACTGATGTCATGTCTGGGGTTTTTTATATGGTGTCACTTGAAATCGTTGTCCGAATAACTTGTTCTTACAAAAGTTATGACCTACTCGGATTTTCTTTCGGCAACTTCTGCAACGGTAATTTGTAATGTTTAGCGTTCTTCGGATACCAGCAATGATCAAAAGAGGGACCACGATGCAAAGGTAACGCAAAAATACATAGCTACGCTAACTGAAGGTTTTACCTCTTTCGGTATATATCAAGTGAAGACTCAGCAAAGCGTCCCGAAGTTTTTACCTCTTTAGGTATATATCATGTGAACACTTAACAAAACGTTCCAAAGTTTTTACCCATTTTGATATATCAAGTGAAAACTTAGCAAAGTTTCTTGGAGTTTTTACCTCGTTTGGTACATATCAAGTGAACACAAATCAAAGCGTCTGGAAGTTTTTACCTCTTTTGATTTATATCAAATGAAGACATAGCAAAGCGTCCCGAAATGTTTACTTCTTTTGGTGGATTAAAGTGAAGACTTAGCAAAGCGTCCCGAAGTTTATACCTCTTTTTGTATATATCAAGTGAAGACAAAGCAAAGCGTCCCGAAGTTTTTACCACATTTGGTATTTATCAATTGAAGACTCAGCAAAACGTCCCGAATTTTTTTATCACTTTTGGTATATATCAAGTGAAGACTTAGCAAAACGCTCCAAAGTTTTTACGCATTTTTATATATCAAGTGAAGACTTAGCAAAGCGTCCTGGAGTTTTTACCTCTTATGGTATATATCTAATGAAGCTTTAGCAAAGCGTCCCGAAGTTTATACCGCTTGTGTTGCATTAAAGTGAAGACTTAGCTACGCGCCCTAACGTTTTCATTAAAAGTTTCACGAGGTAAAAGGAACTAGACTAATTGGCCTATTTTCAGTTTCATTTACTATGATATCAACAATTATGACACGTGTAACGCGATTAAAAATTTACAATAATAATGTTCATACGAGGTGTTTCACTAACGATGATTAATGTCAGCTTTTTAATATCATCGTTGCAGCAATTAAACATAAAATACACCCAGAGATAATCTAGAATATTATAGATTTTTAAAAGAAAAATTTTGTGCAGATGAAATTAATTAAAATAATGACTAAGCTTCGTTGTTTAAAATAATTATAAACAATCAATAAAACGAAATAGAGAAAATAAATGAGAGGGAGATATTTATAAATATATATATAGAATATATCTACTAATTAGGATTAAAGAGAAAACAAATGGTGATAATTAAAGCCTTCAGAGAAAAAATATTCGAGTTTAAAATTAGCCTAGGTAGTGTACCAATTACAAGTTGTGTGGATAATTTAAAAAAAAAAGATAATTAGCGAGTGTAATTACTAAGTTCGCTGGTGGATTAAGTAAAACTTGTCGAAAAGCTGCTAGTTAAGTTACGGTATTTATATTAACTATTTCGTCTTGAAAGCACATAGTAAACGATAAGAAGCAAGATGATTGGTGGTAACACATCCGTTGGTGGCGATTCTAGACCGAAGTTAATTAGTGATGAGTTTCGAGCAATGGTAGAGATGGTGAACGGAGTGTATCTCAGTAGCGTCATCTCGGTGCTGGGCATTGTGGGAAATGTATTAAACATGGCGGTGTTTGTGAAATTCGGGCTGCAGTCGACGATAAACATCAGCTTCACAATGTTGGCATTCTCTGATCTCGCCAGCATGGTCACACTGTTGTGGTATAACGTCTGCGGAAGTCCGGAATTCATGACTTCCGGGGTGCCTTTTATCTTCGCGGAAGTGAAGCACCTGACTGCGGGTTTTCCCCATGCCTGTTTTAGCCGTGTCACCTCCTGGGTCACCGTATACATCACGGCGGAGCGGTTTCTCTGCGTGGCGTTTCCGCTGAAGATAAAACGCATGATCACGCCAAGAAAAGCCGCCGGCGTGATCTTCGTGATCTACGCCGTGATGATCTTGTCCCTACTCCCGGAATACTCCACCGTGTACTTAACCTGGATGTTTTATCCCTCGCTAAACAAGACCCTCCTTGGACTTGCTTTCACCAACAACCGAGAAGACTTTGATGGCGTGAGTTTACTTTTATACGCCGCCTTTATGATCGCCTCTTTCTTCGGCATCACCGGCTTCACAATCGCCTTACTCGTCGTATTTAAAGATCAGTGAAATGGCGTCGCTCTACATCATCTACTGGACCAGATTCACAAAGATCAACGACCAGGGAGAAGAAAACCATCAAGCTAGTGCTGGTGATGGCTGCGGTCTACTCGGCTATGTTCACACCTACAGTTGCCTGTTTGGCCGTCGGGTTGTCACTCCCGGGTTTTGATTTTGTAGGAGAGTACTCCAACTTTTTTTTCGTCACCTTCTCCTTAGGGTTTACACTGGACGCCGTCAACTCCAGCACGCGAATTCTCCTGTACTACACCGTGAGCTCTGCCTTCAGACAAACGCTGCGAGAAATTTTGTACTCGAAAAAAGAGTATCCGAAGAAGAACTAGGATAGTTTTACAATTGGAATCATGTGGAAAAACCGCAAATGATTTCACTTGGATAAATGTTAAAAGAATGAACTTTTTTTTTTCAATGTAGCGAATTTGTGAAATATTAATAGCTGTGAAAGCTGAGATTTATCTTATAAAAATAATTAACACATTTTATAAAGATACAAAAATTGAAGTAAAAGTTTAAAATTAAAGTAAAAGTATAAGTCTTATTATCTTGTGGGTCATCGTAGTGTAGAATTTATGTTTATTTATCCACGTTAGTTAGGCTTTTGTTCAGCTCTCTCTCTCTCTCTCTCTCTCTCTCTCCCTCTCTCTCTCTCTCTCTCTCTCTCTAACAACTGCAGACTGTTTGCAACAAATGCTGTTGATGCACCATCACATGTTAAATGTTGTTCAGTCATAATGTGTTTTATAGACGTATAACATCTTATATCAGTTGTGGGGAGATGGACATTGCTTGTAATTACATTTTTACATTGAAAAAACTAGATCTCCAACAAGGATTAACTACTGTGATGCCAGCCATAGCAGAAGAAAAATAAATTATGACGTAAATAAGCAATAAAAACTATTAATAGAAAAAAACCCACTCATATTAGGTTATAGGGCTTGTAAGTAGGTCACAACTTCTCGTTCTCGTACTTGCCAGCTAGTAGATTTCGAGACCGTAGACTTACAAGCCCTATAGGGTGAACACCCACGTCGACAATATTAGTGAACCAAAACTTTTTTATACTTCGATACAATTTTTAATTAACAAAACTTTTACGCACATCTGAGCGTCAAGTTTTGTGTCGACGATACGGCAAGTTTATCAACCGTTCTGGAGTTTTCTGTGGTTAGATAGTTGACGTCGTGGAGGGATTCGAACCTCTATCTAATATCACGTATCTTTTTACTTACAATAAAGTTTTCTCGAAATGTGTTTATTTAATTTACAATGCATTTGTGTTTGAACAAAATAACTCATTCACATTTCACATATATATTTCTTATTTTGAACTTGTCTGTCTATTCACTTCATTAAGAAATATATTTAAACGAAACAATGATTGCATTATATGGTTCATTTTTTTTTTTCTTACTACATCATTTTTATTTGACATTAATCATCACTATTTAGTTTTTACCCTCAATAAAATAAAACAAAATAAATTAAAGTAAAAATTTCAAAAATATTTTTTTTTGGTATCAAATGTAAAATATAATATTTTCTTAATTATGTTTAAGCTTGTTTATTATGCCATTGAAAAAAGATGAAACACAATAAGTCGCAATGGTCATGGCACATCCCCTGTTTCTTGAATTGATGTGAATATCCTAGCAATTGACCCCAGAAACAGCAGGTCCAAAAAAAGCGCAGTCTGAACAATATAGTTATATTTATAATTCGTGTTATATAATTGTTATACTTTAATATTTTTGTTGTTATTCGGTATAGTTTTACTTTAGGCATAAGGAATAGTGTTTTAATTTATGTTATCATGGACATACTTCAAACTTGTTGGATTTATTTTGATATTTGATAATATCACAAGTGGACTTAATTTTTAAAAATCTTTTTCTTTCTTAGTTATCGGTTTGATTGCCGTTTATCTGTCGCTTCTCTCCCTTGTTTCTCACCAGGCTTATCTCCCGTCTCCCACAAAACTTGTGTGCTACAAATTTCAATCAGGTTTGGAGTCTTTTCAAGCAGAAAATCTCAGTGAAAGTCTGCCTGAACTTTGAACTCGTCTTGAAGTACAGCACGGTGTTGAGGCTGCCGTTGAGGGCATCAAACACGTGCACGAAGGTCCAGGCCATGAAGAACAGGTTGACGTGCCGGCCCACCACGGAGAACCCTGCCACGCTCACCCCGCACACCATGGTGACCACGGTGGGGGTGAAGGTCAGCAGAAGGACGCCGGCGTTGACGATGACCATCAGGACGGTCTGCCGGTCGCGGGTGTTCAAGGTCATCGCCTGCTCGGGCGTCGCGGTTTTCCGCCATTTCGTCTTCCGCCGAAGCTGGACGACCAAAGTCAAGGTCAACCCGACGACGATCGCGAACGACGCCAGCATGTAGATGGAGTACAACAAAAACGTTATCCCTTCGGTTTTGTTATTGTTATCCCGGTATCCCAATCCTAAAATGGACTCGTTTAATCCCGGGTTAAAGCGCCACACGATGTCGAAGGTCAAGTACTCGGGTAAGAGAGACAACACCATGACGAGGTAGATGCAGCAGATGATAGTTATCGTCCTTGCCGGGGTGAGAATTCGATGAATATGTAACGGTAGGGATATACACAGGCACTGTTCAGCCGTGATGTAGACGGTGATCCAGCTGGTGATACGGGTGAAACAGCCGTGTGGCAGCCCGGCTGTGAGGTACTCGATCTCTATAGGGTTAACCGGTACTTTAAACCTAGGCAGCAAGGGGTTAAACCAGATATTATAGATGATTAGAGTCGCTAAGCTGCAGATGTCGGAAATAGCCAGCCCGAAGAAGCTGATGTTGACGGCATTGTTGAGACCTTGACGGTAGAAGACGATGATGTTGATGATGTTGGAGAAGATGCCGAGGAGGGAGACGATGTTGCAGATGACGACGAGGTTGATGAGTTCGAAGACTTGCCTGTCCGCCTCACTGAGAAGAGGAGGCTCTTTGATGAGCTGCGAGGTCCAGTTGGACATTGTATTTTTTTTTACATAATTTGTTGGTGTAACTTGGACATCCGCGTTAGAAAAACACAATTATATAGGAGGGTTACCTGTCAAACCACTAGGACATAGCTAGACCCGAGCCTTAAGGGCATCTTGGTCCAATAATATAATTGTATTCAATTACGTCAAACAGTTAGCAATATTTGAAATTGCATAAGATATATTATATTTTTAAAATATAGTTTTAAAATGAAGATCTTATAATTTTTAAACCATGAACATTATTTTAAAGTTGAAATAAGAAAAAAAAATATTATTGAAATAACTCTTTTTCTTTTTAAAGATCAAAGAAATTAATTTTTAAACAGTATTTTAAATTTTAACACTTGTAGCAACTATTTAACCAAATGGTCCTAGTCCTAGTCCTAGCCCTTGTTATAGCTTAAAACTTCCTGTTTTCAGATAAGACTATGCCGTTCAAAGTTTTAAATTTTATTTTTACAACTAAAACTATTGATGCTCCGTTTTATTTTGAAATCGTGATTAAATAAAACCGTAGGTATAAAAAATGGAGCTAAATTGAATTGAAAAGTAAAAAGACGATACAATTTAATAACGTCTTCACGTCTAACACATTTCCTGTGAGATTGTCAAATAAACTTGACGGCAAAATTTTAACAAAAAAATATTATTTTCTGGTCTATTGATAATTTATTTTTATATCCAAGAGCTTGAAGCCCCAACATGCTCTCTAATATAAAACTATTGTTGAATTACACTTTATAGTTATGATGTATAGAATAGTTAACGTCAGCTTCAAGTTGTTAAATTGTGACCGAGTGTTAAGAAAATCATCAGTAGACATTTATTTTCAGTGTGCAAGTTGATTGGTTTTAATCATATATGTATTGAGTTTATTAAACTGTCATGAATTCAGTTCATGGTTTATATAAACATTTCATTTATTTTATCTATAAATTATAATTTTTCGTTTACTTTCTTAAAAAAAATTTGAATGAGTTATATCTCTTTGTTAGGTAACCTACCTATATTGATAAGTCCAATTAATAGTTCATTAAGACATTCATATTTCAGGTTTTATTTACTCTTCTCTAGGATAAAAAGTCTGACAGTAATTATGTTTTAATGCATCGTGATCATCCAAAGATTACCTTAAACGCTTCGTACTTTTATCTAACCATCAACGCCGTTCTCGTTTTACTAACATTTTCAACAGCTAACATTCTAATTTCATTGAGAATCTATACAGAATGTTTGACAATAGTTTGGTTCTGAGGTGCTAATAAATTTAATTCGTGAATAATAGTCCATGACTGGTTTGAATGTTAGATTCGGTGTGTACTTTGGAGCATGGATTTGTCGGTAGGTGTGTTAATTACATTTAGTGCTAATTACACCATTTCTTTGTATAGTGTAGTCTGATGTACATGTAGAACACACAGATATTATTAAATTCCCACTTAACAGAATATTTAAAAAACAATAAATTATTTATAACCATATATATATATATATATATATATATATATATATATATATATATATATATATATATATATATATATATATATATAGATAGATACAATAAGTGTTAAAACTTTTCCATTATCTAAGAATACGAGCTATGAGACCGCAGATGAAAGATTCTATTTTAATTTCATTATAAATGCTACATTTCTACCTTGAAACAATATAATTTTGACTTATAAAATATCCAATATAATTTTTTTTAAATTCACTTTTAAAAGAAAAATTCCGCTAACTTTCATTGATGACATTTTTTTTTGGAATCTCATCTAAAACAAATTATTGAGCAGAAATTATTGTTTTTCAACCATATCATTTTTAACATAAAAGTTGATTGCCTCACAATAAGTGAGGCTGTCTGAGAGTGATACGAGAAAATAAACCAAAAAAAAAATAAAAAAAAAATCATTTGAGGTTTAAGAATAAAATGTAGTTGTTAGTTTTATAGACTTTTCACAGAAGACCTTGAGATTTAATTACTTACAAAATGTTTCGCACTTTCATTATATACTCTAAATATTAATCAAATCACATTTATAAAAAGACATTTTCTTTTTTCACACTATTTTCTTGTTTATTTGATAAAATAATTTATTGTTTAATGGGTTGAATTCGCGACACTGTAAATTAAAAAAATAAATAAATGTAAATTGTGTTCCCCTTGCACAACCCTCCCTATACGGACGCTTGTTTTCATGAATACAACATCACAGACGTGATAGAGCTGTACTCTGATACAATCAACGTTTAAACGTCAAAGTACAGGTCTCAAGGGCAGGGGTTAAAGCGATTGAAAAATAAATTTAAAAAAAACACGATGGATAATAAGGCATTTTGTTGATGTTTAAGTGCAGATTTGTATTCCGGTTTCTCAATCAGTGACGACAATTAATCATAGCTAATTAATCAAAGTTTAATTGAAAGGTGCGTCGTGGAAAGTTTATTCGAATTCACGTCAACTTTACTTAATTAAACTTTCGAATTTTTGTCTTGTTAAATATATTTAGAATTGCAGACAATTAGAGATTTGTTCTTCAAATGATTTGAGATTTCACACAGTTTGTTGTAATGCAACACAAATTAGAATCTGTCTAATGGATGCGAATTTGGCATATGTACTATAACTGTTAAACAGTTTTAGGAAGAAAAAAAATTTAAACTGTAAATTAGAAAATGCTATATTACATGAACTTTTTTAATGTTTCTCTTTTAAAATACAACATTTATAATAATAACAAGCGTGTGTCTCTTCCTAAATATTAGTAAAGGTATCCAATAGATACAAAGTGACACACGCTTTTCTTTATAGTTGTTTAAATAGTAGTGTATAATTTATTTTCTACTTCTAGTGTATTATTACATAAAAGCGTGTTATTAAAGCTTTTATTTTTGATTTTTTCTATTTTACAAATCCAAAATCAAGGTGCACGACAAACCTAATTTATGAAAACAATGCATTGTTTTTTTTTTGGTCGGAATTGGCCCGAAAAACGGCCTCCCCCCCCCCCGCTCCTTGTTTCACGGTCTGGCAGAATAGTAGTTCCGCACATAGTTAGCGCTGGTTTTTATTTCGCAGCAATGTTGGTTAAAAATCCCCTTGTATTTAAAAAAATATTTAAAGGGAGGTAATTGTGGATATATATTTTAAAAATGAGCTAACCGAACAATAACTGAATTTAATTCGCAAATTCAACTAAGTAAAAGAAATATTTCAATAAATAATGTAGTAATATAATATCCTTTGCAAATAGATACAAATAATAATATTTTTGACAGATAATTTTTGTTTAAATCTTAGCTGTATTAAAAATCATGAACACTACGTTTTTTCAATATATATTTAGTATAAATAAGCTAACTAACTGATGAAGCCAATGACTGTGGTGTTGGTAGGTGTTGTTTATAAATACTTTCAACCTCTCTCTGATCTGAAGAACTGATCCTAGCCAGGAGTAGCCCTGGCATTTAACTAGCTATGCCAGGGGTCGGCAACCCTTTGGGACGGAAGAACCAAAAGTTACAATTTACCACATTTCATAGTTTTTTTAAAGAGCCACAAACATTTTTATTTATATTTACATAATATATATATATATATATATATATATATATATATATATATATATATATATATATATATATATATATATTTATATATATATATATATATACATTACATTTAAAATAAATAGCTTAAAATATGAAATAATATATATTCATATAAAAACATCCACGTTTCGCATAAAACATATTAAAGTAGTTTAAAAAAACATATTAAAGTAGTTTAGCAAGCTCTGCTCGAAATTAGAAACTTTACATTGTTATTAGATCTATATCTTTAATTACCGAGTATTGCAGACTAATATTTTTATGAGTTTTTTTTTTAATTAAAATAATTATTAATATGTGTGCATGGAGCTGAAGAGCCGCATCTTGACCTCAAAAGAGCCGCATGCGGCTCGCGAGCCGCAGGTTGCCGACCCCTGAGCTATGCCGAAACAATTTTAATTTAATCAACCTATTTATTTGAACTTAGTAGATCTAACTAAGTAACTACTAACTAGTCTGATTTAATCTCAGTGAGATCTTTAGAATAGAATTAGAATCGTTATTTTTTTAACGTGAATAATAATTAATAATGTATTTATTATAGAAAGAAAATAACTTTAAAATAAGAAATTAGAAAATGGTTCGAGTTTCTGTGCAAATACAAAGCGATGATGGAAGTTGCAAGCAATGGGCAATCGTAGAACTACAAGGAGATCTTGAGACAAGACACCCTGTACCGTTGAGTGGGAAATTTATTGGAGATCTACACTTTACACTTAAGGATTCACCAGTGCTAATAATTGGTCACCACATTCTCCATGGTAAAGTGTTGAATCTTGAGAAACCTCTGGCAGTGTTAGTAAAGACGACAGAAAGCAGTGGGGACGCGGCTATGGAAACAGACGATGCAGCAGAATCGAGGAAAACTTGTTATGATGTCAAGGCAATCATCAAAAAAAAAGATTCTTTTCAAAACAAGACCCAAACCTATAATTGCTCATGTGCCAAAAAAACTGTAGTTTTTTTTGTGTACAGTGGACAGGGGGACTTTTTTTTATTTTGTATGAATAATTTGAATGTGCTCTGTTAGTGTTTTGGGTATCTCTTGTCATATTTGTTAAGTTATTGATGCAATCTCAATATATTTAGTGATTCTCAATTTAAAAAAAATTAAAATATCTAAAATGTGTGAAAACTAAAAAAAAAAAAACAACCTCTCTGATCATTCAGACTCATTAATAAGTTGTTGATATCTAAGTACTTCAGTATATTTACAAGGTAAAAAAAAAACAACCTCTCTGTGATAAAAAAATAATGATCTCGTCCGAAAGCTTTAACGGGACAGAAATGAACAACACAACTAAACAATACAGACCTTACTCACTACACTTCACGATCTACCATAAGGACAAATCAACGGTACACTCGCATGG